CAACATGAATCTGAAGTTTGCCATTTGTCATGATCTTGAATGATCATGAATAATTAGGGCTGTAGAGAATCAACCTAGTTTGAAATTATTTTAACCTGAATGTCATTTTGACATACAGCACTAGAGAGAGTTTTGTGTCCAAAGCTCAAAGTCAAGTTTACAAGCTCAGTGAGATTACAAGCTTATTATGCATTGCAGAGATGGGACTGCAACTAGTCTACTATTACATGTACTTAGGGATAGTAGAGCAAGCAACATAAGAGAATGTGTTTGAAAATTGCACCTGCAAAGTGTTTTACGAATAATTTGTTGCAACATTATGTTACATGATCTCATCATATTATGTGATCTCATCATTACGTTAGAAAAGAGACGATGAATCAGTTGGCCTCAGCTCTCAGGAAGCGTTGAAGAGACTTTTTGATGCCATCAAAGATGAACTATCAACATACATGGAGGCTAACAGTTGTACATGGAAGGAAGATTTGTGGAACACCTTGAGTCATAATCATCACTTGCCAATCAGCTTTATCAGCCTTGGCTTCCTTATTCTTGAGGTCTTGGTGATGGTTTTGTCGTATGCCCTGGCTGGCTCAACAAGAAAGTATGTGACAAGTTTTCTTAGTCTTAAAATCTATCTTATGTTGTTGTGGTCCCTTCTACAAGCACACTATAGCTGTTGACAATGGGCTTAATTGAGCACATTATGTCAGAGACAGGCTGCTTAATCATTTGTTGGTCATATGAGTTAACAAAAGTTTATTTAAAATGGAAAGAACAGTATCATGAGGAAATGCAAATGTTGAGTTAATGTGAAGAGATAGTTTCTTTTCTATGATTTTCAAAAACTAAAAGCTTTAGTCTCAGGACTAGCAAAGCTTGCAGGAGATGTATTTCTACGGGCAAACTCACCTCTTGATAATGGAACCCAGTTTATGGAGGGTACTTAATTGAATCACAATAGTGAATTTCTCATTTTCTCAATTTCAGTCAGAAGTATATGTATTCAGTTTATAGGAGTCTTGTAGATCTTTGATTTTATAATGTTGCAGTTCCAGCCTTCCATTGGTTGAAGGGATAATTGTTTTGTTGCTTACATCTGTGAACCTGGCCTTGTGTGTGAGAGAGGAAAGACTGAGGAGGACTGAGATGGCAAGGAGTGTGCAGGACCTTCTTGATAATTATGATGGTGAGCAACAGTGAAGCAACCTGGAGTTTTGTAGTTGTCATTTATAGGTCAGAGCAGGAAAAAAATAATAATTAAATCCACTTGCAAGGGGGGGGGGGGGGGGGAGATGCAAGTAAATTTCAGTTTTCACTTGTCCTCGCTTAACTATTTCTTGCCCCGAGGGAACACAATACTGTACTGTCTATAATACATTGGAAATTTTAACAAAGTGTATGAGATTCCTGATACCAAAATGCTGTGCCAGATACAGAGTAACTACTGGATTTAACTGATATGGTGATCCGAGGAGTAAGTAACAGGGGCAAGCAAGCAAACAAGCACTTTGATTTTGAAGTGATTCATGCTTTCAACTAATTGCATCACTTTCAGTTTTCAGTTTTGAAATACATGTACATGTAGTTTCTGTCTGGAAATTATCATTTACCAAACTGACACTTTCAGACAGACCGACAGGACCACTGAGGCTAATTACACTTGCCCACTGACACACCAAACTTCTATTTTTACTTGCCTCAGATCGTAATTTACTTGCTCCAGGCCTTGGACCTATTACAGTTACAGCAGTTATCACTGACCCGTGCTTATTGTGCTTAAATTTCATGCCATCAAAGTTGAAGTGAGCATATGTCAATCAAATTCATGCAAGTCCCTAACATTATTTTTAACATGATTTCATGGTACTAACCCTTTATACCTAACGAATTTTGCTGTACGAAGTAGTTGTTATCTGCAGATCAACTCGTACTTTTGACCATGCATTTAAATAAAATGATTATACTTTACTGTGACCATTCAAATAAAAACTACTGTGGTGTACTTTTCTGTTGATATGATTCCCATTTAATACTATGTAATCTAACTGACAAACAAAACAACAACAACAACAAAATGATGCTTATACTAAGCAATCCATTGCTCAAGTTTCTAACCTCAGTCGTGAAACTTATATATAACCATTACAATAATTGATAAATAATAGTTGGCTGTAATTTAATACTGTTGTCCTTGATAGACTGTTGCAGTTGGATGCCATCAGATTATGTTGACCCTTGCACTCCTCCTTCACCATCCATCTCACTGGTGCATGCCTATAGAGACCAGGAACTCGTCAGTGTACCATGTAACCTGCTCGTCCAGGGAGATGTTGTGGTTCTAGGACCTGGGCACTCAGCCCCTGCACAGGTTCAACAGGTTAATGAAATAGATTCTTCATTAGTTGTGATAATCATGTGTGGTCGGGGCCTGGAATAAAGCTTCAAAATTAGTATCCGTTGGTTGCATGTGAGTGTGGACTCAAGACAAAAAAACATGATGATGATGAGGACAAGACATGATGTGGTTTGCTGCCAAACATTTGAATTATAACAGCCGTTAAAGCAAACGGTCACAGTAAAGTTTTAAGTTGTGTAAAAACATGTTTTTGATCATGGAGTTCTGCTTATCTTTTATTTTTCTCAATAGACTAAGTCAACTTTCATGAATATTTCTTGCTTAGAAACAGCACAGCTACTTTCATGAATTATTTTTTGGAGTTTTACAAGTATTCCAGATATTCTTTTTAATGTCTAAAAAATTCTTGTGATGAAAGCATACAGCAATGTCATTTTGTTTTGAATTGTCAACAGTTAAACAAGATTGTTTGATGGTTTGAGGCTTTGCATGCAGCTGGCATAGGTTCCTGGAATATTCCTTAAGTTTTTCCAGTAGCCCTTGTGACTGGCCCAGTTGCCTTTCATTGCCTTGTCTTATCCCCAAAAGTGAGACAAACTTAAAAGTTGAGTAGCCTGTAGGGGTTGGGTATACAGCTATTTCGAGGAAGGTTGTCGGGAAAAGTGCACGCGACAATCCTGAAAGGCATTGTGGGTGGTTTTGAGTTCTCTTTTTTTCACAGAAATTTGAAAGAATTGGCACATAAGGCCTTGTAAATTTGTTTGCCATTGCTAAAGGAAAGCAACAAAAGTAGGTTCAACAGCTACAGTCGTCAGGAACAGTGTATTGATTATATCCCATATTACCTTTCGGGTTTGTCGCGTGCACATTTTTGCCAACAACCTTTCTCGAAATAGCTGTATGTTGTCCACCTACATCTCACATAGATTTTTGAGTTTCAGACCTGTGGTTTTTGCTGTTATCTTGTGGAAGACAAGGCAGTTTGCCCCATTTAAAATAAATTGGAAATCAAGAAAATTTTTGGAAATATTTCTGTTTAATATCTATTTCAGACTATGATCCCTGAATCATCAAGCTAAGTTAAGGTTTCAGTTTAATTGGACTGGTGATACAAGTAACAAAAGACATTAGTCAAGTATACATGTGTCTGCTCACTCACATGAAAGGCTTAATGCAGTTTGAGGCCAAAAATTCATAAAATAATGTTGACGAACTTTTCATGATGTTGACGCAAGGTATTCAATTTAGCTCATAAATCTTCATCATCTAAATCTTGCCTAAGATATAGTATATACTTTGATTAAAGTTCAAACTTTACTACACAGCACACCCTGTACACATCCAATTCAGTCTTTTAATTATTATTAATCTTTTGTCCATACTGTAGCTCTCCTCTGAATTGTCAAACAAAGGCTCTCTCCTGGTTCTTGAAGAAGGTCAAGTGTTCTACCCAATCGTCACTCAAAACCCTTCTGGTATGTTCACATGCAAAGATTTGTCATTTTATTTCAAGCTGTTGAGTTTGTGATTTATTTTACAAGTGTGGCTATTTTTTTGGCAGATGGCTCCAAAATAACCGGTACCGGTATACAGTCTTCACAACCTCACCAACGAGAAAAGTTCCTTGTCACAGTAACACCATTTAAAGTCAGTTTAAGGTAGATATTTCACAGCCCAGTGCTATTTGATATTTTGCATTCTTAAAAAAGTTAAAGCTATTGTAGTGAGGTTTAAAGTCATTTTTTTTCCTCATTTTATTTGGAGTTAGAGTTCTTGTATGTAGTTGAAGATGTTTAATTTCCTATGTCATGTTTTATTCTGAAACTTTGTTTAATAAAATATTCCCTACCTACCACTTGGAAGGTGGTGGAAGGATGCAGTAATGATATCATAATTTATGCGAGCTATCACTTTAATCTTTTACACAGGAGAATTCTCAATCAGTCTTTGAAAAGACCAGTGAGCATAGTAGGAAATGAAATGCATTATATTACTAGCACTATTGTAGACAAGAGACTCCTGCCTGTTATTTTCGTGAGTATATAATTTTCTGAATTTGTATATTAATGACATTAGTTTTTGTATTATTGAAAAATAATGTCTAAAAAATATCTTTGAAGTATTTTGAATATTAAAATGTGGTTGAATTGAGGCAAATTTTGTCAGTTTGCTTACGTATTGTATTGAGATTTGCATAATTGCATAATTTATTGTTTCCTTTTCTGAAGGTGTTATCCTTGATTGTAAATATTCTCAGAATATTTCTTCTTGCAAATGACTCAGGACACTGGAGTGAGTTGGTTCTTTTACTTCAGGTAATAAATTATTTGTTACAGCTAGTTTATAATTTATGAATATTTTATTAATTTTAATTACAAAGAGTTCTCACATTGTTTTTTTGTAGTTTCTTTCCTGTAGATATTCATGGTTTTTTAATGGATTATATTGTGATCAAAGTTAAGTGAAACCTTGTCATTCAGACACCAAAGAGTCAGAACAAAGAACTTGCTGTTATCTGATCAACTCAAAGGTGTCAGGATGTTGTATTATTTCTTAACTATCTCTACATGACCTCTATCTGAGGCAGATGTGACTGCATCAGAATTGTGGGCAAATAATAATTATTTGCCCACATACTCTGCTGTGGGTAGCCTGTTCTAGGCATTCAGATGGTGTGAAGCGAGTTAAAATGGCAAACGCAAAAGGAAAATGAGGGTGAAAAAAGGAGGGTCTCCTCTCTCTTTTTTTTTTCTCTCTCTCTTCAATTTTTCATCTGTGCCCCACCATCTGAATGCCTGGAATAGGACATGCTGTAGATTAGTTAAGGTTCATTTGTATGAAACCTATGTGTGATTTTTCAGGGTTATGCTGTCTTGCCACTCCTACCCATTTCTTTTCCCACTGTATGGATTGCCCTCAATCTTTATGGAGCAGCAAAAGTTAAAGTTCTGTTTCAATTTCTTAAAAAAAAAGGAAAGGTGAGCACTCAACAAATTTTAAACAGTTCTAATTGTTTTGTGGAAAATTATAGGAAAAGTGATGTTAAGATAACCAGTATACCTCATTAGGTGATATTTGGGTCATAATATATTGTAAAAGCAAAACAGGCTGTAGAGAAACCAAAGTAATGGTGTGACCAAGATGGTATCAGGAGGGATCATTAAGGCAATATTAAGTGTATAATGCACTGTTTTCATTAAGAATTCTAGTAGCAGGAGAAAGGTGTAACATTACAGGAAAATATTGTGAAAGTGGCTCCATGTGTGAAGAAAAAATACTCATAGGCTAAGTCCCTACGGCGGCCACATTCATCTTTGGTCCCTGGAAAAAGGGTTTTCCAGGGCAAGCAGTATAAATTAAAGTCAGTTCACCTTGGCAACCAGCATCATGTTCGCAATGCAGCAAAGATCATGTGAAGTCACTAAGGCAACATGAGTGATATGAAATCAACAATTAAGATAACAAGAGTCATGTGAAATCACCAAAGCAACAAGATCAATAAGAGTGATGAGAAGTCAACAAGATTACAAGAGTCATGTGAAGTAAACTAGGCAACAAGTGTCATGTGAAGTTACCAACCTTTTTTTTTCAGCCAGCAGATGAGTTAACTGTACAAGAAGTATTGAAATGTGCTTTGAAAATATTCCTGGGAGATCCTTCAAGTCTACCAAGAACAGCAAATCTTTTAGAAATTCTAGGAAGCGTTACAGTGAGTTACACATTTCTTTTAAATAATTATATTCTGGTTGTTTTGTTCATAGCCGTTGATTAATGTATTATGGCCCACAAAGACATTTTATATTTTGGCATTTTGAGCTTTGTCAGTGGTTAACCCTAATCACCTGACTAATCTGTCTTGACTCATGACTCATTTGGCTCTAACAGCTTTCTCCCGATTTACTAACATTTATAAAAGGACATTTATCTTTATAAATAAAGTGACCACAGATCTCTGTAGTTTTGTAGATATGATTTGAGTGGCTAGCATTACTTAAGACTCTGTACAAACATATCAATGTAATATGGCTTACTGCATTACTATATAACAGGCCCAAATTGTTCAAAAGGTGGATAGCACTATCCACCATATAAATCTCTATCCAGTTGATAGTGCATTGGTTTCCCTAATTCTTATCCACTGGACAGAGATCTACCTGATGGATAGTGCTACCTAACCTAGGATAAATCAAAACTGAAATCAAATTTGACCTGTATAAATATATTAATTTTTTTTTCACTTTCTACTTGAAGGTGTGGTGTTGTGTGGACAAAGAAGGGATATTGTCACTGCCAAATCCTTGTGCAGAAAAAGTGTTCTTTCTAAAAAGTCGCAAACACAAGTTAAAAGAGGAGTTGGCAGGTAAAGCAAAGAGTAGAAAAGAAAGCACCTGCACATGGACAAGTGAAGTAAGTAGACAGTCATCAAGCCAGGATGGACAAGAATCTTCTGATAATGATGACGAAGATGATGATGATGGTTATGGTGACGATGATGACATTTATGTCAGTGATTCTGAAACCACTGGTAAGTGTTTATTGATCAGTTCAGTTACTTTTCTGTCTTTGTCCTTTTTGTTTGTTTTGTGAAAATAAACTCAAACATGCAATGAACACCTTTAATACAAAACTGATATGTACAGTTATATACAAAAAAGGCTTTATTTAATTGAGCAACCTGAAAAAAGTCTGGTTTAAATGGGCTTAACTTTTTTCACATTAAACTTACAGGGAATTTGTAAGATATATTAAATACAAGCAGTCTAAAGAAATGTTATTTTTCTTCATTTTGTATGAATTTCAGGCAACAGCTGGAATGATTATTATTTTAAATACAAGTGATCTAAAGAAATGTTATTTTTCTTTATTTTGTTTGAATTTCAGGCAACAACTGGAATGATTATTATTTTAAAGGCCACAGAGAAGTGCTCAACTTGTCCTCTGATCCTGAGGTATTTCCATTGGTAGTGTTGTCATGATTTTAAAACCGGTCTCGATGAGCATGTTGAGTTTGATTGCTGGATGTATTTAGTTCTGAGTATATTGTGGAAGTACCGGTATGTTCATTTTCCTTAGTTTGAAAGGCTGAACTTTTAATTGTTAAAACAAAAAGTAGCCTACGTAGCAGCCGCCGAAAGGGGTAGGGGACAGGGAAAAAGGGAAAAAGGGAGGGGGGTAGGTTCGAGAGGGGAAGGGACGCAGTGCTATAAGAACCCCCTTTTATTCATTTCTGCGGACGCTGACGTCCGCAAATTCCTGATTGGCTGAGCCGTAATGAGTAACTTATTGGCGTGTATCCTGGCGTGTATTAGTGTGAGAGACAAACATGACGAAGGCATCAAGAAAATGTGTTCTACTGGCATAAGCTTTGGAAGATGAAAATTAATCCAATCATGTAGCAACTTCACGTTAAAGCCCGAACTAAAACCAACTGTAATAGCTTGTTTTGAAGGAAGAGATGCTCAGGAGGTTTTGTATACTGGATTTGTCCATACACCGAGCAGCGTTTCAAAGTGATTGCGATTCTTGCCAGACATCTGCAATGCCGATATTCAAAAGACCTCCTTTTCCGCAAAAACATATACCGTCTTGAATGGAGTTTTAAATGGTTTGCAAAGAGAGAGCTGAAGCTTTGGTAAAAACTATCCGTTGAGCATTTTGACATTTGTTTATAATTCTCCTTTACTTTCATTATTCGCGTCTCAGGCTGGCCAGTGTTCTGTTCTTTGTGACCATCACGGTGCTTGATGAGGTTGTAAGATAAAAGGTCTTGTGTATTCACACGAAACTGATCATTGTTTGTCGTAGACTGCGAGCAGTAAAAAAATGAGAGACTGCTCGTAGTCTATTTTTGTCGTGTTTGCTGCGGGAGCAAGAACAGTAAAAATGTTTCATTTCGCTTGATTATGATATCACTTGAAAAAAGCATCTCAACTTAACAATTTCCGGTAAGTGAAGTAATTAAGTTCGGACCATGCTGAGAAGCCCCGTACTTGTGATTGGTCACGTATTGACAGTGACATTATCGTATTAGTTGAGAAAATGGTGGGCGGATTACAAAAACACCGGCTCTTATAGCAGGCGCTCCCTTCCATTTCCCCTCTTTCGTGCTTTTCTCCCTCCCCTTTTTGCGCCTGCCATGCAGGCTAAACAAAAAGACCCTATAAAGAATCACAGTCTGTTGCCATTAGGCCTTGAAGCCTAGTCTATAAAGCAGCAGTGAACAATCTCATAATTGTAGAGGTCAGTTCTTAGTGTTTTAAGCCTTAATTGAAGACTTGATTACCAGCTGTTTTGTGTACCCACATTCTTTCATGCACTGTTTGAAGGAAGTTGCCTCAAGCAGCTGCAATATTATTGAAACCTACTATAGCATGGAAAAAGATTAACAAAACTACATTTATTAGATAATGACTTTGTTATGTGTTAAACTCAAGTTCATTGCACCACTTTTTCCCTATTTCCACTTCAAGACTTTTATTACATTCAGGACTTTTTTGCACTGAATTCTAGAGTCAATTTGGACTGAGGTTTGATGATGCCAGGTGGGAGAATCATATTAACTCTCTTAAACCACTGGTGAGGACTTACTAACAAAAATTTTTGATCACCTAGTTGTGTGAATATACAATTTATGTAGTCTGTCAGTAGTGTCACACAGTGAAGGGCAATCCTAACACTAAATGCATGTTATCTTTCAACACTGAAACAGCAAAATGACTAACAATGCGTTTGATTGATACTATTCTGGAATAAGAATATGCAAAAGTTTTATATAAATCTCTTCTACTGTGACGTTTGAACCATTTAAAATATAGCATAGATCAGCAGTGTGCAAAGAATTTAGTGTCCGGTAGCCTCAAGGCTAGTGGATATTGCTGTCAGGTTAGTGAATTCTGTTCTCATTACTTGCCCAATGGGAAAGTGAAGTTTTTGGGGGTATTCAAATATTAATACCCGTAACATAAGAACTGTAATCAATCCTGTTCATCAATTTTGTTGGGGGGCTAGCTGATGAAATGACAACAGGGTTAGCTTCCTTTCTTTGCACCCTGATCAGAATATTCAAGCAGTTTTGTAGATTTTGAAATACAATGAAGCCCAATCAAGTAATTTAACATTCTAGAGTTTATTCCATTTATTGCTATTCTAGAATACTGTCAACCAAACTTGCTCTACTAATCTAAGAGAATGGCATAGGACAACTTCAATGTACTGTTTTCTGGCCGAGGGACATCACTGTTACGTCTTCTATAACAATAATTAATTGGCATGACAAGCCTGTAACCTGTGCAAGATGTGTAAGAACTTTTTTAGTGTGATTACCCAACACTGTCCGGGGTGTCCAGGGGTACGTAGGAGGGAAATAATATTGTTGACGTTCATGTATGAAAGACAAAGTACCTCAAATGTTTCGACCAGGATTGTTATTGCACAGAGAAAATCTTACAAATCAGACAGACTAATTTTTGTAAAAAAATTATTATAAGGGACAGAACAAATCGCTGTACAGACTGAAAGTTATATGTATTTCTTACTGTAACAAGACAATCTTGTTGATTTAGTTGATAAAAAGTTTTTTTGTCTCCAGGGCCTAAACATTCTCCTTAACTCCTGCTGTAAGTGTCCTGTGCGATGTCTCCGGTTTGCAGATCATACTGGTCTGTTGTCTCTTTCCTACAATCCAGTTCCCTTGCCTTGTTATAGAAGGTATCAGCACTTTTATATGTTATGTCCTTTGTAACAGCTTTCCAGAAAATAATTTGATATTTCAGTGAAGGGTAAAATAAGTATGTGTAATCAAATGGTGACAAGTGAAATTATGGAATAATTTCTCACTTTTTTGTCATCAAAAATTTTGGACAAAACTTAAATGAAATATTCCCTAATTTGACGAGTATACCTTTTGATTACCTATTAATATCCCAGTCATGGGTTTTTTTATTTGTTTATTGTACCAGGAACCTCACAAACTGAAAAGTTTTTGCCAAATTTCACAATTATCTGAATTTTTCTGCAAACTACCTGTTGGAATCCTTTCACATGTGCTCTCTAGCCTGCATGCTGACATCTCCTATTTTCTTTGCTTTCTCATCTGTTCAGGTTTTTAGTGTCTTTTAATGCCTCAACATCTTCATTCACAACATTTTAAAACCTTGACTCCATCTTGGCACAGTAGGTTGCAGATTTTTAATTTCACATGTTAAGTTATAAATTAATGCTGAACTTTTGCACCAAGGTTAAGGAGTATAGTTTGTCACCTATGATATGAAATTGATAAAGCAGGCGCTAATGTTGGATTTGATGGTACTGGGTATTTCAGGTGTTTGTGTCTGCTTGGCAAGGAGATAGGTTTTATGGAGCGTGCTCTTGATCTCTTTATAAAACAGAAGTACATTTTTGCAGTTCAGTCGCCAGTGGTAAGTTGTTAGTCATCCGTATAACTAAACACCAGATTTGCTACAGTATTTCTTGTCATTTTCAAATCCTACATCTGCTTAATATTATCTCATTTTTACATTATCTGTATCAATTTTATAGGTAAACTATCATTTATAGACTTTTGGGAATAGACAAAAGGATAAAAAATTGATGCATTTTTGCCATAAATATTTATAATTTTTATGTATGATAAACAGACAGAGTCCCTATCCAACAAATCTCTCTAATGTAAGTCTGAGCCCTTCTTCATTATGGTAGTTGAGACAGAATCCATTAGGAAATTGGAGACAAACCTTGTACCAGAATAGTTTAAACCATGTCACATTCTTTTTTACACTTTTCAAGGGCTGTAGATATGTTAGCCATCTGTAATAACACCAAAGACAATTCCTCGCTGGAGCCCAAGAAAATAGATTTCAAATTCCACAGAAATAGTGAAAACACAAGTATTTTGAAACTATTTTATTTTCTCGAGTTCCCATAAGAAATTTTCCTTGGTGTTATTACAAATAACTAATCATGTCTATAGCCCTTGAAAAATGTAAAAAATAATGCAATATGCTTTAAACTTGTCCACTGAAAATTAATCAACAGAGAGACAATGACGTTAGTCCAGTTATGATCTCATCAGTGTTTAACTGTGGATAAATAATAATTATGTTGTCTAGATAGTGTTAATTCAAAAAATGACATTTTGAAAACTTCAAACGATAATATTACATTCTGCACTTCTACTTGTACCAGCAGACCTAGGTAATCTGGAAGAAGAAATGATAATTTTGGTTGACTTGTGTGGCTGTTGAGTGGTTTCTTCTTCTTTTCAGAATTCCACTTTCAGATTTCCCATCCACTCCCATTCATTTTTATCTGTATCAAAAGAGAAGCCCATACCAAACATGATCTGTCTGGTTGCTAAGGAAAAACGAACAGGTAGGTCACATTATCAGGAATACTGATGGTTTTTCTTTAAAAAAAAAAAATAACCAGTACTCAACGCTCCTACTACACGTACATTGTTCAAGGCATTTTTGGAGGAATCAAAGCATCATCCCAGCTGGTTTCAAAATAATTTCAGAATTATTGTATTCTTTTTCACATTTTTCCAGGCCTAAAGATGTAATTTATCATCTGTAATAACACCAAAGAAAATTTCTCATGGGAGTCCTTGAAAGTGAATGTCAAATTTCACAAGAATTGTGAAAACACAGGTAAAGTTGTGAAAATTTCATGCGGAAGATGTAATTTTGTGAACTTTGACGTTCATTTTCTAGGGCTCCCATAAGAAATTTTCTTTGGTATTATTACAGATGACTAATTACAGCCCTTGAATAATGTAAAAAGAAATGCAATATACTTTAAATTATTCTGGTACAAGGTTTTTGTCCACTAAAATTTCCTGGCAGATTCCGTCTTAAAGTGTTGAGGCAAGCAAATTCCCACATTCTTCCCTCCCTCCTTCCCCCATCTCCTTCTCACTCTTTCTTACTTCAAGGGGGCGGGATGGGGGGGGGGGAGGAAAAGTTGTTGGTTGAGTCCTTTCTAAAATCCGTAAATCATGTTTTGATGGTAATTTTTTGAGAAAAATCTATGCATCTTCAATCTGCTTTGTAGGGTCTCTTCAACTTCTTACTCAAGGATCAGCAGATGTTGTTCTGGAAGCATGTACAGATTACTGGGATGGTAAAAGTCTGTGTCCTGTAACAGCATCTGAGAGGTACGTTTACGTAAGAACTTAATAATGGTCAGGTTATTCAGTTCATTAGATAGTTATTCTCTAAGCTGTTAGTAATTCTATGTTTACCCTAACTGTAAAGTTATTGCAAGCTGGGATGGTGGCAATAACAACAGCTCTGTGCAAAATGAGACAGAGGGAATGCTTTCTGTTCAATAAAAATTCCAGTTTGAAATTTTGGGAACTCCACGTGCCCAATGAAATGGTAAGTTCCAGATACACTGACCAGAACCCAAGCCACCGCACATCTGGGTATTGTTCTTGTAAGCAGGATGCAAAAGAGCAGTACTGGGAACAACAATTTTGTCAAATAGAAAGGGACATTTCGGTCTGAGCGACCGAAATGAGTGGACTGGTCAAAGTTGACCACCTTCAAAGGTGGTCCCAAATAGTCCGGTCGTACTGAACCAAATTTGATTTCTAACTGAAATTTCCCGAATTTTGGGGGCTGAATAGAAAGCTCCTAGTATCTCACATTCCTGGTATTGATCTCAACCTACTATGGGGTCAATACGCATGCAGGGGACTATTTTACATCTCCATCACCTTTAAGCTTTAATACTGTAAAATTCTGAAAATAAGCCCCTCCATGTATACTTAAAGCCCCTCCAAATACAAGCCCCCCTAACCAGTAACGCAAAAACCCCCTGGTTAAATCGCCCCTCCAAATATATGCCCCCCTGGGAGCTTTACTTGGAAAATTGCCCTCAAATAGTCCCTCAAATACAAAGTAAATCAAAGTAAAAACGGTAAATTTACTTCCAACTATAAGGCTAGCTCAATTTTGAAACACAAATTTCCATCTGTAGATAAGCTCCTCCGAATATAAGCCCCTCCAAAAATAAGCTCCTCAAAAAGGGCCTTTGAAAAATATAAGCCCCGGGGCTTATTTTCAGAATTTTATGGTATGTTCTTAAATTCAGTAAGAAGAATTTTTCACTTAGTCTGTAGTTTAAGTTCATTTCTCTTTTTTCTATCATTTTTAGAAAGAAAGTATTGGACTTTTATCAGAGGAACAGCATGTCAGCAAACTGTGTGGCATTTGCTTATCGTCCTGTCAGTCAGGTAATAAATAACTTGTCAGTGAATTACTATCATAATGGCTATCGCATTTTCTTGCCGTAATGATGCTGGTTCACGCACATGCACTACTTGTAGGGAGAAAATCTCGTTCTCATAATCATCCTCATCTTAATGTTTAGAATCTCAAGCTCTCTATTACTTACATGTAAACTGAGTAATAGTAAATCTTACGTTGGAACGTCTACTCCTATTTGCATTTAAATTGTCATGTTTTGGCATCATACCTTGACTGAAAACAACAAAGGTGGTTACATCGATATTTTGTTATATGATAATCTTGTTTTTTCTCCAAAATTTCCTTATTTGTTCTGACAGATACCAGATGAAAACAGCAGTGATGTGTACTTAGAGCTGCCATCTACAACTCGATGGTTATCGTTTAGTGATAATGATGATATAGAAAGGTGCAAATGATTTTTATTAAAGTCACTCTCAATGTGTTTGTGTATTGTGTGACAATATTAAGACTAGCTGGTCGCATATGGGCCTTCTTGCATTGAGAATTTTGAGAAGTCAAAAGAACTTTTAATTATTCCTTGGATATTCAATAATTTTTTTGTTGATAACCATTCAGTTTGAAGCTGAAGTCAGTATGTTGATCCATTGATTGTTTCTTTATCAGTGCCTCTGAAGTCTCAGAAGAAGAAGCTGAAGATAAATTTGATGAGACCACTGTTTTTGTAAGTGTATAAAAATGCCATTTGCACAATGTTTTCTAATTTATTCTCTACGAATGGCAAAGCCTTATCTCTTTCTTAGAAAATTGTTTAGTAAGTTGAACCATATTTTTTCTCATAAAAAAGCAAACAAACAAATTAAACAAGTCAGCATCAGTAACAGTTTTTCAACATGTTCATACATTCCTATTGTAAGTTAACAATTTAACAAAGTGTACATGCAGGATCACAACCCTTCATATGGTTAAGAAAACCTGATTTTATAAAAAAAGCCGGTGGGGTTTGAACCAGCCCAGTTTTAGAGAGTTTGAAAAACCCTTTGAAAATCATAACTTTCAGATTTCATCCAACTCATCAAGCTATTAATGCAAACAGTTGATGCAGATTTTAGTGGACAGAATATATCTGTATTTTGTAAACATCAGTCTTTTGCAAATCTTTTGATGGGAATTAACAGCTCAGTGCACACAGCTGAAGATGGCTGTGACCAATTGAAAAAATCAAACAACTTTTAATGCCCTTATGCTTCTTAACCTCTTCTTTGTTTAAAAACAATGTTTCAATAATTATTTCTACATTATAGTTTCAACATTCAAATTTATCAAACAATTGCTTTAACAGTTTGATAAGTTAATTTCTTTGTGTCTTGACTGTCTGTCATAAAATCATAATTAAATGACAGATCTTATTACATCTTCAATGGTGTTTTGTTAGAGAACCTATCAATAAATGATGTCTTTGTGCTTGGTGACAGACAATGCCTTCTGAACTGAATGCAGAAGAATCAGCAGCATCCCTCTTAGACAGAGTGAACGTTGTGGAGAATGCAGAGGAATATCAGAGGTATTTAGTTTGAATCATTTTTTTTAATCATTGGTCTTCTAACATGTATTTGCCCAAATTCATTTCAAGTAATTCACATTTTTTGCTTTTGCAGCATTCTTGGTGGACAAATCTTCATTGGAGTGGTGACACTACAGTTTAAAGCTAAAAAGGTGCAAATGTATTGACTGCTTGAATCATTCAGCCATGTATATGGCTTACAGCAGTAAGAACCATCTTCCTGATTTTAAGTAGAATTTTTATGATTGATCTAAGCTCTGTTTTGGTGCAGAGAGCTCAAACTAGGTGAATTAATTCCTACATTTTGAATTCTGAGTTTGGATTATGAAATCTTGTCTCCTTTGGCTTACACTTGATTTTTATTCTTACAGGACATTCTTCCACTCATTGAAGATCTAAATAATGCTGGGATCCGATTTGTTTATTTTTCAGCTGAAAATGAAATGAGAAGCAGGGTAAGGGCCAGACTCTGTTCTGGATTGTGTAGGCATTTGTTCAATTTTGGACTGACAGTAAACCCCTACACATCGTAAGAGAAACAGTTAGTTTTGTTTCCCAACAATTATTTTAGTGTTTCTGAGGCAGAATGAAGTAAAACATTAAGATTTGATAACTACTTTATTGCACTTTTAATTTATGCATGCAAATTAATGAAAATCTCAGCAAGAATTCAACATTTTTACAGGAAAGAGGTAAAAAGGCACCAGTGTTGCCCTCTGACATCATAGATTTTCAGTATTGTTGACTCTGAGACTTTTGACAGGAAACAGTTTCATCATTAGATGCCATGTGACCTCAGAGTAACCAATGCCGACAGCATGCACTGTTGGAGCCAAAATTCCTGCAAAATGACTATGATATAATTCATGTTTAGGTTTTTGCAGAGCGCATGGGCCTGGAAACAGGCTGGAATTGTCACATTTCTTTAAGAGAGGGTGGTCAACTAATTGAGGACCGAGGCAGCAGTGCAACAGTATCAGAAAGAAATGCAGAGAGTCTCTTTGATACTCAAGATGACATAAATGTGGCTGGACAAGAAGGCGATGAAAAACATGTCAGTTGGTGGGGAGTTCGTAGTGATGAATCGCCTGAAAAAGGTATTGTCACTAGCGCTTTAAATGTGCACATCATGTTTCTGGGAATCATTTTTTAAGATTTAATTTAACTTTCATGGTCATAAGTTAACCACCTCTTGCAAGTGGTAACCCATTGAAAATGCCAAAATCAGTTTTTTCAGTCAAAGTGATGTAATTTTGAAAGTGGGTTCCTCATAGGTGACCAACTGATGTAAGTAACCACTAAATCCTGGCATTTTTGGACAGTAACTTGAAGGAGGTTTTTATTGTACATGTAGTTGGTATTTAATTTCAATGTGACTGGTTGTCCAGTATTGGAATCACCTAGTTAAAACAACAGTGTAAGGTACATGTAGAGTAAAGTATTAACAAGGTGATGATGTCATTCATCAGTGTACTCTGTCAATACAAATTACTTGTTATTTACATCCAATTTAGTAGTTATAAGAAATGCATACACAGATTGTCTAGTTCTCTAAAGCAGCATTGAGCTAAAACAATGTGCTTGGACAAACAGCAAGGCAAATGCCCTGTGGTTTAACCAACAAAGACAATTACAGTCAAACCTCTCCAAGAGCACCTTGGAGACATGAGGTACAACTGCGAGTCATAGGGAATTGAAGTGACCAGTGTAGAGAGATTTTAAAACAAGGAAGTGAATATATCTGCTGGGCCTTTAGTATAGATTATTATTTATATTAATTTTGATAATAATGTCTCCTTGCTATTGAACAGTTCCTAATAAGGCTGAAGCCACAGAGGAAGTGGATCCCTTACTTGAAAGCCACAGTGATGGAGGTACTCTGTTGAGTAGTAGTCAAATATCAGCACCTGAGGATTACTGGTTCTTTGCAAACAGGGTAATGATACAGTATTCCAAGTAATCAATGTGTACTTGTCTAGTAGTAGATTTGCTATGGTATGGCTCTAGTATGGCTGTTGTAGCTTGGAAGGACTTGGGTGACTATGTGGTCTCCTACCAAAACTCAAAATGGTTCTGTCACTCTTTGTATGCAATGTCACAACACTAAAATAATGTAAACTAACTAGGACTAGTTTTGGGTGGATTAATCTCTTCCATGAGGTGTCCATATACTTTAGTGGGTGTCCATATACTTAAGTGTGTGTCCATTAAACGGGGTTTGACTGTATGTCAAACAGGTCACTTTGCCGTACCAGAAAACAAGGCTATGGCAGGAAAGCCGTACTTCAACGCTATTTATCATGCTTGAATTTTTGCCAACATTCTGCAAGCAGACACCTACAAAATCACCTAGGGTGTCCACTTAGGAGGGCTTAGACTTTACTTTGATTGCTGGGTTGAAAGAATTGGGCGAAGAGTTGATCTTGTTGTTAATCCTTCTGAACTATCATTACTTTTACTCTTACTACAGTTTCTCTGTGAAAATTGGTGAAATGATCAGTCATTGCACAAGAGATCTCACCATTTTAGGGGTATTAAAAGTTTACTGACCAAAACAACCTTATGGTTGCGACTACAAACTCTCTTTAGGGATCTCCTGACTCCACGTCTAGTTAAGATTGGCTCTGTTAAAGTTAGGTACACCTGGTACCAACAAAGTATTAATTATCATTTTTGTGACAGGCTAAACTTCCTAGAGGGGTGCAAAATATCAGACCTCACCTGGAGAATGTAGATAACGTTCCTCTTCTTGTTCCATTGTTTACTGATTGTTCACCAGCTGGTAAGAAAATATCATGATTCAGATTGTAATAAAGAATTATTTGTATCTCTTTGTCTGTTAAGTAACATAATGATTACAAATAAAATAATTGTGCTTATTAAAAATAAGATAATTATTATTACACACCATTATTTTTTCGAAAGTACTAGGTAAAATTAAGGTTGTCATTTGTTATTGTAGTTATTTTTAAAATCAAATTCTGCTCTCAAGACAAGTTTGACATGGTTAAAGAAATGATTAATAATAAATAATACATTGGCCTTTTATATTTTTTGGCAGCTGTTCAAGAGATGATCTCTATAATGCAAGATTATGGAGAAGTTGTTTGTTGTGTTGGAAGTTCATTTAATTCAGTTAACCCTGCTATATTTATCCAAGCAGATCTTAGGTAAGAAGAAGCCAAATTGTTTCACCAAATAATTATTTTAATAAAATTTTTAAGTTTAATTTAACCCTATTTTCATTAAAAGTAGATTTGATGGCTGCAGAGGGCCTCCAAATTATTTTTCTTTTCAGAAGGGGCATAAATTATTTTGTTTTTTCATGTCCAACCAGGTCGCTGTCTTAGACCCTGTTTATGTGGAGAAAACCTGTCCCGGGTCCAAAGGTCACCCGCTCAGTCGATTCTACTTTAGTGAGCATTAATATGAAAAAAAGTTGACCCCTTTGTCCAAGCCAACAGCTCTAGCAGAAGCTCTGATTGTCTAAAACAGTGCTCGCGCATGCTCTGATTGTTTCGTCTTGACCAAATTGACCTGGCTGGGCGAGCCAAATTGTTCACAAGGAGAAAAGTTGGCCAGGCTAGGAGGGTGACCCTTCAAGCAAAGTCAACTTTTTGTCTTCCATGTTCGACACATTTTGTTAGGAAGTGAATGAAAAGTTGGCCACTCACCCAGGGTAGCTTGTGTAGGTGGTTGACCCTTTTAACCTGGGAACTTTTTCACATGTAATAAATTAGGGCCTTAATTGGACAAACCAGATAAAATTGTTCAGTGGAAATATTATATATTAGGTTGACTTTTGATTTCTTTTATTACTTAATTCCAATTTTTAGCTGCAATATGATAGTCTTTATGGGCAAATTTTCGTAAGTCACTGCCTGATGACTGACTGTTATTTACAGCTCTGTGCAGCATTGTTGGGGCTTTTAATTAACCCTTTAAGCCCCAATATCCACATACAAATTCTCCAAACTGATCTCTATACATTTCCTTTAAGAATTAGTTAAGAGAATTTGATAAAAGATCAAAGTATTATCTCTTAAGTGATCATTTTATTAATTCTCATAACCTAATCTCATGATAATGTATGAATATCGTTAGGAGAAAATTGTTGTTGGACACTATTGGGACTTAAAGGGTTAACTAAGTAGAATCATGTTTAAAAAGGAAAAATCATTGCTGGCAATGGAACTGCAAATATTTTCACTACATTAGAGCCACTGAGTTATTTGTGTTTATTTCTTCCTAATTGCTATTTTTTTCCTTATGGACCCTGGAAGAGAGATTGCTAAATAATGGTTCCTTGAGAACAATTCACATTCTTTCCTATTCGATTTTAAAAGCTGTGTTGAAAGGATCAAAATATATTAATCAAGTATTTGAATGTATGCATGTATATATTAACTGTGTTCCTACTATCCCTTGAGGTCCTTGCAGGATTTATCTCCTGAAAATCAGCTTATACTGATAGTCAAGATATAAGTATGTCAGTGTAGTTGTTATTGTGGCATTTTTTTCTTCAAGTCTTATATTAAAAACTATTATTTTTTGCATTGGTTTTTCAGTATTGCAGTGGAACCCTTATTTCCGCAGCTCTGTTTAAAAGGTCTGCCCAAAGACTTTAGATCAGGAACTCCTCGACTTGGTCATGAAAGTGCTAGAGAAAAAATGCATCGAAGCCTAAGCGAGGAACAGTCGACTGAGGAAGAGAATGGTATGAATTCAAATTGATTCATAAACGAATTTTAAAATCAGACTTTAGATGTCATATTTCTATCTAAAATTATTTAATTGAATAAAGTTTCATCAGATTATACTGCCATTAAAATTATACCATCCTACTCATTTGTTACTTTAGCAGTAAAAGTACTCTTTCCTGGGGTGGAGAAAAATAATTTCTAAGTAATTTAAGTGAATGTCAAAATTAGACGTGTGACCTTAAGTACTTCCAAACCGTCAAATATAGGCATTGAAAAACTGCAATCAAGTTGCCCTTTTGTTGCCCTTTTTTTCAAATTACTCTTATTAGTATTATTTTAAATCATGAGTCTCCAATCACCTTTGATTGAAGTAAACAAGCCATTATTGTTTTTATTTATCTTATTTTCAGAGCTGTCGCCACTAGAGTTGAGTGTCTTCCTTAATGCCCTACCTTGCTCATTGGCATTCCACAGAGATGCCAGCTTTGATTTTAAGGTTTTAATCAAGGAGGTCAGTTCCCTTTTATTCTTGTATTTTTTTTTTGTTTGATATTTGTAATACTCCGTAGGTTACCAGACATCTGTGGAAGGTTAAAGTATGAGTGATGGTACTAAGAAATTGGTACATAGGCTAACAAAAAAATGGTAAATGTGTCAAAAAGTATGAAAATTGAAGGTCTTTTTTAAGGCCATGCATCACATGAAATGCAGAAAAGTTGCAGTTGAAAAGACCTCTTAGGCTGCAATTGGTGTAAAAATTGTTGAGACATCATACCCAAATGAGGAACTTCAGAGAATAAAAGAATCCACACCCCTCTCCCCTCCTCTCCATTCAAAGTTGGAGTGTTTGTTGTTTTCTATAGGTAGCTCGAACAGCAGCACAACATTGCTTGAAGGGGATAGGGGAGGAGAAGCTTTATTTTCCCCATTTGAAGGCAGTAAAATGTCAGAAAGTCCCTTTAGGGTGAAGTGTCTCAACAAATTTTGTTGCCGATTGTAATTTCATATTCTAAGAACACTTGCTAGTCAAAATCTGAATGAACTGTCAAGCTTAAATGGTGGAAACGTTTGTATTTAGTTATGTATTACTAAAGAATCAACATTGATTGCACTTTCAATTTTCTTTCAACATGAAAGTCAAGCTTAGCTTATATAGTATGTAGGAGACGCTGTCTGATATCTGTCTGTCAAGCGCACTGTTGTACACTTTTAAGTCTTACCATAAAATAAATGTCACTAATTAAAATAAATATTACTGTTTACATTGCAGGCACGTCACCTATGCTTTGGACTCATGAACTGCTTCTCCTTCATGCTCTCATGTCAGCTGGTACTTTCTGCCGTCATGCTTCTATCGTCATTCCTCCTCCTCCCTCCTCCCTTGACAGGGCTCCATATTTTATGGCTGACATGCCTGACAGTACCCCTGTTGAGTCTGTCTTTGATTGGTTCCACGGCTGATCAGGATCTTATGACAATGATCACAGGAAAAAATGACAAAAACTTCAAGGTAAATTTGTGCAATTAGCACGTACATGGGAATAAATGGTAAGCTCTCCTGGGGAAATCAGGCCTTCAGAGCATCTTGCCTAGTTCTTGTACAGGGTCTTCCAGACCTTCTCTGTCAATACATTTCGCTGATGTATCCAAGACAAATGGGTAAAAAACTTGCTCACACCACATGACCCAAAATGCATAGACCATGAAGAATAATGAGGGCTAGGGACTAGGCAACAGGGTGTCCTGGTGAGCTTGCTTGCAGGAATGTTCCCAAACAAACTCTGCAGATGGCCTGGTATGTAAAATCTTTACCCTTTTTTGTTTCTGGTACATTTTGTACTGTTAGGAATTTTTATGTTCCAAGGCAAATTTTCTGTATCAGCAGTGTGCAAAGAAAGTCATTTTTACAGCTTGACTTTTGGGTAAGATAAAGCTGGTATTAATTGCTAGCCATTTCAACAGTAGCCCCAAAAACGTTTTGATGAGCAGAATTGATTTCACAGTTTTTCTGTAATTTGAATTCCTCATAAAACTTCACTTGCCCCTCAGGCAAGTTAAAAACAGAATTCACTAACCCGATAGCAAAATCCACTAGCCCTGGTTATTCGACACTACTTTCTTTGCACACTGATTAGCCATTTATTCCACCCATGTCAATTTAAGTACGCCTGTGCATGATTTTATATAAATCTCTACTGATTTAACCAATTAGGAGTGGACAGGTATTTCTTTGTTCCCTTTCAGGATATCACATACAGAGTTTGCATTTTGTTCCTTGTGTGCTTCTTTCCTTCTGTTTGTGTATGCTGCCTGGTTCTTTTTCCACTAAATCTACGTGATATTTGCCGTTCTTTAAACAAGAAATCCAGTGACTGTCATTACCTACTAGGATACAGGTAAGATTAAATCGTGAGGCTTTTTTAAAGCATAATTTCAGAAAGCTGGTTTGGTTTTCTTAGGCCCTTTTAGCGTAGCATTCTGTAGCTAGCTAAGCCATATCATCAAGGTTCCTCAGCTTAATCATTAACATAAACACGTGCACCTCTGGTGGAATCCCCCTTGAAAAATTTATGAATGAAAAGAACAAGTGATCTTAAATCTTTGTTTATTTCACCTTATGAAAGGCATTTACACGAGTGTATGTAAGTAGGAGAACAAAGTAACTGATAAATAAAATAATCATAAAAGACAATAAGTTCATGATCATTTGTGTACAGAGTCCAAAGTAGCAAGAGCTTTCTTGTCGGACACCGTCATGTTCAGGTAATCGGCAGCAGCAAAGAGAGGAAATAAAATATTTAACAATAAGAATAATTATTATTCCTTGAGCCCGAATGGGCTCTGAGTCAATAGCCCATGAGGCCGAAGGCCAAATGGGCTATTGACTCAGAGGCCATGAGAGCAAGAGAAATAAGTTGGTAAAAAATATTGAGGAGAAAAAAATTTTAGCTAGTTAAAGCTAGACTTTTTGCTGCCAAAAAGCCCGCGCTTTTCACTACTAGGGGGCTATAACATATAGCCTAGTAGTAGCTCAACCAATGAAAACGCAGCACTGATAACAGACCACTAGTTGGATTTTACTAATAAATAATATCAGTGATACAACATATAAGCAAGGTTAAGATCAGATTTGATTGATTAGAAGATAGGACAGCCAGAAACAGGTACTCAAAGACAACAGTGGTAGAGGGTATAATAATTTATACTAAATTCACCAAAAAATACATTACTTTAGTTTATAGTCACATAGTTTTGCTTGTAAGGTGAGCAGGTTTATGAGATGTTGAAAGTAAGTGCATTAATTTACAGAATGTTACAAGCGGTATGATGCTCCACCGCCCACTTCCTATCTCATTTATAAATAATTAACATGCAATGAGTAGTGGGAATTGTTTTCATTTAACCTAAAGGAATAGCAGTGAAGTCTGGAATGGTCTGGGGCAGAGTCACATTCAAGCACTGGCTTTAGCTCAAGATATCAACACGTTTTTTCTTGTTCTTCTTTTTGGTAAGTCAAGGTGTAATGCCAAGGCAAGCATTGATTATTCTTGGTCAAGTCTAAATTTGTTCTGTTTTTTTTTTTTTTTTTTTCAATCAGTAAACATACACTTTTTTTCCAAGCCTTAGGTTAGTCATTTGACTGTGAGAATCACATGTACTTTCATTTATTTCAGCAGATGTTCACATTACCAATTTTTTAAATACATTCATATTCGTAAACAACATGTAATGGGGAATAGGAAGCAAGGGGCGGTGGCACAGTGATGAGAGCACTTGTCTTCCATCAACTTGGCTTGGGTTCAAATCGAGGTGTCAACAGCATTATGTGGGCTGAATTTGTTGTTGCTAACGTCTCCTTTACTCTGAGAGATTTTTCTCTGGCTACTCTTTTTTTCCCCTCTCTTCAAACACCATCACTTCCATGTAGTTCCAAATTCCAATTTAACCAGCTGGAATAGTAGACAAAGAACCTGGCTATGTGGATATGCAACCTCCGAAAAAATCATTATTTATTATGTGTGAGAACACTAGCCATAAGGTTGTGCTACTGAGTTATTTGTTGACCTGATGACCAAGTGCAGAAACTGTGGCATGGTTATGGTTGCTTTGGAAACCACAATCATCTTTGAACTAACCTAGGGTGCAATCTTTATTTCAACCAAACTTTTATCATGGTGTCAATGAAACAAAACTTTGGATCAATCTTGCAATTTTGTCCCTCTTTAAGACCCAATATTTTCCTTACACCCAGATTCTAAATAATAAACATTGGATCAGTTAAATGGAACCAGACTTTTCAGTTTAAACTGGACACACTCCCTTTTTCGTTCTTCAATGATGGCTGTTTAATAGACATTCACCTGTATAACAAATTGGAACTGCTAATGGTGGGGAAGGGCTGGGTATGTAAACCTGTCTGCAGTGGACCAAGAATTTTCAAAGGTTACGGCAAAGACCTTATTTTGTCCTTTGGAAGAAGTTTACTGGAATACAATAAATTTTTCTAACAGCATAAAGACTACATTAAAAAGTAACAAAATGTAAAACTATGTTGATGTCATTTTTTCTGCAGTATTCATTTCCTCAAGTTATGTGCATCGTCTTCATCTACTCTGGAGAAAATCACCTTTTGTAAATAAGTCTTGGATGTGCGCAGTGGCTGTTCTGTAAGTATTAAAACTTTGCTTTTTACCAGGTACAAAGATTTGAAATCGGTGTCCAAAAAATAGTACGAAATGAGACTTCCTTACTTGTATTGTCAAGTCTCAAATTAATTTTTTGATGGGTGGCCGGACACGATGACCGGCCAAAGAAATTTTGCTTGGTCAAGTCTCATCCTGAATGGTTTAAGTGCTGGAAAAAAGTTAACTAATCCTTACAAGTGTGATTTTCGATTTGTGAAATATGTGTTTTGCAAAGAGACAAAAATCTAAGATTTGGCCGTTTTTTCAAGAATTATGAGAGTGTGTGTGACAGGTCAACATGACCTCTGATTGAAATTTTTAGGAGTGTAGCTGGTGTAGTTGCCATTCAGGTCAGACATTGTTCGTTGATTGGCCATTATTTTGAGCCCTGTATGGTGTACCAAGCATATTGAAAAAACACATTCAATCTCCACTTATTTTTTGCCTCCTCATGTGTTGTGAACTAAACTATTTGGCTACTTTCCATTTTATGTACAGCTTGACACTCCATGTAATCTACTTTGCATTATCTCAAGTTGGTTGGAGTCAGCATAGATCACGTGTATACAGTATCACTGATGTTCCAGTACCCTCTATCATCATCACCATTCTATGGCCTGTTGTTGCTCTTGCAATTTGTGAACTCTTTAAAAGGAGATATATCAAGTAAGATAACTTCATTTTACCACCTGATAATTCAAGTACATGGTTGTCTGTGACCCACTACTGTTTGCAAGACATGTATTAATTTTAGTGTTGATGTTAAGCATTACCCCTTGTTTCCACATGTCACATAGTAGTGATCATTAACTTTAATAGTTAATACAAATGGCAAGTAAATATTTTCGTACCGTCATACGCAAACATTCTTAGGGCTTCATCACTGGGGTAGGAACTCACAAACTGACAAAGCCGCTAAGAACGTCTGCATGGGAGGCTTATATTATTTTAATTTTCCATTCTTTGTTAAAAAGGAAAAATTTTCCTTTAGAGTTTAATTTTCAGCGGTTAAATTGGACTCGGGCATTTGTGATTTTCAACAGTTTTTGAGAAAAAGAAAAAAGTTCATCTTCTGATACACCTGTCTGTACAAAAAAATAATGAACTGTTGTGGTCAATAGTTTTGTTGTAAAAAGGTACGTAGCTTATCATTACATGTGCACAGTGTTAGATTTTAGTGGTGTCTCAGAATCCTATGTTGGCCCAGTATACACAGTGATGTTACTTGTCACAAAGAGTAATGATAATCACTTTGACTCTGAAGGTGACTATGGCACAGGTTGTCGAAACGCGAGTCACTGTCAACAACAACAGTCCTATCCAGGACTACGATCATGCGGACAATCATACTCAACCTACTTATGAAAAGACTCCTGGGTTCAAACCTTTCACACTAATGATAATGATGGAATATTCAGAAAATCTTCCACTGTAGCAATTTTTAACAGTCATTTTATTATTACAGGGAGTGGATCAGACACCAGAGAAGAGCCAAATTAAAGTTTGGCACCAAGTTGGGCATGAATTCTCCATTTTAGTAGAGGAGAAGGACAAGGCAACATCTTTTTAAGTAGAATAGAATGTTCATACCCAGTCACAAATTCTCATTGACATAATTATTTCAGTAGTATGTCTATAAACATGAGTAAGTGCATGAAACTCTCGTAAGCGGACACCCTCGGGATGTGAAAAAGGTGTTCATACCTGGAGCTGGCCGCTTACAAGAATGTAAAAATGCAGAGTTTGTACGGGAGTTGAGTAAAACAGGGTTTTGTGAAGGTGGCTGTAAGTGGAGTTGTCTGCTTACAAGAGTGACTATTATGAGAGCTTCCACTGTACAATTATTTTCTCTAGGAGACTCTGGGGCTTATAGAGAGGGGAAGATGCTAAGTCAAATAAGTGCAGTCAGTGGTTCAGAACAGTAATAGATCTTTTGTTCATGTGCCAATCAACACATGCTAGTTTTGTACGACACAGAAGGGTGGATATTGATGCAAATGTTGGATTTAATGTTGAGCAGTTTGCTCATCCATTTGTCAGAATCTTTTTTGTAAATATAGCTGCAGTACAGATGTTCATATCATTTTCTAATGCAATACCAAAAATGCTAATGTGTTATTTTTATTTTGTTATTGATTTTATTTATAAATTTCCTAATGTGTAGATAGTAATTTATTGTACAACATGCTTGAAATGAAATGAATAAACAAATTTTAGTCTGTAGATGATGAAAAATTTGGTTTAAATTAACCAAAAACTGTTGACATAAACTGTGCATTTTTGCCCTTGCCAAAAGCAATTTATTTTCAATACACTTTTTTATCTTTTGAGGATGAATCAAGGCTTGTCAAAATGGTAACAACTAGCAGCCTACAGTAGAATGAACAAGAGCTTGAATCTTGTATCTCACTGAACTACGTGTAACATAGTAGCCTGCCAAGTTGGCAGGATCAGAGTGAGTTGGTGTTTTTCAGTGGTGGAGCTACTGAATTTAGCTAGCAGAAAGTCACAACGCATCTGAAATATTTTTTTTCTCCATTTTTCTTGTGGCTTTAAAGCTGCAGGTACAGTCAAACCTCTTTAATACGGACACCAAAGGGACAGAACAAAGTGTCTGCTTTACAGAGGTGTCCATATTAATAGAGGTAGGGAATGTATTATCTTTGGCATTTCAAGGATCAAACAAACTGTCCATAATAGAGAGGTGTCCATATTATAGAGGTGTCCGTAAGGAGAGGTTAGACTGTAGTGACATAGCTGTTGGTACTGTTTTAACAGCAACAGCAACAGGCTCCATCTCAGTCTCCACTGATAGGTTCCCTGCAAAGTTGACTTGAGTTTAACGTCCCAGGCTTGCTGGCAGTAATGACCTTTGATGGCTCTTGCCACTGGTGGTATATGTTTCCATATCTCAATGCAATATCATTCCTGAAGCTATGTCACAGGTTGGTTGGTAGCAAACAACAACCAGGCTCCAGGCTTTAGTTCATAATGCAATACTGCACTCTGTTACTAACTAAACAATATTGGATATTACATGGCTGCACGGAGATACGAAATTTCTCTTTGAGTGTTGAAAAATATTTCATGAATGAGCGCAGCGAACAAGTGAAATATTTTTTCAACACGAGAAGAGAAATTTCGTATCTCCAAGCGGTTATGTAATGTTCTATTTATTATATAAACACCAATAAAATACCAAACCATTTCACTTTAATAGTTTTTTGGTGTGAAAGGTGCGATTTATTATGTAGCCATAGCAACGGTGATATTTTCACATGTGAAGATAACATGTTATTTTCACATGTAAAGATATCAAGTTTTCGCGTGAAAGCTCACCTGGTATTTCATTGGTGTTTATATAATAAAATAGCTTACTTAATGTAAAGCAAAAGTTTTTTTTTTTTAATAACATAACATCTCAGACAAAAATGTAAGCAGAATTGTCTTTGTGGTATTATGCCCGACCAACAATGCAGACAAAAAGCCATGACAAGGGCTTAGAAGAGAGTATCCTGAATGATGAGGCATCCTGTTTTTATGATCTTCACTTGACACTCAGTGAACTGGCAGACTTAACATGTTCCTGTGACCAGTTTACTCTATCATGCCATTTAATTCATCCTCAAACACAAATGATTTCCTTGTTGTGTCCAGTAGTAACGTTGTGACATCTGCACAGAATCCACGGGATACTTGAAGAAGGTGAACAAGTTTTGTTGACAAGAATTTGATGTCTTCCTCTTTCTGTGCAAATTTTAAAAAAAAATCATTATTCTAACGTCAGTCTCTCTATTCTGATTAAGAAAGTGAGGCCTAAAATATGATAGATAGAAATGGAAAAACTAAAAAATATATATCGTTTAAAATAATGCAATAAATGGTCAGGGCTAGCTTTGCCCTTCTTATTGCTTACACAAACAATTCTAGGGGTTTCTTCACATGAGATTATCCAGCAACTGCAAGTGAGAAACTACACTGTGCACATGCAAGGTAATTCTTTCAGTGGGAGTAAGCATTTTATAGAAGATCTCACAGCTGAGATCTTAAACAAAAAAACCAAAAATTTATGTTAAATGCAATTCAGCTGGTTCAAAGGCCATGCCACTTTGTTTTGAACCTGATTTGAGGAAGTTTGACTTTGGAAAAAAAAGAGTGTTTGAAATTGCATACTTGTGTCAAACCAGTCAAAAGACATCGCTCCATATCACAGGAGGAATTAAAATCATATCCTGGTCTGGGCCTAGAATAATACAACATCTATTGAACTTGACACTGCAACAACTAAACCAGGCCCCAGATGTTCAAAAGGTGGATAATGCTATCCACTGGATGGTGCAATTGGTTTGCCTGATTCTTATCTGCTGGATAGTGATTTATCCAGTGGTTAGCGCTATCTAATGTCTGAACCTTGGTCAGGTGGGTTGAGGTGATTCAAACACCGCTTTGCTTGACCTAACCTGTCAATTATGTTTGTTACATGAGTGGTGTGGCATCTGGGCCTAAATTGATTTTATTCTTTTTAATAGACAATTTCAAACTATCAAGAATGTTTTTTTTTAGATTTTTTTAGGCTTTAGCCCCCCTTATCAGGACAGCAAAACTTTCTATGCAACTGGTCAGGGCTAGCTTTACCCTTCTTATTGCTTACACCAACAATTCTTGGCGTTTCTTCACATGAGATTATCCAGCAACCGCAAGTGAGAAACTACACTGTACACATGCAGGGTAATTATTTCAGTGGGAGTGGGCATTTTATAGAAGATCTCACGGCTCAGATCTTAAACTCACCCTCAAGTCTGCACAAATTAAAGGTGAATCAAAGCTGTCAGCAAGGCTTGTTACTTCCTGGATGCTAACAGCATGTTTGGCTTCATTTTTGGCTGAAAAAGAGACAAATGAGTATAATGTTAAATGCCTTTTCAAGACAGAAACAAAGGGGGCAGACACGTTCGTTAATGATTGTTGTTTTGGCTTGGTCATATTAAATGTTGCAGTGATTATTTTAACATTCTGTTCTCCTCAAAATAGTTTCAATTCAGTGAATGAAACCCCTGCAACTAATCCTAAGCCCTCAATTCAGAATGCATGCGATAGGAGGAAAAAGACTGGAGTGCGATTTTGAATGCACCTAGCAGTAAAGGAAGAATACAATGAATCCTACAACAACAATGTTGTCCATGACTTACAAACTAAAAGTTTGAACTTCATCAGGTGCAGTAGACGTGTGCACTTTATTTGCTTATTTTTTTCAACCCTTTACATTACAAAAAAGTATTTTTAGTGAAAAAAGAAGAACATTTCCTTGCAATCTGGATGTGCCTTGGAATTCATCTGAACAAACTATTGCCTCCAGGGAAAGGGGTGATGGTAGCTAGCCTCTTATGGGGAAATAATTATTTTTCTTGGATGGGTTCCGGGGAATTGTAAATGTTGTTGTGCAAATGCCCGGTGCTTCACTGTCCTGGGTTGGCTGGTAATAAGTACATGTTTGATCAGGAGATGGTGATTCCTCTCTGAGAAGCAGCAGCTATGGTATCTCATCACAAGGAGAAGGAAACATACCTTGCACTACTACAAAGCAGCAATGGCCCAGAAAGTAGTCAATGTCCATGTGTTTGACTGAAGCTTTGATTGTTTCCAAACTTAATGAGAAAAATAAGTTAAAGCAATGTGAGTTTTTTGTTTCTACATGTATTTAGTCTGGGTTGGGGGGGAAGGGGGAGGGTTTTTGCTGGCTAATCTAGAATAGGGTAGCAACATTGCAGTAGAGCTTGGTCTCAGTCAAAGATTTCAGGGTCCTTCCAGCACACCTCTACCCAAGAATTCTTAGAGTAACCCTCCCTTGAGATAAAAGTACCCTAGTTTGCATGTACACGCTGCAACACGGATGGTGTTGCAGATTTGAGTACATGCCCCCAATAGCCACTCAGTAATAAAGTCAGTTTTTAAGAATGTTTTGTAACATTTGTTTCAGAGCTGGCAAAAACACTCCAAGACAAATTCTTGAATCTCTTGGATCTTTACTATGAAGATGAATTTTAACCCCACCCCCTCCCACCAGAAAAATGGCATTTGGATTATGAATTAAAACAGAACATGCCTATTTTCATTCAAAGCTACCTCATTCCCTTGATCCCCAGGCTCTCAAGCTAAGGGCTGTCATTTAGAGGTGGGGGCCGCGGATTTCCCCCGGCTACTTTCAAAGGAAAATAGAAGAAAACTAGAACCAAAAGAAATCCCCAGCTGTTTGATTCCCCGCCCACTTGTTGTATTTACCGGGCAACTTGAAATCTTAGTGACAGCCCTGCAAGATGCTGTACACATGATATTATGGAACAGATGTAATACAGCATTTTGATCCTTTCCAATGTACCCTGCCTTGCCTGTTAACTCTACTGGGGGTATCAATTGAAAGATTGTATTCATTATATTACATTGTACCTCAAGTTATTGGTCAAGTCAACAAACAGCACTATAAAATCAATTCTTGGCCTTGCGTTCTCACTGTCCTCTGGCAATGGCAGACCAGTAGAAATACGGCTGTTAATAATAAGAAAACTATTTAAAAAGTTCACAAATACAAATAAATATCCACTCTCTGATATGATCTCACCCACGTCCCTCGTTAAGTTGAAGATTATGCATGTAGCGCGACTTTTTCTAGCTAAGACTCCTATCAAAATATCTCCAGTAGAACTAAAATAAGAATAAGATTAAACCAGACCTACATTTGTACAGAGAAATCAGTGTGAACAGCTAGCGTAGATCTTGCAACGAGGTGCTTTCCAATTCCCTTGACACCCACAAACTGAAATAACAATAAGCTGATTGTAGAAGTCATTCGTGAAAGAGTAAGAATACAGTAGAGGACCAAGGAAAACCAAAACTGGTTTTCTCTTAGTTCCCGGTTTGTTTTGACTTACCAAAGCAGTGGCTTGATTCTTGTCTGGAAGCTTTGAAAACCGCGACAGAATGTTTACGTTTTCCGCCATTTTTAATTTGATTTTCCCGCGCGTTTTGCTCAGGAACCTGGTAACCAATGTATTTTGGGCCTGCGATAGTCGAGGTCAGTGGTGATTCAATATGGCGGCCAAGAAGAAGCTAAAGAAAGAAAAGAAAGTTCTCGTTTTTGATGAAAATTCTCGCAGGTTTGTAGTTTGGTATTGTGTTTTTCAAACAACCTAAGCTTACACCTGTCAAAACGTTCTTGGAAAAAGATTTTATTCAAAGCAGTCTGCAGCTGGTCTCGTTTTGAAATTCAAGGTTATGATGGGTTTTTGAAATTTCAGAGAATATCTTCTTGGATTTCGCAAGAGGAAAAATGAGCGGAGGAAAAAAGCCCAAGAAGACTTGACAGAGAAGGAAAAAGAGCGAAAGAGGGAGCTGAAATTAGAGGTTGGTTTTACTATAAAATTAGGGAACATCTTTTAATTTAGGTCTTTCACTCACAGAAAATAGTTTTATCAATTAAGTTGATGAAAGAGAAAATAGTGTTTGCTGTTACAATATTCTGTAATGCTAAGGTGAATTGATTATGAATTGAATTTAAATGCTTTTGAACACTACAGCTTAGTGGTCATAAGTCAGTGACTGCATTGATGATGCCTCCAGGATAAGTATACCTGCCAACTCTCATGCCTTAGGCGAGTCTCACGCTTTAGGCGTGAGTCTCACGCCTGCGGGTTGAAAACTTCGATCTCACGCCGGCTCACGCTTGCGGGCCAATTTCTCACGCCTGATTGAAAAATGTGAGTTGTTGCCGTCTTACTTGACACAATTTCCAAAAATATGTTAACTCAGACCCATGTAAGGAACGAAAACCATATGTAAAATGAATAAATGAAAATACCTTCCTCGCGATCTCTGATTTTTGAAGTGAAAAGCACTGAGAGCGAGCTCGCTTTCGGCAGACTTCGGACGTCTTTGGAAGACTTCGGACGTCTTCGGAAAACTTCAGACTTCTTTGGAAGACTTCGGACTTCTTCGGAAGACTTTGGACCTCTTCGGAAATGTTCGGAAATGATTGTGTCGTCTTCAAAAATCCCAGCACTCCCAGGATAAAAATCTCACGCTTATATCTCAGAAAAAGTTGGCAGGTATACTTATCCAGAATGGCTTTAGATATGTATAATTTCATTAAACTGTTCCTTTGTTTTTCTTTCATTCCCTCTTACAGAAGAAGCGTAGTATGGTGGAGCAAATAGAAAAACGGAGGAAAGAATTAGGTAATTAACAAAGTATCACCTACTCAAGAGTATTGGCCAACCCAACAATGACTGGATATATATATTTTAGTAAAATCAGTTCCATCCTTTCTCTACATCCTTGGAGTGACTGTTGGAAGATTTGCAATTTAATGATGCTTTAAAACAGGAAGTTTTTTATATAATTTTGCACCTTGCACCTCGCACCTTGCACCTATCCCATAGTCACGGTGACCATTGGGCAACACAGACCTAGCAACCCTTTCCCTTCATTTGAGTTTGTTTTCAGCTTCTCTTAGGGCATTGCAAAACTTCAACCCTGTCCACTCAGAGATATTATTCTCCCAACACTTCTTTTTTTGGCCCCTTCTTCTCCCTCCCTGCACTGCTCCTTAAAAAATTGTCTTGGCAAGCCTTGCTGATCTCAATACATGCCCAAACCACTTTAACTTGCGTTTCTTTAGGGTGGTTAAGATATCATCCTAGGGTGCAATGGCTAGTGCCTCATTCTGTCTCTGACTGCATTGTTAGTGATGTGGTCTCTGTATGAGATGTCCTCATCTCAGTGGCCTACACTTTCCTCTGGATGTCCGCTGTCAATGTCCAGGTTTCGCAGGCGTACATTTTCTGGTGTTATAAATTATTTATTATTGAAATAATACAGGCGTAGGCTATGTGTTTCGAAAACTTTTGATGAGGGTTTTTTACATACCAGTATCTAAATGACAACTGAAATCTCTACCTTTTTATATACAGTTGTAACTGATTATGATGCCTTAACCCTTTAAGCCCCAATATCCACATACAAATTCTCCAAACTGATCTCTATACATTTCCTTTAAGAATTAGTTAAGAGAATTTGATAAAAGATAAAAGTATTTTCTTTTAGGTGATCATTTTATTAATTCTCACAACCTCATCTCTTGACAATGTATGGATATCGTTAGGAGAAAATTGCTGTTGGTCACTATTGGGACTTAAAGGGTTAAGAAGGTACCCCTTTTAGGTGAAGCCTCCCCGTATTGACCATTATAGGGAGTACCCTCTCCTCCCTAGAAAAAAAATGTTAAGTGTATTGATTTTAATCCTAGAGGCTCTTGAATCTGATGAATCAGAAGATGAACAAGATGTTTCTGGAGTCAATACGACCTATGATCATCCTGATCATGTTGTCACAGTAACTACAATCAGTGACGTCAACTTAGACAGTGGTAAATTTGCATGTATTGGACCAAACAAGGTGATTAACAGCTGGTTCTCGTTTGGCACTCACCATCTACATTCCAGCTTGTATTTTTGGAACATGCAGTGAATGATTTCTTACTATTTGTAGTGTTCTCCTAAAAATTTGATGTGCAATGTGAAAATCATTAAATAGATAGCAAGTGATTGGGTAGAAACGTGGCAAAGGTTTGGGTAAGGTATGGGAAAGCTTCTGCCCCATTTCATTGTAGGAGTCTATGAGCCTCCCCAGGCTAAATTTTAATTTGGCGGTCCTTGAAAAATGCATCTCAGGGCATTTTATTTTTGAGTAACCAGCAAAATAAATATTATTTTAGCCATGAGGATGACACCTTTATTTACCCAAATCATAAATTATGCATCATATGTTTGCTGTTGTCAAATAACATTTTGGGGAAAAAAAAAGAAATACAAGGGACTTACTTTATTTTCTTTAAGTAGCCGGCAGCTTGATATGGACTAGAAGGCGATTTTCACCAGTCACCAGAGCTTCTAGAGAACCTTGTTTTTATCAAGGTGTCTCTTCATGAATCCTACTTCTAGGGATTTCGATATCCCTATTATTTTGAAACACTTTCTCTGGTATTTGTTACCTAACTTAACACAACCTTTCTCTAGGGCTTGATGGAGACATCAACATCAGAGGAAACTGCCTCACTACAAGAGAAACAGCTGAACAATGATAAAGTTAGAGAGACTGAAAAGTAAGCTATTACACAAGTGTACATTTTCTTAGTGTTTTATCTATAATTGCAACTGAACGAATACTAGGTGGATAATGGGTAGTTTGTTGGTGTTGCAGATAGGTGCAATCACCAAATGACAGTGAACAATACACACATTACAACACAACAGCAAACCAACAATGGTTTCCACAACACTAAGAAACACGAAGATAATGAGTTGCATTGTTAACTGTTTCTGTTTATGAACTTTCACTTTCAGATGTACTTCAAAAAAGCAAAGATTTCACAAGAAATTTAAAAAGAGGAGAAGTAAGAAAATTGAGAAAGAACAGAAAGGACAGTCTGGGAAAACTACTAGAAAGAGAAAACAAATTCATTCTCATGGAAAATCCAAGCGCTTTAAAAAGTCATAAATAAATGAATCTGTTTGTCATCAACATAAAACCTTCTGACTCTGTATTGGCTATTGTTTGACATTGTTCAAAGAACAAGGAAGCCAGCACTTTGCTAGTACTTAACTTTACAGTCTCCTAATGGACCGCCGTTGTTTTTGTCATCATTATCACTGTTACAAATCTCATGCCTGATGTGACTGGAGCCTGAAAGATGTTGGCTTTCGAGCAGAACTTACCATTGGGGCCTTCACTTATGTCAAGGTTTGCATTGGCAATTTTTTGTGTGCTTGTGAAAAATCACAAGGTTGGCAATTTTTGGTGTTCATTGTAAAATTTGCAATTTTTTGCAAGCCTGCAAATTTTTGAATTCATTGCAGTTTTCTGCTATTTTCCCTCTTCTGTATAAAATTTATGAGAATTATGAAAAATCGGAAGGGTGATGATTTTTCGCTATTATTTGCGATTTTCGTAGTTCTTTGTTATGTTGCTCATCAAGTTGAAAGCCAGATATGGATTTTACTAATTTTGCAAAAAATCTTAAGGTCAATGATTTTCTGACCTGACAAAATTTCTATTTCCTCTTGCAAATTTTACAATTCTTGCAGCTACGTGCAAACCTGGACATGTCTTCCTTCTTTAGGTGTCAAAATAAGGTTGGATTTTGCATGGTGGGTTAGCACCATGTGCTTGGTGCATATTTTGCTAAACCATGTGGAACTACTGCTCCATTTTTAAGAACAATGAAATCCTCCAATGTCACACCCTTTGCACATCAGAGGTAAAGGCTGTTTCAACACATGGAACAAAGTAAAGTGAAAATTACATCTTCAAAACAAGAATGACTGATATTGTATTTTTCATTCTTATAATCCTTGTACTTTCACAATATTTTATTCTTCTGTATTTGTTGTAACATCCAGAAAAGGCTTCTGTGTCAATACTAATCCCCCGGTTTCTATACTTGCTTGGCTCTTCTACTTCATGACAGCATTCCATTGGCAACAACAACTACAACAAACTGAAAAAAATATGTGCCTTAACAAGCTGAGTTTAATATAAAAAGTGGTTTTACCTTTCAAAGTCTAATAGACATTTTTAAACTAAAATAACTTCCCAAGAACATGACTGACTTTAAAAACTCGCTATTAATGTGACTTTAAAAAAACGTCTTATGAAATCCACTGCAATCCAATTAAATGGTATTTTATTATTCATTCAAAATATTTCCCTGATTCTGATTGGCTAAAAGCACACGCATAATTCACCATAACCAGTTACTGATGACCAAATTTGGAAAAATTTTGTGTTTAACGAGGAAATGACATAAAAAATGCAGCGTTCTTGCAGGTTAATGCACCGCTAACCGAGAAGACCTGAGGACGAGGACATTTCACTCGTTTCAAGAGTAAGAACTAGGCGAAATTTTAGCTAAAAACATGGCAAGAACAGCAAGAACACAACTCAAAGGGCGACATCTGGTATTTGGGGAATATTAATTGCGGAGCTGAGCAACCCTAAATGTGCACTATCGAAGGTGAACTTAACATCAATGGCGGTAAGCATGGTTTAGCTTTATTTTTAAACTAGGAATAATATTATTTTGAATGAATAATAAAACAATTATTGAATTCGGAATTTGTATCATATGAAAAATTATGGAGATCTCGGAGGGTGTTATCCATCGAGGCCGTTACACCCTCCTCGATCTCCATAATTCTTCACAAGATACTCAGCCTCATTCATTAATTGTTAACTAATTCTGTTTTATGGCCTCCTAATCCTCTATTGTCCCCTGAGAGTAAAGAGTGGAACTTGCTCAAGAACAGGCTCCCTCCCAGGTGATTTAAGAATCACAAGTCACAAGTTGAGTGATTGGAAACAAGCAAAAATGTGTGCATAGTAAGAGGAAGAAAGGTGCATGAAGTGACATCTTGCCAACTTTCAAAGTCTTACCTTCCCTTACTCACTTTGAGAGAAATGCCTAGGTATAAGACAGTTCAAAAATAGTTTTTTCCAGTGAGTGGGGTACTATGAAGAAGTGTCGAGCATCTCCTCACCCTAACCCCCCAAGGAGATACCAGGAGTCTCTCTCACTCGTTGGATCAAGAAGAAAGCTGACACTTCGGACTATAATGTGTTAGAGAAGAGGGCATACGCAAGTAGAATATCAGACCTTGGGGAAAACATAATAAGGCCACAAAGTGCTCTTAACAGCAGACAGTTACTGACTGGTCTTGAAGAAAGCAATTCACAGGGTATTTTCTTGCAAAACAGTGTCTCCCCAGGACAGTTCTTGCTATCCAAGTAAGCAGAGGAGGCGTGGAGCCAAGTGCAATAGTCTCCTGACAGGTAATGTCGCATCTGAAACCACCAAGGACAACTGGGAATGAGGCTGTGTCACTCTCACACTGTTTGGTTTAGTACCATCCTCTACCTCAATAGAATGTATGTATCAGTATTGCATTGGGTTTTTGTGTGTCTGATTGTTACAGTTTAATTCAGGGAAATCCTTAAGTCGTAAAAAATTTGATGTAAACAGTTCACTTTCTGGAAAAAAACTTCAAATATTGGTTCCTGTGACCCTCCAGTAGAAACTTCTCTTAGCACAGAGCATGGTGATAGAACTGTCCAACAGCCTACAACTAGTAGAGCGAACATCCAGCTAGCATGCTTTGTTTACAAGTTGTCCCATAAGCAAGCAAGATTTGATAAGATAAAGAGAATGTTAGTGAAAATGGGGTTGGTAGGCCTGCATGATCACTCTGGCCTTGTAAACTTCAGCATCAGCTTAACCAAAGCTAAAGGGCAAGCAATTTTTTTTAAAATATATTCATCCCACCCTGTAAGATGACCAGCAACTGGTGACGTGGTTATTGGTGTCTGTCTTAGAGGGGGTTAGCTGTATTTGAGAGTTACCAGTATGCACATCAATAATGAAGGGAATTGGAATAGAAATCATGAAAGTTTTAGTCAGCTTGATAGTGTTTTATTATCTGTATGATAAAACATTGATGAACTGAACAAAACAGTTGGTAACGATTGAATAAATGTGTGATCTACTCAGTTCATGATGAGTCTATCCCAGCAAAAACTGCTCTAAATTACAAAAATAATTTACGGTAGGAAAATCTTTTGGTGACATTTTTTAATCCATGCAAGTTACAATCTTATCTATCATGAATCAGACGAACATGTACACACATAAGTGCTTAATAAAAACAGTAAAACTAATTAATAACAAAGTATAAAAAATATTTAAATCTATTTAATGCCTGCAATAAAAATTAATCTTTCTTCAACTATAACAATCTTTAAATAATATTATATCAATACATTATAAACTAATTTTAAATCTGTCATGAAATTCTGATAAAAATTTTTTCAATATGCCATAACTTCAGCAATGCTATAAAAATAAATGCCTTTGGGTTATTTAATTCTTTAAAAGCTGTCAGTGCTTAACATAGCGAAACCCCCCTATGTACTCATCCACAGGGCAAAAAGATATGATTCAAACAGCAACGATTATAAAAACGTGAACATATACCATGTGGCTGAAGACTGAGAAAAATTGATTTCCATTAAAGAACATGGCAGAAAATAATGTACAAGTATAGTTCTTTTCACAGATAACGAAGCAATCTATTTCCTCCTATTTATCAACATGGACAATACTCTTTATGAATGGCAGGATAACTGATAGTAATAAGAATAAAGAACTTTCTTCACTCCTTTCTTGTTGCACAAGACTTCTTGTGCTGTTTCCAGTCTTTCTTCTGACATTCTCGGGAGCAGTAGTAAGCCTGACGACACTGCCCACAAACCATCATCTTCCTTTCACTACCTTTGCAATTCTCACACATTGACTTCACTGACTTGGGCATGATGGCTTTAGTGCTTTGAAGCTGTTTCTGCAGTTCACTGGGAAGGTCTCCAAACTGTCCCAGTGCTGACAGGAATGTTGAAAGGCTGGATGGCTGTGTAAGAGACAGTGGCCTTCTTCTCAAGTCTGGACCCTCTGCCGCTTCTTTCGGCTCCTCTCCTCGCAGCTTGCAGACATAATAAGCAAAGAGTTTCTTTTTCTTGGGAAATTCCTGCATGCTGTCCAGGTACTTGTTGGATGGTTTGTAATTTAGTTCTGTGAGGAAATCCAGCACCCCTGTCCATGTTGCATCTGATCGATGTGGACCATCCCCACCAAGGCACCGCTGGCACAGGTCACCCAGACCTGTCACACACTCATAGCATGAGCTCTGAAACACAGCAAGTAGAATGCTGTCAAGGACCTTCTGATCTTTCTTGCGGTAGTCAGGAAGGCAATCAAATGCTGCTTTCAAAGCTCTGAGTCCACCTTGTTCAGCTGCCATTTGTAGAGGAGAGTAGTGGAACCCGCACTTGTCCGTTGGATCAGCACCTGAAAGACAAAGTACTTTGCGTGTTGAGGTTTTTATTTTATCCTTAGGTTAAGTTTACTTTACCTTAGTTTTAACTCATTATTATACACACCCAAAGACAAATGAAAATAAATTTAAACCAGGGATAAAATTGAACCATAACATACACAACCTTCAGAACACTGGACAAACTTTTGTAACGAACTAAGTATTATAACTAAGACTATTAACTTTTATTTTACCCAAGTATCAATAATATACACAATTTTAATAATTTTGAGTATCAAATTTTAGGCATAGTTTTATTCACAATCAAATTACAATAAATTTCGGTACATAAAAAATATATAAAAAAATATATTATGTAGGTCTGCCTTCCATTTTGTCTTGATTTGCTTAACAGAATAATTATGTACTGTACATTGTGATTCTGATTGTGTAAACTAATTTTCTCACATGTGAAAAACATAGTTTGTAGCTCTGACTGGCTAGAAACCATTTTGCGTATGAAAGTTGAAAACTTTTTGGTGAGTATAATTATCTCAGTATGTATGGTAATTAATTCACTTTCAGAACATATGTACATGTAGTGATCAGTGGCTTGGACATAAAGTTCAGTATTTGGAGCCCTAACTATCTCAAATGCACTGCATGTTGCCAGTTTAATAAATTAGGTTTGACAATGGAAAAGGCTCTCTAATACCTGTCAACTTTTTCTGAGTCAAGTGCATGAGAGTTTTGTCTTGTCATGACAAGGATTTCCAAAAATGTCCCAGACAGCTCCTAAGATTTTTTATGATTAACCCAAAAACTACATGTATACATCACCAAAAACCCTTACACTCCTTCCCAGCCACACCCAAGCTAAAACTAAGAAGATCTGTTCAAAAGTAATTTCAGAACTGTAAAATAATAATGGGTACCAACCTGCCTTGCACAGGATCTGGATGATCTCTGAGCTGAAGCTGTAATAGCAAGCCATGTGCAGAGGTTGTGGAATACCACGGCCACCTCTTGGGACAATCTTGACATTTGCACCAGCATCAATCAGCATCTGCAAATACTGAGGCATTTCACCACACACGGCACAGTGCACTAATGTCTTGCTGCTTCGATTAACCTTTGCATCAAAGAAAATTCCTTGGCTGAGCAGTTCTTTAAATTTCTTGGATGTGCATGGAATACCAAGTCTTTTACAGTTTTCCTTATCTTGATCCAAAATCATTGAGCACATAAATGTTCTAGCATTGGATGCAGCCCATTCCAAAGCCCCTGGCGTGTTGCGCCAAAGTTCAGCATTGGACAGACAGTAAGTGGCCACATTAGTCAGTGACCTCCAGTTTCCCATGAGCACAGGAATCAGACAGTCAGGCAGCTTGCGTTCACCAGTCAGAAAACTTAATGTCTCTGGTGACGCCTGAAAGGCTCTTAAAATTGTGCCTTCAAAGCTATTAAAGACATTCTGAGATTCAGGATCATTTCTGTCTATCACTGCATCATAGAAGTCTTCAGCATAGCCTCTGTGTTGCTTGTAGCGATAGTCAAGCAATGCTTTGGTCCAAAACCACGCCCCACATGATGAAGAAAATTGAAAAGCTTCTACATTGGACTTTTTCATGGCAAACTTGAGTGCTCCCCTGTCATCACCCAATTTCATGTAAACCTCTAATACATGGTACCTCCAGTTGGCATATGAACACCAGCTAACAAGTCAAAACAAAAGTATATTACATGATGTTGTGTACCAGTAAAGCCCATATTTCCCTGAATATGCTGGCACACTTTCAAGCTTTTACCCAGCTAATTTTCTGGAAACTGTAATAAATTTGCTACAAATGTAGGGCTAGTCTTCAAGCTCCATTATAAGAATGAAGCAGTGCTTTTCAATGACACACTGGTCACATTTTTTTAAGTGCCCTCCCTGAAAATTATAAGTGTCAACCCACTTGATCGAATCAGAAAATGAGTGTATTATGTGGTTTGCATTAATTCCACGCTTTTTAAGCTGGAAGAAAGTTTTCATTATTTCTTGAGCAAGGCTGTGTTCTAGAAGTGCCCAATTGCCCCAGGCACCTAACTTTTACTCACTGGCAATGCGAAAATCTTGGTTTCATTAAAGAAACCATATGCCATGCCCCCTAGATTTCACTAGTTCAGAGAAGTGGGCTCCCTTCAACTTTTCATAGAGCACAGCCTTGTTGAGTGCTGTTAAACCGTTGTTAAGCTGTTTAAATCTGTAAAATTGAAAAAAAGAACCTGATTACTGTGAAGCTAAAATAATAATATTATCTTAAAACAAAATAAAAAAAATAAATTAACTAGTATACCTGTAGAACGCTGGGTCCAGCTTTTCAAGTTGAAGATACTTTTCGAGAGATTCTTCATACCGCCCCATCTTACGTAAGGTATTAGCTTGGCCATGCACCGCTCGAAAGTAACTTCGCAGGTGATTTAAAGACCAAGCTCTCCGCTTTGGTAACTCTTGCTCAAATTCAGCACTTACATTTGGTGCTAGTTCCACAGCCTTGTTGTAAAACTCTGATTTCGAGAAAGATATTTTTGATATTAGACACCTGACCATTTTCCAAACCATAAGGTACTGACTGGAAAATATTCATCTGTCCAGGGTGACATACATCTGTAAAGAATCTGCCTAAATAAAAGGGGCTCACGGAGTGAGTTGAAAGATCATTTTTTCTATGAAAGTTATGAGTAAGGTGAAGTGACGGGTGCGAAAATTAAAGCTGAAACATGGGCAGATTTTGCCTAGTCCCTAGGCCTCATTTTTCCTCGCGGCCAAAGCGTTTCGGGTCAGGTGGTCCAAGCGAAAATGTTTCCCGCCCGTTCGCCTCGGATATGTCACTGAAATGAATTGACCGAGAGGAACTGGGAAAACACCGTACAGGGACTAGGCAAGGGCAGATTTAGGGTTGGCCAAGGGGACCGCGGCCAGCCACTTTTCTGGGAAATTTCGTATTATTTTTGAACAATACATAGTTAAATAGTAAAAATAGTATCAATCTGGCTGCCAAGTGTAGCGGCCACCCCTTTCTGAAATTTCTGGATCCACCTCTGTACAATTTTAGGCCACACTCTGCACGTCAATGGCAAACGAGAAAATTGCCCATTGTGTTATGCGTTCCGACACGTGAGAAATATGCATGACCGGAATTTAGAGTGGAGTTATCAGATTGCAGTCGACCTCAGTACACACCATGACTTTCGTTGCAATATATAGGAAGCCTACAATCGTTTCATCACGAAGTAGACCCTGCATTATTTTAGATAAGACAAAATAACAATTCACAGACTGGAATAATTTACATTTTCGTGAAATTAAAAACACACAGTAGACGAAATGAAGCATCCTTACCAAGAGCTTCTTCATAGGTGTTAGCTTGGAACTGCGCCATCACGTTGTAAGCTTCGGGGCAATAAGGCGATACTTTCAACGCTTTCCTAACAGCAGCAACAGGATCATCCTCAACATATGCCTTTCTAGCCATCTTTTCTGCCTTGTAAATCTTTGAGCTCGAGTAGAAGCGTTTATCTGAGGCAAATTCTATAGCGACATCGTGGCCCTGTGTCGATAGCTCTTTGACGTGCGATTGGAACTCGGCGTCGTCTTCGAGTTTTCCGTCGCCAAACCTTTCAAACTTGAGCGGATACGTGGGGTTCAAAACCGTCGTGTTGATGGAGATTTTTGCACCAAGTTGCTCGCTTAACATCCCCAGGAAATTCTCCATGTTCGACATATTCAACAGTCGAACACCATGCACGCGAATGGAAAGACCACGCATCAAACACAAAATATTGCGAAATTTGGCGGGAAATCCGCCTCGCTTTCAGAACGAGTCTGCGACGTGAAAGTGGTGGGTCCCATCCAACGTTGGAGCGTAGCGTAGCGTCCTGAAATATTTTTTTAAATTCTTCTGAAAAAGCATTTTTTATCATTAAATCGGGATGACTGATGCATTTTTCGCACGATACAATCTCGACCCCTGTGCTTACGCAATCTGACTCCTTTTTCACGGGTTTATAACGAACCTTTTTAACGACCTTCTCCCAGCTGGCTTGTTAGCTTAATAATATAGGGAACCCACGCTCTTCTTTGTAAACTGCAAATGGAAATTAAATAAGAGATAAAATCTTACCTCTTTTGTTTTATTCTTGAATCTGTTGTGGTGCGAAGTGAAATGGAAGTTTTTTACGATGCGAAAACTATGTTCAAGTCGACGCTTTAATAGCCTGCGTAGCAAGCGTGGGGCAAAAAAAGACCGTGGGAGCGAATTTTCGGTTTCAACCGCGCGAGAAATGAAACGAGAACCAAAAGATTAAAGAGGGAGGAGGGGGAGGGGAAGGAAGGAAACGCTGTTTTCTTCCTTTCTTCCCCACCTCTGGACCTTCGTCCCTCTTTTAGACCCTGTTTACATGGAGTGGGGGACCCCGGTTTAGTGGGGTAGGTTTCTTTTGTTTTGTGTCCCCCAGAGCGTGAAAACAAAAGAAACCAACCCCACTAGACCGGGGTCCCCCACTCCATGTAAACAGGCCCTTATACTTGCGCCATTTTTCGCGCGGTCTTTGACTCTTGTTGCTCATTCTTTGCTCCTAAACCGCACAGAAACGCTTGCCACGCAGGCTAATGCTTTAACGGTTGCTGTAGCCTGTGTATCAAGCGTTTCCTCGCGAGGTCGTCGAGAAAGTTTGGACGAGAGGAAAAAAACAGGAGCTCCCGCTCTAACTTTCGCGCAATAACTCGATTGGAAACGCTTGCTACGCAGGCTACGGTTGTTGATTTCACAATGCTTTATGTGGTCACGCGCCGGTTGTTATTATCGTCTCCCGCTTCATCGTTGGTTATTAATTTATTAACAATTTTTCTTTCTCTCGAATTGTTAATGAATTTTAATTATTAAAATAACCAGCAATGAAACGCGAGACGATATTAACAACCGGCGCGTGACACCAACAGTGAAATGAGAGCCAAACCACATAAAGCGTTAAAACATAGTTTTCGCGTCGTAAAACAACTTCCAATTCACTTCGCACCACAGCAGATTCAAGAATAAAACAAAACAGGTACGATTTTATCTCTTATTGAATTTCCATTTGTAGTTTACCCAGTTCCAGTTCAGACGTCGTGCTTCTGCTGTGCCGAACTTTATTGTAATTTGGTTCGACTGTAGCACGGCAGGAAAACAACTTTGATTCAGACGTCGTGCCAGAGTCGAACCAAATTCAGGATTTACTGATGCCTCGTAACAATTCTTCTCCCAACTCCCCGTGGGAACGCAATCTCGCCAAAATACATTAATATAATTTATGAATTTTGTTTAGCGCGGCAGAAGCACGACGTTTGAATCGCTGCCGTGCCAGAGCCATGTAGCACGGCAGCGCTTGTCGAACTTACTTGCTTGCCGAACTTAATCAAAAGTTTGATTCAGACGCCGTGCTTCTGCCGTTCGGCACGGCAGAAGCACAACGTCTGAACTGGGCCTAAGAGCGTGGGGAGTCCCTATGAATTAATTAGTAGAGTGCTGCACCACAGGCTGCCCAAGCGCACTATGTGTTGGTTCGGGAAGGTCGATATTTCTTGCATTATTACATGTGATTCGGGCCCTTATTGTTCGAATTTTATCAGAGGTATTCGAATCTACAACGCTAAGAAAAAAAAATCATGATCGCGCGAAATATTGATTCAAAAAGTTCCCTTACCTTTACTTTACTCTGTGTCCTACGGCCGGTCTAAACGCCGTTTAGTCGACTTTCTTTCCATCGAGTATTGAACACTTTAAGATTTTTGAATTTATGTTTGGCATCAGATAATACACTAATAATTCCAGTATATTCCGACCAAATGACCTATGAAGCCCCAACCCACACTTAGTGCGCTTGGGCTGCCTGTGGCTGCACCGGTCTCGCAGAAGTCAAAGGTTTGGATCCAGTACAAGCCTAGATTTTTTTTTTCAGACTTTCTTTTCGCAGCTTCATAAGTTGTGTATATAACTGCAATGATCTTCCTTCAAATAATTCTTCACTCCGCAGTTCACATATATGATTTTCATATATTCATAATTTCATTCACGGGTTTATAACGAACCAATTTAACGACCTGCTCCCAGTTGGCTTGTTAGCTTAATTGGTAGAGCGCTGCACCGGTATCGCAGAGGTCAAGGGTTTGAATCCCGTACAAGCCTGAATTTTTCTCAGGCTTTCTTTTTGCAACTGCATAAGTTGCTTATATAACTGCGATGATCTTCCGTCAAATAATTTTTTCAATCCGCAGTTCACATATATGATTTTCATATATTCATAATTTCAATAACAATGTAATTTGAATGTTAATTATTTAATAGAATATTTTATGAAGTTAACCTGATATGTTGTCTATACCTCCAGTTGTGATTTTAGTCTTTTTCAAACAACAAAATCCCCTGTACTTGAATTTATATGTGAGGTATTTCTTTCTGTATGTTATCGTATTTCTTTTCTTTTCTTTTTTTCTCCTTCCTAGATTAGCATTATAGTATTTGCAGGACATAAAGTACTGTAAACTTTATATTTCTTTATAAATACATTGTTGTTGTTGCTGTTGAAAAGAATGGATCCTGGCATATGAACGTTTACCCAAATTGTAGAGATCACATCACAGTTCAAAAAAGTTAGGCAAACAGTCGGGAAAGCCGATTGATTAAATGTATGTGATTTTTAATTTGTCAACGATAGAAATCTCTCTTGTGCGCGGCGTCCCCGCAAAATCACACCTCTGAAAACTTAATCATTGCAGTAGCAGTCTTTGATCAATTAAAAATCATTGATAGTGATGTCATTGCGAGGGTGACAAAACTTCAAGGTTAGAGGGCGTCTTAACGGACCCGAAAGAACACAAGACCCTTGTGAGGTCTTGAATTCCGTATGGAAAAAATATTGGGGCGTTGAGCTTCTGTGATCACTTTAGACAAATTTAAGAAGGCGGAAAGCGGCGGTTCATAGTTCTCTGCTGGTCTGTTTTCTTTCCCAGCAAGAAGCGTTCTAACGTCTCTCAGTGAATATAGGTGAGTCATTAGTTCATTGCATTTTCGTCCGGTCTAAGTCGTCTTGCTGTGCATTCTTTTCAGTTACCGAAATAACAAAATTCGTTTTGCTTCATTTACTAGGCTAATTACTAGTTATCGTTTGTTGTGACTGCGATTGAAATTTGAAAATTACATGAAAAGCTATTGAACGCTTGAGTGATCTAATGCGATTCTACCACCTGTTGGTTCACCTGAAGTCGCTTCGCCCCAGAGCAACTAACAAATTCGTTCCCACTCTGTTACACCTTACAGCCTTCTTGTTTATTTAACTCGCAAGGGGAAAGAGATCCGTCACTATGTTCTTAGGGCATTTCGAAAAATCCCTCGCTTTTCCATACATGAAGAGCTGTTTAAAAGAATGGGCAAACTATCTCCCATGTGGGCGAAATGGAACGTGGCTCGTACCTGCATTGATATGTCTTGGCCTAGTAACTTATCCGTAAACATTTTGCCAAATAAAGAATATTTTAAAAGATCAGTTTATCCACATAGGAAGCAACTGTATAATTCCTTTTGTTTTGACCTTTAAATGCATAATAATTACCAAAATAGGGCTAAAATACCAAGTCATTGATTTCCTGAGTAAGAGCAAAGTCATTTGTATTGTATTAATAGCCTTTGTTATACAAACCTTTGAGAGCCGTGCCACTGAGCTACGGGGATTTCACAGTCACACCAACAACTGAAGTTTTGTTCTTTATTCATTTATCTTTTTGGAAAATAACATATATCGACCTGTTTGTTTCCCACATAGCTGGCTTTTAAGCGCGGAAGTATGTGCTAACTTCGTCCACTTTTAGTCTTAAGAGCAGTAACAAGATACAAAACCACAAGCAAACTCAGCTGAAAAGACAAATTATTGATTCTTCTCTGCGACGTTTATTAGCATGTAACAATTTGTCGATCGACATTTCTGGGTCCCTCGAATACCTGATCATCGAATTTGGAAATAGCCTGCGTAGCAAGCGTTTCCGCGCCAGTTGATCGAGAAAGTTGGGACGGGAGTAGCCTGCGTGGCCGGCGTTGAAAGGGGAAGGGGAAGGGGGAATTTGGGCGCGCGAGAGAACGTGTGGGGCGCGCTCTCGCGCGCGCCCAAATTCCCCCTTCCCCTTCCCCTTTCAACGCCGGCCACGCAGGCTAGGACGGGAGCAAAGAATAGGAATATCCCGCTCGGAAACGCTTTCTTAGCAGGCTGATTTGAAAAGGTTTCGGGTAGAGGGGTGAAAACCCACCGTGATCTCCTAGGTTCTTTTCTCTTTCTTTCTTTCTTTTCAGTTACTTTCTTATTTTTTCACCTTTCTTTTTCCATCTTGTTTATATTTGTTGATTTGTTTTCCTGATCCCGCAGCCACAATTCCCTTAAACCAGGAATAAAATGGGAGGTGCTATCTACAAGGATGCTCCAGCCATTAAATACGAGGAACGCAACATTTACCTAAACTCTATTCAAACTCTTGGCAGGTATTTAACACCATCCCGCCTTAACTACTCTTGCCTCCCCCCCCAACACAGTAGCTTGCCGGATAGGCGTTTTTGCGTTATTTGTTCTCGATTTTCGGGAGAGCAAATGCAAGTGCGAGGGGTGCGTGGAGCGAGAGGCAGGAACGCCCGATTATTTTGAAAATCATGAACGCCTGTTTACCCACCTGTGCAGAAGCTCTTTTGTGCCGTCACACAATCCTTCGTCACCCGTAGGTAGACTATAAGTGGTCCCTCCATTTTCCTCAGGAATAGAAATGCGAGCGTAACACGAGTGCGCGCGTGAAAATTGCCACCCGGGAGGAAGGTAATACGCGGAGGGAAGAAAGCATTTTCTCTCCTTCCTCCGCTCGCGTATATTTCGCTTGCTCAAATATCGCTATTCGTAATCTATACTGTTGTACGAGGCCCCAAGAAATGAGGCTGCTTAAGACACTGAAACTGAATCTGCTTGAGGCGCACCTAAAAGCCGAATAAAGGAAAACGAACTGTTCGTCAAAGGCTCTTTTGCAGGATGAAACAGAAAGCTTGCAATGACATGTTGAAAAAAACTTTCCAGCCGAAGTGTTGCACAGTGTAACAATATATCATATTTGACCGGAAATAACACCAAATTCGGCAAGGAAGCCGGTACTACCAACTCCGAGGTATGGCCAGTACTTTACCCATGGAAACAGCCATAACACGCAGGCAGTGCATGGTTGCACAGACTCTCGTCCCCAGCGCCCGTCGTTGGGTGGTTTTTGGAAAAAGAATGGGCTGCACATGGCTGCCTCTGTCCGGTTGATATTGCTGTGCGCATGTGTAAAGTACAGTTGGTAGCATTGTGGTTGTTTACCATTTACAAGGACAAACCGGTCAGTTCACGGTTTGGACAAACAGTGAGAAAAACCGGGTGTGGTTAGTTTCATAACGGAATTATATTAACGAAACGCTTTTCTTCCCAGGCTTCCACCAACGCGACCAGTCACCCTTCATCAAAAGGCGTTGTTCATCCTTTGGTTATCGGTGATTCTTATTTGGTCTTGTCTGAAGTGCAAACGTTACATTTCCATGTGGCGTGATAAATACGGCACCAAAAAAGAAGGAGACGAAGTAGAAACAGCAACGAAAGGTGAAGGAGAGGCGTACAGGGGCCAATTGCAAACATTTAAGACTTTTATGAGACTTCTCTGAGCGGAGACCGGGTGTGGATAACGGGTATTAATTGATTTGATCTGGGCAAGAATTATTTTTCCAAGGTTACTTCTGTGGTCAAATGTTTTTACCTTTGTTTATCCATTTATTTTTGAAAATATTTTCTCTATTTTCCCTATTCATCTCTGTTTGCAGGATATTTCTGAAATCAACCAACCCCGCCGTGGAAAAAAAATTTATTTTATAGTTTAAAACCTTACTGTTTCGCATAGTACAAAACCGCGAGCGGTCGACCCTCTTTCCTCAGCCAGGCCAAGCGCGGTGATTGAAAAAGTAAAATTATGTAAGAAGGAGAGATCGAGGCGGAGAGAGAGAGTGAGAGAAAGTTCCTTACGCGTGCTCTCGATCTACTGCGACTGAAAGAAAATCGCTTACCTGCATTAGTAGGTAACGGTATGGCTAGAGTTCGGAACCTTCTTTAGAAGCGAAAAATTTGTGCAAATGTCATTTCCGTTATAATCAACCTCGTTCCCAGGGTTCTCTTTCTCTGGTCTCTACGGAGCAAGAGAGGAACGGGTAGGAGAGACGCCTGGGAACGAGGTTGGGTTAAAATGTATATCCTGGATCAGAGAAGCACTGGCCAATAAGGCTACGGAGATCGATCACGTGTGAGCTCTTTTATTTGTCAGTCGTACACGGTGTTGTAGCTCGTGACACCTATGCTCTAACTATGCTTGGTTTGCAAGCACGTGACAAGGCGGCCATATTGATGTTCAATACAATAAATACTTTAATAAACACTTTACATGAAAGTGGAGTTAAGATGCCAGAGGAGAGGAATGCCTTTATCCTTGATTCCCAACATGGCCGCCGTGACGTACGTCAAGGTCACGTGCAAACCAGCAGTGAAAGGTGCTTGCTTTTTTCCATTCCTTATCATTAAAAATAAAGCATTTTTGTCTTTTGTTTCTTTAGAAAAGGACAATGTGTTAATATCTTTATATCCAGTTACCAAACACGAACGTAAGTAAAACGGCTTTTGTTCTTATACTAACAACCTGTCCAAATTGGATGAGAGTCACTGACAGAGGTTTTTGTCATTCTAAATTAACCCTTCTGTCCTACTTCTCTCCGCACAGAAACATTTACCTAAACAAATTTACATTAATTACAATACGTTAATTTGTTTTGTTTTTTGCTTTCTTGCCTCAGTTTTTTTTGTCGAATACCTGTGTTTGCTTCTCAGTTTTTGCTTCATTCCTTGGCTGATTTTCCCAAATTAGGGTTTTTCTGAAAATAATTATAACCAACGTAGGGTTTTTCTCGTCTTTTTCACATAGTGCACTGACGAAACTCATCAGAAACTTTTTCCTTCCTTATTTCTATAGAAAATATAAATTCAGCTGTTGTTGCTTGCTTACTTGTTTCTTCCTCAACTTACAAGCTACCTTTTTTTTTATTCCAGCCTCGGTATCACGTTTTGGCCGAGGGGACGCGACGGAAGAGAGCACTGGCACGAGAAGTATATTTGAAAAACTTCTAGAGACTGATCCTGATCAGCCATCATTTGAAGAGTTTTTAACCAAAGCTGTCATCTTCGGAGCCATCATGCTTTACTTTTGGCTCTGTGATTATCAACATGTATGGTAGGAATCTCAAAGTACAGGATATAACAGTGAATTAAAGGACATTTCATGATGACATGTTATATGGCCGTCCCCCTTATTTTTAGACCAAACTGAGCCCCAAAGGGCCGAAAACATGTTTTTGAGACCCCCCCTCCCCTATCTCAGGGTCTGGATGAACGCCAGTCAGTAATATGTATCTTTTTAACAGTACAGTTAGTGTGATGCCTCACAGGCTTTACTAACTCAATAAAGGTAAAGTTACATTTTCATACTGCTCAAGGAAACGGGTCCAGTCACCAAACCCAACCTAAAATTTACAAACTTTTATTCTAGGCCGAAGACAAACAAACAGTACTCAAGAGACATATTTGTGTTCCTCTTCGCTTTGTTGGTGATCGTAGCTGCAGTTTACACAACTCGCAAGACACCCGAAAAACTTGTCAACAGAGATCAGACAGAAGAATGGAAAGGATGGATGCAGGTACAGTTACGGAAATGAATCTCTCATTGGGGCCAGAAACGAAAACTTTTTCAAACTGATATCACGGCAGCGTTGCATAGAAATTCCTGGTTGAGCCTGCCGCTATCGACAGAGACTCAGCGTATATTCGTACCCAGTTGTGTGTTGGCTGTCTGGAACACGTTAGCGAACGTAGCTTTAATCGCTACCGTTGACTTTTGGCGCTAACACAGAGGATCAGACTGGGCTGAACTTCAGACCTTCCTTTAAGGCCTTCCTATAGATTGTTCAGAATATAATTTTGTATTCTTGTTCTCTGTTTTTAGCTAGGATTTGCGGATAAGAATCGTCACCGGCTGTAATTTGTAACTTGCGAGCTGAAGAACATTAGATGATATCTTGCCAAAACTAAAAAAGGTTTATCGATAAGAACCACGAAAGAGGCCTCATGAATTCATTAAAATTCGTTTTTAACTCTATTTTTGTTTTTTTTTTGGATTGTTTGTTTTGTTTTCAGGTTCAGTTTGTTTGGTATCACTATTTCGATGCCCACGAGGTGTTTAATTCCATTAGATGCTATATCGCTGCTTATGTTTGGATGACAGGATTTGGTAAGAAAACTGAGATCTTTCCTAAACCTTAAAAAATAATTTGATAAACAGTTACAAACTTGTGTATTTTCTTTGGCCTAATAAAGGACCGTAAAGATTAGTCTTTTGGATTTGGAAACGATACAACACCCGGTATCCGTTATATAGTCAACTCTCTATACACCTTGTAGATCGGCACTAACTGTACGTCTTAAAGAGATGTCCATCTTATAGAGAGTCAAATAAAGGGGGTAAAGAAAGGCAAGGACCCCCAGGGGGGGTACTCTCTATGATGGCCTATACCGGGAGGCTCCGCTCGAAAGCAGTATCTTTTTCAGGCTTCAGGTATATGAAAGGGTAGAGATTTCACTGGTTGAAGTATATACAGGGGTAGGGAAATCTGTCATTTGGGTCTGTGAAAGAGCTCAATTTCAAAAGGGCTAACAGATGAATTTTATGGGTCTATAAAGTGGGGAAAACTTTTTTTTGTGATTGATTGCTATTAAAAAGACAGTGCATTTACGGCAGTTAAAAGGGATGCAAAGTTCTAAACAAGGTACGTGACAGGGGTACCATTTGTCAGTAGAAGGTATACGAAAGGGGTACCTTTTCTTGAAAAATGGTATATAAAAGGGTAAGGGGTTGGACCTCGGGGCGGAGCCTCCTCGTGTAAACATTTGTGAGTACCCCTCCTGGGGCAAGGACCAACTCTAGGTGTCCGCCTTACAGACGTTACCAAAGAGATTTTTTTATTTCCTTGCTAGGCAACTTTTCCTACTTTTGGATAAAGAAAGACTACTCACTTTTCCGTCTACTACGAATGATGTTCCGTCTTAACTTCCTCGTTGTCATGGTGATGGCAGTCACTAGAAACGAGTTTGTCCGGTATTACGTGTGTGCTATGCACACCTATTGGTTTATCACAGTTTACGTCATGTTGGCAGTGTTCAAGTCACGCAACGAGGTAAATAATTTTCTCGCATGATTACAGTGTACCGGTAACATCCACTAAAAATGTTGACCCTTTTAAGTCCAAAAAGACGCTACAAGTAGGTGGAACAATAATTTCTTGCAATATCTCTCTCGTTTTTTAGATTTATTGTTCTGTTCACATAATTTCTCCTCAAAATTATGAAAGTACGCATGTCATATTTATTCGATCAAGCGCCCTGGGCGCCTTGAAACGTTTGGACCTTGAGAATGGGCGCCAACCTCGTCCCCAGGGCTTTTCCGTTAAAAAAGGGGAAGGGAAAGCCCTGGGGACGAGGTTGAATGGGCACTTACTAAATTTCGGCAAAAGTAATTTTATTTTGCAACAAAACGTGAAGATGTTTCAAAGCAGAATTATTACTATTCATTGAACGTTTCTGTAAAATACTAAGAAAACTACTTGGTCTCCAGAAAGTCTCTTAGTGGAACTTAGTCTATTTCAATCTCATTGGCGACAGTTTGGTGGGGGCCCTTTAGTAGAGGGTGGGTGCTTATTCGAGACTGGGCGCTTAATCGAATAAATACGGTACATACACGCACGTACACATTTTAAGACATCTGGAGCACGGGTAGATCGTAATTCTTTTCTCAAGACAGAAGCATGGGGTTATATCCTTCTACTCAAGGTTACAGAATAGATCAAGCAAAATTCTCGAGCAAGCGTCCCTTAGTATATCTCCTCACCTCGCGGGTGGCAGTTTCCCGCGAGACTCTACTCGTAGTTTACTAGTCAAGACTAGCATTCTAAATTTGAATTTCTAAAGCTGTTATAATAATTTTCTGCCCCTTAGAGTTCGGAATAGTGCGTCAAAATTTGCCTTGTAATCATTCACGTTGAACAGGTCCTACAACAGCTTTTATCATAGTTTAAGGTATTGTCAAAAACTAATCCTGAATTAAATAACTAACCCAAACTGATTGTACGTTTTAGGGGCTAGGAAGATGTTATCTCTATATACTATAAATGTATGAGGATATGAAAGCGAGAAATAAAGCTTCAACTAAATCATGTTATTTTTAACCTACTGTTATTTTCAGAATCGCTATTTCATGGCTGCTAAATTTGTCGTCTATCTGGTGGTCAACGCCTTAATATTCGATATTCCTGGAGCTCCCTATGTGGTATTCTGGCCATTCCAGTTCATATTGAACGTTAGAGGCAACTTACGATACTGGGTCTACAGATCAACGTAAGAAGCTAGTGTTGCTATTTACTTTTGATTTTCCCTTTCAAATTTTGTCTCCTCTTGATTTCACCTTTCACTGAGCTTTAACTGGTTTAGAGAAACGTACTGTAAATTCTGCACTTTGACCTAAGCCAGTTACCTAGCTTATTTGCCTTTTTTATGATTCGAGTAGTATAGCAGGGACCGCATGAACCCTTGTTTGAAGGTTGATATGTTTTTGGTGAAAAGGAAGACTGACGTCGCGTCGATGATGTCATATAGATATATAAACTAGTAATAACCAAAGGTTACAAAGTGAGGACGACAACGATCGAAGGTCAAAACGCTTTTGCTCCAGCGTTGTGCTTTGCGTGAGTTTCACGTGAAAGATGGTCAAAACACGCGTGATCAGATTACGAGTGATACAAGGTCCAAACGCGCGTGATCAAAGTGCATTCCATACATTCTTAGTGGAAGTCCAAACGAATGCTGGCTACATACATGTGACGCATACGTAATAACAACCTAGAGATTAGGGTCGCGGGCTCCTTTTGTCGCCCGCAATAACATGCACAACACAGAATCGAAAAGCTTTAAGAAATAGAGGTGCTAAAACACTTCTCTTGTATTTCTCAGGCTTGATCATTGGGCCACTTGGGTGGGAATGTTATGTGCGTATAACTACCCGTACATTGATCGGTTTCTTCATTTCTTGGACAAGAAACATGAAAACAGGCGAACGGCGCAGGTAGCCATTCTGCTGAAAATCTGGATCACAGTCGCACTGTTTGGCGTCTTGGTGATGTGGTTCCACTTTGTTTTAATGCAAGAGCGAGAGTACTACAAAATAATACATCCTTACACATCGTGGATCGCTATTCTTATTTATCTGTGGTTCAGAAATCTTCATCCTTCCTTTCGATCCCACTATCTTGGTTTGTTCAGCTGGCTGGGGAAAATCACTCTCGAGACCTACTTATCACAGATTCATATCTACATGATTGGGAATGCACAAAAAATACTTATTTACTTACCGAGATATCCCATGCTGAACTTCATGTTAGCCACCGTGATTTATGTGGCGGTTTCGTACGTTCTTTTTCATCAAACTTTATTTTTTAACACTTATATTTTTCCTAAGAATATGGCCATTATTTGCAAAAATCTTATAGTGGGTACAGTATGGTTAGGACTTTGTTATTTGCTTTCTTTTATTTTCAATATCGTAGTGATATGGTAATTTTTAAGCGCGCTATTAAATACAACGAAAGTATTTCACTTGCTTTTTCATAACCCTTGATCACTGCAGCCCAATGAAGAAATAAAGGATAATAGTGGGTTTGCTCTTATTAGAGGACGCAGGAAGACCATGTCCTAATAATTTCTAAAACTCTCTTCATGCGTCAGTTGTAAGCGTGTATTGTTAAGTCACGATATGGCGGCCACTATCCCGTTCCCTCTTGCGGGGGCCGGGCATGTTGTCCTTGCGGCATTAGTCCTCGCGGCTGCTGAGCAATTTTTGGGCGCAAGGGTACTGATGACGCACTTGCGTCCCTCCAATCTAGCCTAAGTTCAATTTCCAGAGGCGACGCCACATTAGCCACATTATGGGGGTAGGTTAAGTTAGTTATTGGTCGCGCACTTTTTCTTCGGGTACTCCAAGCTCAGCAGAGATCTCAGGATAAGTTTCTTTAGAGCTTCAGTTGAATCTGTTCTATTGTACGGGTCGGAGAGTTGGACATTGACCACTGCACTGGAAAAGCAACTTTATGGCTGCTACACAAGGCTCCTACGTGCTGCTCTAAATGTAAGCTGGAGAGATCATATATCTAACAAGGAGCTCTACGGAGCCCTGCCTCCAATTTCAACAAGTCTCCAGATACGTCGGCTGTAGTTTAGTGGCCACTGATGGAGAAGCAAGAACAAGACTGTTTGCCAGCTACTTCTTTGGGAATCAAAACACGGAAGACTCTTAAGGAGGCGTCCAGCAACAACACTCATCAACCAATTAGAGAGTGATACCGGTCTTACGAGGCAGAATCTGGCATTTGTCATGGCCAACAGACGGGAATGGGACAGACTTATAAAATTGGTGCGGGCGCGCCCGATCGAAACAGACAGATACACTCCGGTTTTCCCCTATCTCATGTCTCCCTAAATTAATAAATCTAAATTCCAATTCGAGCCGGACCAGTGGACGGAGAACAACATTATTGATGTGCGACCATACTATAAAGTTAATATTATTTTTATTTATTTGACATGTGCCCAGTGTAAGTTTTTCTTTGTTTATTACAATAACTTACTGCATCTATTACGGGGAAGGCAATCATCCACGATTTAGCAATACCATAGAAATAAAACACTTCGAAGAGAGTTTTGGAAACTGTTTAAAACACTCACAACAAGTGTTTTATCATTCTAAAAATTCTGGCGCTAATCGCGCTCGAATTTTTGACCTTGATAAAACACAGTCGTTCGTAGATTGCACATTATTTAAATAATCCTGATAAGACATTGTAGTTTTAATACATGTGTATCAATATATTAAATTTTTAACTGTCAAAACGTCCACCTAACACCACAAACGTTCCTCTGCTCACAAATGAAATTCCCGACATCGCAAAAGGAGGAAAATGAAATCTCATACAGTCATATACTTCAATCATTCAAGCAAAAAATAGGTCTAAAAGAAATTGGTAAGCCCATACAGGGCAAAATAATGGCACCCTTAAAAGAGTAACCTTGTTGATATCATTAATGTCTTCACGACATTTAGTTCGACCTTAACGCAATTCTAAAACTCTCACATAATATAAGAATTATGTTTTAGCACACAAAAACGCCCTAACATACATACAAAAAAATCACTCCTATAACCCAGAAGGAACAAAAGCTCATGAACTAGAATTAAATTCCTGCAACTAGCAACACTAGGCAATGACTTAATTTAGATTTTTTAAAAAACAACAATAACAACAATTAGAGAAAGAAGAGATAGAAATGGTAACATAAAAATATATCAGGGCCCTTATGCTGCAGTCTGCTCCAAATCCCATTTCACAGAGTCTGTCATAATTGGACACTTGAGCACTTCAGTGAAGTATCTTTTTTCAACTGGGCTGTTAACTGTCCATAAAACAATACTAATTCCCTTGTCTCGCCATTCCTTTACATATTCCCTAAAAGTAAAGAACAAAGAGACTATGAGCAAAGGCGGAAATCTTAATATTTTAACTTTTCAACGGGTTTAATATAAGAAATTTATAAGGAGATCAAATTCTTTCAACAAATGAATATGGTGCCCAGCTCTAAGTCTTATCAGAAACTCATAAGGGGTTGTTCAACCCCTTATGAGTTTCTGGTCTTATACAATAAGTAAGGTGTCCATGGTGACGAAGCTGGTCAGTCAGTAAGTCGCCATGGGTTGCAAGATGCTCTTTTTTCCAAAACTGCCTGTTATTTAATATGCCAAAAATGCACTTCATTTGAGTGTCAAAGTGTATTTAGCATGGAATTACTAAAAATTTAAGACACCATTTCCACATTTCCAACTGGAGACAGGACTGCCATTTTGTGTGGTCATTTGAGCCCTGCAAAGTTCTAGCTGTTTGGAAGGCAAATGCGGAAACGTCATTTCTTTAAGACCCTGAGTACTGGACCAGCCCTGGGAATCAAAACCTGCTACCTGCCACTTTCGCGGTCAAAAACTCTTCTGACTGAGCTAATCCTGTTGAAATACTTCATTGTGACAAACAACATCAGTCCCTCTTATTCTACTCTCAAAGAAATTCATTAGGCTAGTAAGTTCAATAACCTATTCAAATGTTCTTAAAGCATAGCCCGACAGAAAAATCCTGATGATGCTGACAGTTTCAATGACTGACAGCCATCTTTATCAAAACTAAAAACATCACAGGTGTCAGTAGCCCTAAATTAATAATTTGTGACAAATCTGCAAAGTCACCACCAGGGGGGAGGAATGGCCTTGACCGAGTGACTTTGTACACTTGTTGCAATTAACACCTTCAGAAACCTATTTAAGGCTACTGTGACCTGTCGAAGGCTTGGACACAGAGCTAGCCTACATAGCAAGCATTTTCCTGCGAGTTTATTGAGAAAGTTGGGACAACAGCAACACAAAAAGAGGTATGAAGGCGGGGGGGTACACCGAACCATGAAATATCATGGAGTGTTTTCCAGACTTGTGATGTTTGCAGACAAGCATGATTATAACTCATAATAACTCAACTGGAAACACTTGCTATGTAGGGCAAAACAGACTACACTGTCAATACCTGGAAAGATGGGCTGTGTGTGAGAGAAATACACCCACTCCTAGAAAATCATAAACCCATGAATGGAGGTGTAATTCCCATATTCTGTCTAACCATGGAGCGAAAACTTGCTTCCACCAATCTTTGTATCTCGACGGGCCATCATAGTCTGTGTTGGATATAAAGTTCTTACGCCATGTGAGGGCAGTGAGAATGTTTGGATCAGCTCTTCGAATCTGTTGGTAAAGAAGAAAATTAGGTAATGAATTTTTTTCTAGGAGAACAAGAAACACTCTTGACATAAAGTACAAGATAGAAAAACATCAATATCCTGTCAAGGCAACCACTTGAGGGACAAGACAATCTCCTTGCACACAACAACAACAGCAACAACATCATTAACAGCAAAGAAATACATAATATGTATTATATTATGTTGTGGTTTAAATTTTTCCTTGGTTTAAAATTTTTCAAACCAGTTTAATTTTTGTTTTTCTTTGTCTCTGATTATGGTAATTGATTTTAGACAAAGGAAAGTAAAAATTAAACTGGTTTGAAAAATTTTAAACCAAGGAAAAATTTGAACCACAACATAAAAAAAAACACTACCTACATTTTAGCAAAAGCTATTTGAGGAAGGCAGTGTGGGGACGCAGCATACATGTAATGACACATTTTCAGATATTTTAAATATTATATAAAGTAGATTTAAAAATATGAGGAAAAAGACATAACTAAAATAATAATACAAATAATGCAAATAAATATAAAATATGTAAATAAGTAAAGACATAAAGAAATGGCAATATTTATTTTCAACTTTTTACTTCTCTTGGAAATATTTTTCATAATTATTTGTATTTTGCCCCACATTTTTTTCTTTTCATGCTTTTATTTTATCACCTTTTACCCATTTAAAGAAAACAATAATGGGTTGTTGAAATCTCAGAGTTTTATTTAAAAAAATGTTGAGTTTACATTACATAAATGAATTTCTTACCTGGAAAATTACATTGGGGTAGAACGAACACACCATGGCTTTATCATACAACTGATGACTGGCAAATACATTTTTTAGCACACTTGCAGCCTGGCTCAGTTAAAAAGAGAACACTTATCAGTAACTATAGTGGTAATTATTCTATTTTGATTAAACATGATCAAAATAATTGCAAAAGCCTTATTTCAGCAAATCTGTCATCAATCTTTATCTGGCAAAAACAAAGAAAAAGCTATTATGCACCTATCAATGTAATGCCGGCGGGGGGGGGAAGGCAGGGCATGGGGTGGGGATTTGATTGTCTTTGTTGTCCCTGGGTAGGGCATTTGACTGATCTTGTTGTCCCGGGGGAAGGGATATTTGAATCTTTCTTCGCCCGACGTGGAGATATTTGACTGCCGAGTTGGACGAAAAAGACTGAGACCGAACATATGTTTCCCGCTTCCACGCCTCACACGTGCGCCATACGGTTTGAAAAGATCAGGAAGTCATGGAGGCCAATGAGAACAAGCGAAGGCTGAGTGGATTTTACTGTTTTATCTTCAAATTTTGTTTGTTTTAGCCTATTTTTGATCAATAATTGAACCTCTTAATATACAGTGGTATCAAAGTAAACGGAAGTAAAGAGAAACCAAGTCGATTTTTGCAAGTACAATTGATTAGTGTATGGCTCATTTGCTACAATCACTGTAAACTTATAAAACTGACTTTCTTTTTGTACCCTTTACTAAGAACGGTAAATTTAGACTTACAAAATGTGGACTTTCTTCTAAAGGTTTATGTATTCTACGCAGTGTAACACGAATTATGGTTAAAACGTATAATTGCAGCTGTAACAGGGACATGTATCTTTGGTGATGCAGCAACGTTTATAGAAGATTGCAGAGTTTTATTTGGAGATATTTTTATTGTATCTTTCTTAGGTTCTGCCTTCGGATTGACAACAATGTGCAGCCTGAGGTGGGGAAATTTGGTTGGATTTGACTGGAATGATTTGCCCCTGGGCAGGGAATTTGATTGCAAATTTTTGAAAAAAGTCAAATCCCCACCCTATGCCCTGCCTCCCCCCCCCCCCCCGGCATTACATTGATAGGTGCATTATATTTTAGCATGATAATATGGAATCTTTCCAAACTGGTTGGGAAAAGATAACTGGATTGAGTTACTGGAAGGTTTGAAAAACTGGGGTAAAAAAAGACTGTTTTCATTTGAGCAGCATTTCCTTTCCAGGAGAATCAATCTTTACCTGCCACATTTTGCTCTGCGAGCAGTCTTGATGTTTCTGATCAAAAAATAGCCTGTGCCAGGCTCTTGGTGCATAATACATGTCAAAATTAAATTCAGGTAAATATTTTTTGACCTGGGTTAATTCTCAATCTCCTTTGTTTCCTAGTCCACGAATAAGGGATAGGAGACTAAGAGGAGATTGAGAATCAACCTAGGTTAAAAATTTTTAACCTAAATGAAATTTTGACCTATAACACATATGAGTGAAAATAGCAGGCATGTGGTGAAAAGGGGAGCCAAGACTGAAAAATGTCGGGAAGAGATCAGAGAAGGTGACAGCCTGTAGGAATCTTTTTTAAACACCTCAGTCAAATAATAAATATTATTACTTACTTTACTAGCTTGTTTTGCAGCTTTGACATCAATGTACATTTGTAAACCAAGGCCAATACAGAGATCAATCACTTCTTGAAGATGTGGGATACGTTGATTGGGAAACTTGTCCCTGAGTGAAATATTGAAAAGGGCATTGAATTGTACATATAAAATAAAAAATTCAAAAGTCCCTTTTGAAGTTTAGAGACCCGGACTGTTAAGAGAACATTAATTTTATGAACACTTTTGAGCACATGAACATAAGTGCTCCCAGGGGGAATTCCCTATAATAGCCAAAATGGGGAGCTTCCGCCCAAAAAGGGTACCTTTTTCAGGCTTCAGGATATTACTACATGAAAGGGTAGGGATTTCACTTGCTGAACTATATATGAAAGGGTAAGAAAATTCGTCGTTATGGTCGGTAAAAAGGACCGAAAGGGCTACCAGATGCATTCTATGGCTGTGAAAAAGTAAGAAAATGTTCTGTTTTTGTGATTTATCCATATATTATACAGTGCATTTACAGAAGTTAAAAGGGATGCAAAGTTCTAAACTAGGTATGTGAAAGGGGTGTCATTAATTTTGCCAATAGAAGGTATATGAAAGGGGTACCTTTCCAATAAAAAAATGGTATATAAAAGGGTAAAAATTGTATTAAGTACCGTCCTCCCCCCACCCCCATCCTAGAAAAGGGCTCACTTTTCCTCACCATTGTCAACAAGTTAATATATTCAGTTAATGCAGGGCTCAATATAAATTTGTGACTGTTGCTGGCCATGTTGACTGTGCAAAGAAAGGTTAGCTAAGTCATGTCTCTGGAGAGAGCACTTTAACATAAGGAAACTTACCAAGTTTAATGATTAAAAGTGACAGAAAATATTGCTCTAGAAAGTAACAAAATTTTAATACAGACCTCTGTATGGTAGACCGAGGCATGTATACAAATGCTGTAAAATTTTGCGATTTTGTGGAGCTATATAGGTCTTTGTTAGTTTTCAACAAATAAGGTTCAAACTTGGCATCTTGACTAACTCAAAGACGTTCTTTTTAGCTGTGTTGACGGATTTTTTGCAAACTGGTCCCAGTCACATGTTCAAAAAACTGTCCAAGGGCATATTTTCAGGAGTTCTTTCAAGCATGCCCTCTTTCATTGCCTACCACACTCCTGAATGGCAATCTCATGCACAAATCGGATTTGGCTAGATCTTGCCTTTGGCTTTGTCAGCAAGAGATCTAGAGATCTGGATATGAGACTATTGTTTTGCTACAGAAGACTAGAAAATTTAGCAGAGATATTGCGATGTCCAATAAGATCTGTGCATGCTGTTGTCGCTTTGTCTTCGCTAAATCTGCCTAACGCACACCCACCATGGATCCCAGTGTTCAAGGCCACCTGTAAACAACAGTCACAACTACACTTACAGTTTCACTCCTAAGTACCAACTCTTACTAAAGTGCAGACATTCTCTGTGCGTGGCAGGTATTTTGCTTTGAAAAGTTCAACAATCAACTTTTATCAGTAGAAAGTAGAAGCTGGTCGGTCAAATGAAACAGTTCATCACCTAGCATGCGAAAGCAGCTGTTTCTCCTCACTCCTCACCAAGGAGGAACATCTGCGATTCAGCAACAGAAATCCCATACTGATGACATAAAATCTGTCTGGAATCCGGTCAAAAGCACTGATTGGTCAACGGAGTAGATACGTTGTTGTAGCTACTGTTTACAAATGACAGACAAAATACAAAAGGCTGCAAAGGTCAAATGTAAACGTGATGAATCTATAACAAAACAGTCAATATGTCTGGAATATATTCTGCTCTAGAAGAAGCATTTGAGTTTTGCTGGAGCTCGTTTGCAGATGAACACAACACCTTACCAAAATCGACCAGGAGAAATGTAAAATCGAACAAATTTGCATTTTGAACCCCATGACTACAGGATTTATTGCGTAAAGATTGATTTACATCATCAGTATGCAGGGCTTGAAATAACGGCTGATCAATGGACAATGTCTACACTGATTGCGGAGTTGACCGGTCAACCTTGCGATCGTATTGAAAATGAAATAAATTAAAATTGTTTGTAATGAGTCGCTGTGTATTGCGTAGCCTGCGAGAGCATCCGTTTTTTTCGGCTCAAGTTTCTAGTTTCACCCAGCGGGTGAATTTCTAGGCTCTGTGACCTCATGAAGCCCTCTTTTGACTTAAGAAATATACAGCATGCAAAGAAAGTAGTGTCCAATAACCCCGGGCTACTGGATTTTGCTATTGCGCAAGTGAATTCTGCTCTTAACTTGCCCAATGGGCAACTGACGTTTTTTGAGGAATTCAACTTACAGAAGAACTGTGAAATCAGTTCTGCTCATCATAAAGTTTTTGGGGCTAGTTGAAATGATGTTTGGGTTAGTATATGCTAGCTTCAGCTTGCCCAAATGGCAAGCTGTAAAAATGACTTTCTTTGTACCCTGAATATATAAACGGCAGTTTTGGTTCATGGGCCCTTGCTTTGAGTTATTTGTCTTAGAAATTTGACCTGCCAGAAACGACACGTGACCGAGCTAAAGTGTATTTGGCCGTTCATCAAGTCCGTAGACTTCTCCAGAAATTATTTTGAGCCCTGTCAGTATAGAATTTCTGTTTCTAAGTCGCAGACGTTCCTTCTCGCGAAACACCCCCAGCGGCAAGGAGCGGGGAGAAACGGCTGTGCAGGCTACCCATACCCCACCCACTTCCGATGCGGCAACAATACAGTGCCGGCCTCACGCAACATAGCACCAATAATTAGAATGTAGAATGGCTGAAGAATGCGAAACCCTTTCCATTTCTGGATACAAGAATGAAACACAAAATGGATCCCAAATCCATTTTAAATCAATTTAAATTGGATTAAGCTTAATAGCTATAGACGATGCGTTTACCTAAGAGGATGCTTAGCAGATGCGTCCAGCCGTCTGATCTGGTCGTAAGAGAAGTCAGAAACTTTTCCCGTCCCATCTGTTGTCCGATCCACGGTTGAGTCATGAATTATTACAGGAATGCCATCTTTAGTAAAGTCTAAATCGAATTCAACTCCTGTTGCTCCATTTTCTTTAGCTAATTTAAACGCGGCGATCGTGTTTTCTGGAGCTTCTAATCCACCTCCTCGATGACCGATAATTATTGGAGAATGTCTTGTCAAAACTCCTCTTTTAAGAAAGCATTTCACTGTGTAAGGTGTTGGGCGAGGAAAACGAAGCATTCGATACAGAATTAACGTCAAAACTCCCACGAATAGAAGAAGAATTGTGAAATAAATGTGAAGCCCATAGGAAACTGCTGTCAGCACCATTTCTACTATCATTACAAACATATTGGGGACTGGGAAGGAATCCTCAAATATCGCTGCTTATTTCTTGGAAACAAAAGCGGTTCATCTGCTAAATTCTGCTGGAGAGGGAATTATTGTTAATTATTTGTGCGCAGAATCTTTATGGGATAAAATTACTTCGTTGCGGTTTTAAAAAAAATTTTAAATAAAATAAAATATTTATGTGTTGTTTAATTTGTTGTGTGTGCATGAAAAAAGAGTTTGACATTTCGTGCAGTGTATATCAAGGACAGGGCGAGATTCGCCACCAACGCCGCGAAAATCAAATGGCAAAAAAACTGTAATAGAAAAAAAACAGGCTGTCAAAGGATTTGTAATGAGAACTATGGTACGTGCTGCGCAGGAATCGAAGGTGCGAAAAGGAATTGGTCCCGACAGTGGCATTGGCACTGGCATCGCCGAAAACCTGAAAGGCAATGGGAAGGTAGGGATCAGACACCCAGGGCTAACAGTCCTGAAGTGATGAAATCATAAAAATCAAATTTGTAAAATTATGAGATTTGTCAAGATATTCCGAAAGAATAACCTCTAAGAGGCCTACTTGCCAAAAATGAGCATTTCGGGGCAAATTGTCTCTGAGATATCATAGCTCTGATGAACTTGGGTCTAAACGTTCCTTGCTGGTGGGAAAATTAAGCATTTTGGGTTTGGAGAAGCTGAGAGCGAGATTTCCAAACTAGCTGATGGAGCAAGCGTGACTCACAAGACTTACACATGTAGGTATTTTTTCTCCTTGATATATTATTTTGTTTTTCTTTCCAATTACAGCAAAGGAAAGTAAAAATAATTTGCCTTCCTTATGTTGGGCTTTTCGCAGACCTTATTTTAAGTAGGAAATGTTTTTTGTGAAGATGAGTCTAGAAGTACGCAATGTATAAGAATTTAATATGGAAGTGCTGCAACAGCCTAAATGTCGCCTATATGACAGGTGTTATAGTGGTGGGGGGAATCACTCATATTATTTTTCATCCCACAAAATAGTGTGATTCAGGTTCCACATTGCTGATCTTCCAAAAAAAGAGACTTTATAGGGGTTTATAGGGGTCAAACACAATAACTGATAACCCAGTATTTTACAAATGTGGCCCACAAATAAGGAAAAACAAATAATTGAAATGAACATTATCAAGGTTAAGAATCCTAGCTGGCAAAAGGCAGACCAGTTGGCTATTTACAAGCGTGGCCAAGGAGTTGACTCCGAAAAGTTCTACTGTGAACAAAATCCAGCCAGCAGTTAGGGCAGGGATTGAACTTTTGATCAGGGCCTCTAGATTCCAGCACTCTGTCTAATTGCTCGACCACACTGCCTCAACACCTCTGTCTTCAGGTGTTTCAGGTGTGAAAATGGGTTAACATTAGGCCATGAAGTTTTGAGAATATCAAGCAGTCAGTTGTTTGATTAATACAGCAATGTTTTATGAAAAAGCACCAAAACAGTATTTTATTAAACATTTCATATTATTGTATTTTAAATGAAGCATTATTTTTCTTTCATCTATTCATGTGTGTACTCTTACTAGAATACTGAAAATATTATTTGAATCATTCTCTCCCTACTGATGAATACAGTGAAATCCCTCAGGTGTAAGATAACATTGCTAGTTGGGAAGAGAATTTAGACTTGGTTCAAGGCAACAACAAAAAACAAACAAAACAAAACAATAAAACAAAAGTAAAATGAAAATTCCAATGAGGATTTTACTGTACAGCTTTATACACAAGAGTATGATATGTTAATTTCTCTGAATAGCACTCATGCCAATGATAAGTTAAAATAACCTTCACTCCTTTGTATTATAACTTAAAGTTTCTGTTTTAATAGTTTAGAATATAAATAATGTCTGTACATGTACATATCATGTAAATCAAGATTTTTAAACCCTAGGACCTGTTCAGTCCAAGACTAGTGATGTTATTTGTCACTAACTCGTTTATGTAACTTCTTAATCTGTGGTTGAAATCCTGGCTGTACAGATGTTACATTTGTACCATTCAAATGTAACCTCTTTGGCAGAACTTTTACGTAGTGTTATTTATTTCTTAGTATGTTAAAAAAATAAATTTGAATTTTCTAGTGAATTGTTTCTTTGGCCACGATTATAGGAAAGAAAGAGTTAAACATCCAAAACCCTTTCCTCCACTGTAAAAAAATTATGTTACACAATGTAACACATAAAGGAAAAAGTTTAAAAATGTTATTTTAAATAGTAAATTAATTGAACCTGCTATTCGAAATCTAATTTACTACATGATTGTTAATTAGAGTGAGGTCTGCTCTGCACTTCCTTGACACAGTCTGTCATGATTGGACATTTGAGCACTGTAGTGAAATAGTCCTTCTCAGCGGGATGGTTAATAGTCCACAGAACAACATCAACTCCTTTGTCTTGCCATTTCTTCACATATTCCCTGAAAGAAATGAGAGTTTCAGTGATTTTATCATTCTCTGGACTTTTTCCCTCAATTTCCTCAGGTAATAAAGAATAGAATTAACTGTTCAAAGTCTCAGCAGTATTATTATATCTGTAGTGATATTTTCTTTTGCTCTCTGACTCAATAAGCAATGATGTTTGGTGGTGAAATTAGATGTTTAAGTACTGGTCCAGATAAGAAGGAAACAACCAAATGCAATGAACATGTGGGAATGTAAAAAGGTGCTTACTTTACTATTGTCTCTACTATTTCTGATTGGTTTGAACAGCAAATTCTACGAAATCTCTACAACGCAGCATGTATTTTAATCCTTTGTTTCCTAACTTATAACCAAGTCCCGTCTGAGTCTAAGTAACACAGAAATTCTATGTGAGAAACAATCATGTAAAATGGTGATCTTTTCTTGGCCATTGTTTGGACTCTGACTTATGATTGGTCAAAATGTTTTAACCCATTCACCCCTGAGCCCCCTGTAACCGCCTGTGCAGATCCATGTCCTTTCTACATACCGCTTGTGACTTCAAGAGAAAAAAAAATGAGGCAAGAAAAGTGAGAAAGAGGAGTCGTGAGGAGAGAAAGTGAAAAGTGACAATCAAGACTGCTGTGTCATTTTTAAACCCAAAAACTATCTGAAAATTTTGCTTTCTGTGCATGCCCGAACTTTGCAAGCTAATATTTTGCATCTGGATCACAAGGCCACGAAGTGTACGACCCGTAAACAGCTTTGTGTTAAGTTTTAGCTCTTTACAGCACGACAGTGACCGGAAAACCACTCGACTAGATTCAAAACGCAAAATCTCCAAGGGCGAATGGGTTAATCAGCTAAATTCTTTAGCTGATTAAAAAGTAACTTAACATTATTTAGATTTTTTAAATTGAAACCTTGAAAGATGAGCTGTGTGTGATAGAAATACGCCCACTCCTAAAAAATCATAAACCCATGAATGGAGATGAAGTTCCCAGATTCTGTCCAACACTGAAGCCAACATCTGCTTCCACCATTGCTTGTATCTGGGTGGCCCATCATAGTCAAAGTTAGATATAAACTTTTTTTCCCATGTGAGGGCAGTCAAAATATTGGGATCAGCTCGTCTAACCTGATATATTACACAAACGAAAATAATAAAAATAATAAAATTTCACCTAAAAGGTTTATTTAGTCATATGTCTCCACTACCATTTTCATTATTCCTAACACTTCAAACAAAGGTACAGAGAAGTCTCAGTGTTGAAAGCCTGCCCAAAGGGCAAGCTAAAACTACCTTAATATCACTTATTTTCGTAATACTTAATTTTCATGATTTTTGCGATTTAAAAAATTTTGCAAAATTAAAGACCTGTGAAAATAAGGTGCGACAAAAATTAAAGACACAAAATTAATTTAGTGACCCATTTAAAAACCTTTCATTAAGTTTTCCATCTGCTAGGAGTATGCATACAAGTAGGAGGGCTCAAATTTCGGTGCAATGCATGTCCTTATTCCTCATCATCTGATTCATCTTGCTGAATTAGTTCCTGCAACACTTCCTCAGTACAGTCTTCAAATTTGCCATCAACATATATATCGTTGATAAAGCACAGATATGTTTACAACTTGGTATTCGGTCGCAGTTCAGAAACAAATGGAGTTGGGAAACAGCACTGATGAGGTCGTTTTAGGGCTATCTGTTCTGAAGCCCTTACATGCCACCTGGCTGGTGAGCCTTTACAACCACTTGACAGGCACCGAAGGAAAGCGGCACATTGCAAAAGGATGGAACAAAGCAGGAATATCTGAACTTGTTCAAGGGAAGACAACCATCCATTTGAAAACATTGAGGCGATCGTTATCTAAAAGCTAATCAGCAGTGCCACTGAGTTAAATAGTGCTCGGTTGCTTATCTCAGTCTACTTTAAAAAGATGTTATGTTGCTAACATTGCTGAACATTTCAGCCAGTTGCTTGTTGCATTTCTATTCTGTTATGTTTAAATAAAATGCAAGAATGGAAGTTTAAAAAAGAAGCACCAGTGTACTTGATTTGTGAAATTTAATTACCATACCTTGGAAAACGCTGATTCGTCAAAATCGCAAAATATTTCTATTCCAAATTCACGAAAATAAAGTCACGTGAAAATAAGTGATAATAAGGTTGTAGCATGTACTGCGTAGCCCATGACCAAGGCTGTGCTCTAGCAGAGCCTGGTGTCCCCTGGCGCCTAACTTTTGTTCTCGAGTGACTGGAAAATCTTAGCTTTTTGATAGAAATCATATACTGGGCACCCTGGATTTCACAGGTTCAGAGCACTGGGCTACTTTCAATTTTTGCAGAGCACAGCCTTTCATGAGTCATGACAACTAGCCTGTAAGAAAAAATAGTTTTGATAAGCAGGATGACTACATACATTATTCTTGTATAATTTTTAAAAATTAAATTACCCAAAAAAATTCACTGGCCCATCTGGCAAGTTAAGAACGGAATTCAATAGCAAAATCCACTAGCCTCCTGCTATTAGGTACGACTTTCTTTGCATGCTGAATACAATAAAGCAAATTTGAAATTTGCATGCATTGTAACTAAGTACCAAAACTCCAGGGAACCTCTGAGCTCACACCCTATTCATATTTGACTGTAAAATACTGATAAATACTTTTCTCACCTGGAAAGTAACATTGGGGTAGAATGAGCACACCATGGCCTTATTATACAACTGATGACTGGCAAATACCTCTTTTAGGATGCTCGCAGCCTGTTAAGTAATAAAGTGTAACTAGCTGAATGGTTGGAATATAATGTTACCAGATGTAATCCATGACTAGTGGCTAGTTTTTTTGGCTATGACACTCCTAAGTCTCTAGATCTAATATTATGTCACATCTGCAATCATCCTGTCTGTTCAGAACTTGGTTTATTATGGCACATAAGCTCTGACGTTTGCCTGCATAACTGGTGTTTTTTGGGGTGTTTTTGTTTGTGCTCTGCCTGATAACTTTTAAGTTAAAACTCATTGAGATATTAGGGGCCTTACAAAACTAAAACGACGACCGCAACGGCAATGTAAAAAAGTCAGTGGGTTTAATGAGAAAAACAACAACTCTGTACATGCATCACACTTTTTTGTACATTTCATTACCGTCCCTGCACAACTACGACATGAAATGACCAAATATTAAGTTTACTTAAGGATGGGAATGGCCAAGTAATAAATTCTACCATCTCTGTCTGAACCGGGGTGCGGTCCCCTCTCCTTAGCTCTAACTTAAATTCCCCTCTTTTAGTTACTGGGCGACTTGGGATAATAGCGAAATGGTTAATTGAAAGGGTGCTGAGTCTATTATTCAGTTATGTTTTCATGGACGTCACCATTGTTGGATCGTAAGGTCCCTAATTTGAGACTGGGGTTGCTTACTTAATTGCACACAAAAACACACATGCTTCATTCAAACCATGCAGAGCCAACTGATGCCTGCACCCTCAGTTAGCAGGCTTTATTCCTCCTCCCCCACAGTAGCATGGCCAATAGTGGTTCAGGTAAATTAAATCTCCTTGAAAATCATGCTTGAAAGTTTGAGATCTTGGTGCAACAAGTTTTAACACACAAAAACAAAACTTTGGGACTCTTGATAAAAAATTATTTAATTTTTTCCAAGATTTTGGGATCAAGTCAGAAGTTCGTGGCAGGACCACAATTTTTGGATTTTAAGGTTGTCACTTTGAGTGACTTTTGGTTGCAGCAATGCAAAACGAAACTGTAGTTTGCAGTCCTGACCTTTCACAGTCATTCATTAAATCTTCACACTTATTATCATGTAAAGGATCAGTGAAAATCTTTTTGGGATCATAATTTTCTTAGGCAATGTAACTTGCTTTGAATGCTTTCTAAGACTGTGCTAGGACAAGGCTTGAAAAGTTCATAACCTGTAAGAAAGACTTCTGTTCAGGGCTTCGCAGCCTGGTGCACTTATTTTAGCTCAGCCACGCCTCTCTGCAAACCAGTCAAAGAGTTAAAATAATGCAAGAATGCCTTAAATGATGTACTAGCCCCAACAAGCAAACACAGAGTCTAGTGAAAAAAGATGCTTGTCTTCTTGAACTGTAAAAATGTTGTGAAAATGTGTTTCTTGACACTTATCACTGTGTCTGGTCAAAATGACAGGCAAACAGAAGGTTTGTCCAGACAAATGGCCATCTTGGCCAGACTTGTCTGTTGACTGGGGTTGTTTTGATTCCTGATATTAAATAAAACAAGAAGAAAATTTTATGGTTGTGAAATGGCTGGGGGTTCCCTGAGGTCAACCCCCTCCCCCCAATGACATGCCAATAGCTGCTGAAAAATGCATTAGTTAACGATATTAGCCTGGTATATTACAACTATTTAAAACCATGAATTGATGCTTTCCTGTCTATATGATAAGTAAATTAAATAACTTATACTTTAACAGCTTGTGTTGCAGCTTTCACATCAATGTACATCTGTAAATCAAGGCTTAGACAGAGATCAATTACTTCTTGAAGATGTGGGATACGTTCTTTGGGAAACCTGTCCCTGTAAACAGGATAACAACACTATTTAACACTTACAAATGCCCCCTGGGGGTACTTCCCAATAGTAGGCTAACTGCTATGAGCTGCTGGATGGGGTCGCATTTCCACGACTGGATTGACTATTATGGGGTTGCATTTTTATAAGAGTTACGAGAATGGGGTTGCACATTTTAAGGATTTTGGGGGTTAGAAAATTCAGGTACAGTGCCATGTGGTATACCCTGCAAGCAGAGGCTACAGTTTTGCTGTGTGAGCTGGCGGGCGAAAAGTAGCCTCTATTGACAACCGTTCAATTTTCTATCATGCATGCACGAAATTCATCACATGATTCGCAAGCAAAATTAATCGTCAGGTCTGTTGTCAAAATATGGCACAAGTTTCACGGTTTTCACGGAAATAAAAAAATTGCAACAGCTCTGATCTGCTACGCAAGACTCATGCAATGCTCTAAACCGGTCAAACAGGAAAAGACCCGTTTTTTAATTCATTCGTCCAGATTACTGGATGGATTTGAACGGTTGTTGGTAGAAGCTACTTTTCGCACGCCAGCTCACACAGCGAAATTGTAGCCTCTGCTCGCAGGGTATGTAGTGTATGTAGCAATTTAAAAATAGAAAGATTTACACCACATTAAGTTTAACAAATGTGTCAGTTTATTTCTGGATGACCTTGATAAAAGGCTTTATAAGGTAGATGCATAAACAGAATGTGACTAAGTTGGGATTGCTAAAACTACTTTTTTCTCAAAAAATGATTAAGATGGGATCTACAATATAGCCACAGAATAGACTATAATGGGGTAGGGGTTCTGAGAGACCAGCGGCACATACCCAGCAAAAATTAATCCAAGTAGTCCCCCTCCCGGCAGAATGCCACCCACTAACATGTAAACAACGTTGGGGTCAATATACCGAGCCTAGATATACCGGTAGGTCAATATCAGATTCAAAGAATAACACTTTTTTAAGCACGGAAATTTTTAATAAAAGTTTACCTAAGGGGATGTTTTGCAGATGCGTCCAGCCGTCTGATCTCGTCGTAAGTGAAGTCACACACTTTTCCTGTTCCATCTGTTGTCCGATCCACGGTTGAGTCATGAATTATTACAGGAATGCCATCTTTAGTAAAGTCTAAATCGAATTCAACTCCTGTTGCTCCATTTTCTTTAGCTAATTTAAACGCGGCGAGCGTGTTCTCTGGAGCTTCTAATCCTCCTCCTCGATGACCGATAATTATTGGAGAATGTCTTGTCAATGTCCCCCGTTTAAGAAAGCTCTCAACTAAGTGTGGTGTCGGCCGAGGAAACCGAAATATTCGGTAGAGAAAAAACATCAAAATGCTAAAAAAGAGGAGAAATATTAAGAAATCAATATGAAGTCCACAGAAAATAGCCATCATCGCCAACAACCGCGACCAAATTTCCTACGTATTTCGATGTCATATACCCTGCGAGCAGAGGTTACATTTTTGCTGTGTGAGCTGCCGTACGAAAAGTAAACCAAAAATTTTTTTTAACGTGCATGCGCGAAATTCGTCACGCAGCAATTCGCAAGCAAAATTAATCGCTGTCGTCAAATGGCGCGAAAATGTAGACTAATTCCATACTGCTCTGACAGTACGTCCGCTGAAAACCTGTTTACTAATTTCTTTTGAAACAGGTAAATCTAGATTTTTATGGTTCAAATTAATTCAAATTGTACATTGGCGCAGATCAGATATTGGTCTGAAAGTAGTAACAGGTTTCACTTTCGAAAAGAGTGCAAACCTCAGGAAAAGATTCTCCGAGCAAATTCATTGACGTCAACGCTTCCTCCACCGCAGAGTCCTCTTTTTGTTTTTGAGTGAAGCACGTTAACCGGAAGTAGACTTTTTACATTCCTGGGCAGTGTTTTTGCCCAAATTTTCGGGCATATCGTCGTTTTACAGCGGTGATCATATTGGCGTGAACACCTGAAATATGTCTGGAATGTTTATTGCGATGTAACCAATCACAGACGAGATCATCACACCACAGAAACCACAAGCAACGAACGGTTTCCTATCTGTCACGGAACAAATTATTTTCATTTTGTTTTAACATTCAGTCTTTTTACAAGTAAACAATTGCTTTTCCTTCCTATTTGTTTACAGTATTTGCTATAATAGCGAAGAATACAGGTTTGAGCGATTTTGAAATAAATTACAAAGCCGATGTGCGGGGCCTACGCACGCGACGGTTTGGCGCGCGAGCTTTCAAACTTTTTGTAACGATCGAAATCGGTAGTTACGCCTGATCGCAAGTTACAATGTTGCAAGGTAAGCCGCGAGAGTTTTCTGATTTCCATCGCTTCGCAGCTAATGCAGTAAGCGTAAACACTTTTTTGTGAAAAATCGAAGCAGATCGAAGAACTGCGATCGGAGATAATCATATTTTTTTTCTTTTGCGCTCAAAATGTGCTAATTTGGACTTGAAATCTTCCTGGCTAAATCCCCTCATAACTAGCTTCCTATAGCATGTAATCCCCCAGATATTAAATGCGTAAATGCCTTCAGAGAAAAAGCAAAATTATATTTTGGAAGGAATACCGAAAATTGGAATGTTTACGTTGCGCGATGTGCCAATCATTCCATATATGTTGAATTTGGTCGGCGGTCTTTCCAGTTTGCGACCTTGCGATCAAGGGACTTCTGCCAGCAGCAGTAGTTCGAAGGTTCAATCGTTAGTCCACATAAATCGAATCCCCTTGTTCTACAAAAAAATATTAGCAAGGATTAAGCTATCAGAAACGAAAACATCACGATTGTTCATTTTTTATTGTCTTCATGTGATCATGATATGTCGTTACATGGAAAGCTGGTCGCCGTCGCGTCGCGTTGGCTTCTAAAACTTTTCTTTCTAAAATCGAACGATGTACTGGATGCGGTCCTCAGCACTGATCTTGGGGAACAGCGGTGTTTTAAATTCCTAATAAGGCAGTTTGTATCCTTAAACAAAACGAAAATAATTTGTTCCATGACCGATCGGAAACTGTCGTTGCCTGTGGTTTCTATGGTGTGAAGATCTCACCTGTGATTGGTTGCAACACAATAAACATTCCAGACATATTTTTAGTTGTTCACGCCAATATAATCACCGCTGTAAGGGTGAAGGAACTTAGCAATACAAATTTGTTCGCGTTAAGGCATATGTTAAGGGAAAAGGTCTCACTTCCGGTCGACGTGCGTCGCTCAGAAACGCCTTTGCTTAAGTTCCCTTTTTTGTGTGGTGAGGAGGCTGGGGAGAAAGGAAAAGAGAGCGCGCTTTCTATTTTTTCGAGGATTGCTATTTTTATAGGGATACCCAGCGGGAGCCTCTGCGGAGGAGAGAGAAGTCAACGCGAAAATAGTCTGCGTGGCAGGCGTTCGAAAGGGAAGGGGAAGGGAATTAGGACGCAGGCTAACTCGAAAATGATTCATGCGAGTTCCCTGTGAGCAGTAGCCTGAGATCATGCCCTCTCCCTATTATCCCTTTATGTCTCTCACGGGAAGAGGGCGTTATTTTTTTTCCCTCTCGAGTCAAAGAAACAAAAAAAAAAAAAAAAAAAAGACGCCTGATCTCAGGCACGAGGAGCCGCAAGGGGTGATATTTTTGCACGGCATCTGGCGGCATATCAAAGAATTTGGAATTGAAGGGCAAATTCCTAGAATATCTTCGCCAGTTAAGCTAGAGAAAAGGTGTTAAAAAACCTCAGGATCCAAAACAACACGTCAATCAAAATATCACTTGGACCTTTTCGCTAATGAAGAGCTATCACGCGGCTAAGCTTGAATTAGACATATATTGAAATAGGAACTCGTGTCAATAAAGTATCAGAAGTGAGCGGGAATCGCTCCTGGTTAAAAAACTGGGTCACAGGGATATGCATCTCTTCTAGTTAAGAGAAGGGAATCAGAACTGCTTTTCATGCAGGAACAGGTTTTCTTCGGGCTAACTACAAAACCTCAGCTTATTTCACTCCTTGACATTGTCAAAGCGCATTTTGTAAAGATAACTTTTTCCGCTTTATGAGCTTTTTTTATATTCTATTCCATTAATGTTTAACCTCCCTCAAAAAGCCAAGTAATATAAATGCTGTTGTTAAAAAAAACGTTTTACTTGTGTACGTGAATTCGCTACCCAAAGATCACTATGCTGAAAGGACAGGGTAAAATTTCCAGGAGAGAGGCATTAATTTTTTTTTCCCACGAGGTTACAAAGAGAGAATGCAATGATTATTATTAATGTAACCATCAGGTATACTCTACCCACGAGTTTACGGACAGCAAATGCAGTGATTATTATTAATGTAGCCATCGGGTATATTCTACCCACGAGGTTACAAAGAGAAATGCAATGATTATTATTAACGTAACCTTCAGGTATGTTCTACCCACGAGGTTACAGAGAGCAAATGTAGTGATTATTATTAAATGTAACCGTCAGGTATATTCTACCCACGAGGTTACAAAGAGAAAATGCAATGATTATTATTAACGTAACCTTCAGGTATGTTCTACCCACGAGGTTACAGAGAGAAAATGCAGTGATTATTATTAAATGTAACCGTCAGGTATATTCTACCCACGAGGTTACGGAGAGCAAATGCAGTAATATTATTAATGTAACCATCAGGTATGTTCTACCCACGAGGTTACAAAGAGAAAGTGCAATGATTATTATTTACGTAACCTTCAGGTATGTTCTACCCACGAGGTTACAGAGAGCAAATGCAGTGATTATTATTAAATGTAACCGTCAGGTATATTCTACCCACGAGGTTACAAAGAGAAAATGCAAAGATTATTATTATCGTAACCTTCAGGTATGTTCTACCCACGAGGTTACAGAGAGCAAATGCAGTGATTATTATTAACGTAACCTTCAGGTATGTTCTACCCACGAGGTTACAGAGAGCCTGCAAATGCAGTGACAATTATTAGATTTTAGTGCAACTATCAGGTTGAGTTCCTCCATTAAAAGAGTTTTGTGCTAGGGTTAAACAAGTTTGGCTTTCATGAGTTTCAAGGTGCAAGAAATTATCAGTATAATTATAGCACACAAACATTGTCCTCTAATTTTTCGCACGTAGCCGGAATAAGCCAAGAAATGAAGCACATATAACGAAAAATCGTTCTCAGATGATCTCCATATTAAATAAATTATACTAAACGTTGCGAAAGAAATTATTGTTCGTATCCGTCTTATCCATCGTAAAAGCGAGGGGTCATCGCATGACATCCGGTATATTAAAGAGAGGTAATACTCACGGGTTTCACGAGTTGTATGCACTATTTTTCGCCGAGAAACAAATTTAAACTTCAATTCTTACCTTACAGTAGTCCGTTCTTTTACCTTGCATTCGACAACAAATCTGTTAAAGGCGAACAAAGCGATTCCGGTACTCTTCTTTATGATGAGTAGCAAGCCGCAGGAACTGAAGCCGCTTGACTGAAGTAAAATCCACCGATATGCACGGCATTCTCACTACAAATATAAACAAACGTTGCGGGGAAAAAAGGACGAGGAGGAAAAAATGCCAGATCTTCGCCTCGGCAATGTATTCCAGCTACCATGCCGGCGTATCTCCAGAAGGTGGACTCGAAGTGGGACAAACCTTGTGATTTTTTTTAGACGCCCTTTGCGCGCAAACTAATTTATTCTGGCGCGAAATGAAGATTAACAATAGGTATACTGAAATCTAATCCACGACAAGAAGATTTTCGCACTGTAGCGCGACATATTAAATGCCTATTTTTACAAGTACGCGGAGAAAGTGGTCCACTAGTTTAACTTTTTTAAGATGAATTTACTCCACAAAGGCAAAATGAATGTTTTATCTCTATGTTGTTTACGTGCCGGATTAGAAGGCAGAAGTAAATTCATCATACAGACCCCATCAAAATGAAAGTACACGAATGAAACGGAATAAGTCTAGAACGGTTTAGTTTCTACTCGGCAGCTTCTTTGCTTTTATAACAAAAATTTAATGTTGCAGTCTGTTTTAAACGTTGGCATATCAACGCGCACAGTCACTGAATGAAAACAACAGTCACGATCACGTTCTTCGAAACCGACCAGACGCGCGCGACCTACCACTGTTATGGCAAGCAATTTATCCTGAAGGTGTTAATGTTCCCGTGACAGTCTTCGCACTGAAGGTGTAAATGGTAAACCGAACGGTCGCTCTGATCATCAGAAAGACCTGTCAACTTTGATGATTTAACTGATTAAATTACGGGACAGAAATTTTACTCCTTGCGGCTCCTCGTGATGCGAGCAGTGGTTTCTCGTTCCCAGGGTAGCTCCCAGGTACTGGGCTCCCAAGGTACGAAAACAAAGATGGAGTCGCTTTGTTGTCTTCAGTTCTTCGCTTTTGTTTTAGTCCTCATCGCAATTCTCTACCGCGTATTGCGCCTACCTCGGCCTGACCCCAACATAGACAAATCTTTTCTCCGTAATGATAAATCGGAATCGGCAATTGTTGCTCACAGAGGCGGGTCAGCTGAAGCACCTGAAAACACTTTGGCTGCGTTTCGTATGTCGAAAGAAAATGGGGCAATTGGTGTTGAATTTGACGTAGATTTCACGAGGGATGGTAGAGCAGTTGTAATTCATGATTCAACTGTTGACAGAACTACAGATGGAATAGGTTTGGTCAGTGACTTCTCCTTTGAGGAAATTCGAAGACTTGACGCATCTTGTAAACATCCGTTAAGGTACGGTAAAAATTTAAAAAATGTAAGCTTACATGTATGTAGCTTAATTATTAAAGGGTCTGTTTACAAGGAGCAAGGGGTTACCCTTGTGCTAGGTTTACCCTAGCAAGCGGGTTAAAGTTAGCTCTGGTTTACCAGCAAATTACGCTAATCTACCAAGCTTTACTGACGTGTTTTGTCATGCGTGACATTCTTTGTAACGTCCAAGATTCGAAATAAATCAAAACTTGAAGTTCTCTATGGAAAAAATGTTAAATTCACGAAAAAACGCGAAAATATTATCATCATATACAGAAAATACCCTATATTGACTTTTTGTTCAGATTTTTATAATTTAGCTCAGAAATTGGATAATTTCACGGCAGGTACAAAATCCAGGTCACAGGTCACAGGTCACAAGTGCAGGGCAAACTACAGGTCACTGTGCTATGGTAAATAAACATGAGCACTTAAAGTGTCCCCCAGCCCTAATCACAATCCAAAATAGAATTTTAGCTTAACCCTTTAAGCCCCAATATCCACATACAAATTCTCCAAACTGATCTCTATACATTTCCTTTAAGAATTAGTTAAGAGAATTTGATAAAAGATCAAAGTATTTTCTCTTAGGTGATCATTTTATTAATTCTCATAACTTTATCTCACAACAATGTATGGATATCGTTAGGAGAAAATTGCTGTTGGTCACTATTGGGACTTGAAGGGGGTTAAGGGGAAATAGAGCAGTGACCTACACTATTGACCTTTGACCTGTGAGCTGTGTTTTGTACCTGCCAATAATTCCGATCAAATTGTCAAGACCACTGGTCAGGCATGACAGAGGAAAGTTGTCGCGGATGGGCAAGTTATCCCTAGCAGAGCGTTTACAAGGCAGATAAGGTAACCCTCTTGTTAGGGTAACCGTAGCACTCAGGTAGGGTTACTCTAGCGCTAGGGTAACCCTACCTACCTTGTAAACACATCATGCAAAAAAAGAAGAAATGTGCGAGTGCAAGGGTTCTCCCTCCTTGTAAACAGGGCCTACACTGTCAGTTATAGTGCGACTACTATACCCGGGACCACCTTAACAAAGTTGACCAATTCAGTTACAGGAAAATAACAGTACATTGCGAGAAAGTTAGTTGTCAATCATAATTACCACAAAACGAAATAAACGACATGGCATGGATTGAAATCAACCAATAAACGACCTACAGACATGACCTTTTGAACCCCGCTGAAGAAAGCACATGTTTTCCAAGAGGTCCGTTAGAATGGGTGATGGAGAGGAGAAATGTAAACGGTAGTTATATTTTTGACTTGCTTTTTGAAATTGCCGGTAGATGACAAAATAACAGCTTGTGTCAAAGAAAAATGTGTCCTGGGTATTGCATGCAAAGTTTCATATAGAAAACCATCATCTGGTGAAACATTTTGCTTTCCAGAAAAATGTTTACTTCCAAGAATATTAAATTTTGTGCTTCGAGTAACTTATTGTTTTTTACGAGCTGCTGATTGGCCCACAACCAACTTTCTTGGAATGTGTTGTTAGTTTCCTGTAATCCAATTGGTCAACTTTGTTTAAGAGGCCTTTTGGGATATTTGCAGTTTGGTAGCGCAATCAACTTTTTGTAAACACAAATGATTTGTTTTGGAAAAATGACTGCAGCAGGAACTAAAAGGGAATACAGGTAACCTGTAAATTTTCAGCCATATATTTCAAAACTAGCGACTGTAACTGCCACCAAAAATTAGAAAGATTTGTTTGGGAAAAAGAACTCTTGCCTCCCAGTCATAGTTGAGTAGTTTTCCAAGTAAATCCTTGTAAATTTGAAATTTTCAAACTGTATCTAATTAATATTTTGTCCATAGACTCTCCAATATAACCACCTAAGGGAGCAACAGTGTCAAAGATATAACAATATTGTTAATATTTTCATAATTATGATAGTGACAAGTTTCCAAGGGAAAAGATTCCGTCTGTTGAAGAAGTTGTAGAGCTTTGTGCCAGCCTTGGGTTAAAGATGATTATTGAAATCAAGAAGGGTAGCAATTCCGAAGAGGTGAGAACAAAATTTATGTAAAGAAGATTTTATGGAGGCTCCTAGAGGCATGACTGTGCACCTTACACTTCTTTCTCCACTTTGCCAATACACAAAACAATACACACACTCTACCCCATTATTTTAATTTTGTATGTGAATCAAATTGTGACAAGTGAAATTATTACCTAATTTGGGTAGTTTACCGTTTGATTACTTGTTAATTAGTACCATGGGTGACAAATTATGCACGCAATCATGGATTTTTGACATGTTTATCGTATCAGTCATGAACTCCACGCACTGAAAAGTTAAAGATGAAGCTTAAATTTTGGTTATGTTTATAATAATTTTTCAGAATTTTATGACAAAATACCTGATAGAATCCTTCTTCATTTTGTCATGTGCTCTTTTGTGTATTGGTTTTGTTTAGCGTCTTTTAATGCCTTGCAATAAAATTATTGTCATCTTCATTCATAACATTTTAAAACCTTGATGCCATATTGGTCCTGACATGTACAGACCATTGTCATGGCATTTCTGTAGTTTCACATGTGAAATTTGCCACCAAAATTAAGGAATAGTAATTATTTTTTGTCACCCATGATATGTTGGCTTGGGTGAGTACATTGCTACTACTTTTTTTTTATTAAATCATTGGAGCACACTGTACATGAAAAAAAAAAAGAGAGAGAGGGAGAGAGCAAAGTTACTTTATAATAATAGTATTCCAGAAACATCTCACAGAGATTCTACTATCCTAAGTGGAAGGCTTTTTTGAGAGAGGAGGGGTGAATTTTCGATGTACAAGTCAAGAACATGAAAGGCATGTACAGTCAACTCCCAATAACTCAAACCTTCTAGGGAAATCAAAATAGGTTCGAGTTAGCGGGAGTTCTAGTTATCAGGAGTTAGAAGGAAATAACCGGAAATAAGAAAGTGGGATGGGGGAATGAATTCTGCAAGTAATATGCACACTTCAAACTTGATTAATGCACAGTGCTGGACACTGTATTCAAACTGTACTGACAAAAAAGTAAAGACAAAGAATACATGGTTGTTAAAATAATTTATGTGTTTGGGACTGCAGTCCCTTTTTGTCAGGCAGAAAGCATGGTTTGAGTTACCTAGGGTAAATTTAATATATAGAAATATTTTGAAGGGAAACAAAAATTACCCCAAGTTATCGGGAGGTTTGAGTTATCGAGGGTTCGAGTTACTGAGGGTAAAATTATAGTAAGTGTACATTATGAAGGAAATCCAGGGGAAATCAATTTTGGTTCGAGTTTGCGTGAGGTTCGAGTTAGCGAGGGTTCGAGTTATCGGGAGTCGACTGTAATAAAGGCGTGATGCTCAATATACCAAGTCGATATACAGTGTATGCACTATGGTGTCATTCTTTCGTGGAAAGTTTATTGTGTCATTGTTTAAGGGCTAGGGATCATTGTTGTGTTCTTTGTGACATCACTCGAGAATTGCTATTCACTTGGTATGTTGTGCACCAGCCAAATAACCCTTTAAGTCCCAATAGTGACCAAGATCAATTTTCTCCTAACAATATCCATACATTGTCAACAGATAAGTTATGAGAATTAATAAAATGATCACCTAACTAAAAATGCCTTGATCTTTTAACAAATTTTCTTAACTCATTCTTTAAGGAAATGTATAGAGATCAGTTTGGAGAATTTGTATGTGGATACTGGGACTTAAAGGGATAAAGGGGTGAATCAGGGTAAATGCCTGCAATCAATAATTATTGTTTCAGGCTCCAACCCACCTCCTAACTGACATGCAAAAAAAAGTTAAGTGTAAAATATCTGGCTGTCAAATAATATCCAGTCAAGATCGTTGCCTGGGGAAATCTTCGACACCTGTCATGCAGACTTAGATAGATTATGTCAAGAGGCTACGTAGCTTTGGTTGGTTATTCACAATCCAGAATGGTTCCAAAACAACACATGACTAAATTAAGCTAGTAGATTATTCACTAGAAACTTATTTTGTAGTCGGTCATACTTTTGTAAGCATTAGAACCTGAGTACAGAGTTAATTTCGTGTACTAACTAAGTATCTCCTTTTTAAATCTTTTTTTAGACAGCACAATATTTGACAAATCTGTTTTCGAGTTATCAACTATATGACAGAGCTCTTGTCTGCAGCTACTTTCCTGGTGTAATTTACAAGGTAGATGATTGCATGTTACTTATAAAATAGTAATAATTACTATTTTTTTAATTTCTATTAAATTAATGTATATGTTGTGGTTCAATTTTATTTTCTTTTGTTTTGGGATGTGGTATTATGTATGATAATGAGTTTGAAACAAAGGAAAATAAAATTTAAACCAAGGATAAAATTGAACTACAACATACATAAATATCATTAAGTTGTACTTCACAAAATAAATCACCTCAAGTTCTACTTCTAGTTATTAACCCAATTCTTTAAAAACAAAAATCAGGAGCAATTTTTATTGTTTCTATTTTTCATCACCCTGCTTGAAGAGCCTTAATTCTTTTCCTGGATTTTGTGTCCAGACTCTGTACGAATTGAGTAAGATCTTTGCTTGCTGAGCATGCACTGCATGTTGCTCGAAGGATGCAATTTTTTAACTCAGTGGTACAGTGGGCTCAGTTATGAGCACGTGATTATCAATAAATGGATGTTTGCACTCAAAAATCCAGTTAACAAGAGAAAACAAGATTGACTAGTCCAGAATAGTTCAGGCTCTGGTGACTTCAAAGGCTTGATGTGATTCAGGCAGATCAGCCAGCTGTTCTCCTCTTTGATCATGAAGGAGACAATAAAAGGAGGCTCTGTTCACAGGGTACTGCTATTTCATAATTGCATCAAACTTTTTCCCTTGATAACTATCAATAGTCAAGAGTCAAATTAACTACAGAAGAATTATTGTTTTTTGAAATACTGTTTTGTTTTTGCTTTGACATCTTAGGTTCGCAAGACAGATCCTAAAATCATTACTGCTTTAGTATGGTGGAGGGACAGCATGAGTTATATTATAACAGGAGGCAAGGAATTGTTTGAGATTGATAGTTCCATCAAAGTATCATTTTTGAGTTTCTTTGATAGAATATGGGAGGCACTTTTGCCATGGTATTATGATTTCCTTGGAGTGCCCATTCTGTCATGTGCAAAGGAACATGTTTGCGCGTAAGTCATCTTTCTTTTCAGAATTTCTTCACTGTTTGTTTCTGTATCTCCTAGACAATTAGTATTATATTATTATCTTTCAGACTGTCTTTTGGTTTCTGATTGCTGTAAAGTTCCTGTCTGCATTTTCATTGCCAGTTTCTGTGCCCTGACCAAATTTAGAAGATTTTTCAATTATTTTGACAGTTGAGGTCAATCATCAAATAGTAGAAGATGAAAGATGATCAATGCTAAGCAGACTGGTAGACAGTTGACGCAGAGTCTCAGCTGTTTTGTTTTTAGCAATGATCACAGTGACCCAGGGGTACTTCAGATTTTAAGGTTCGGAAATTCGGCACGGGATTTTTGCGGAGTTAATTTTTGGTCTAGGGATGGTTTTGGGTTTTGACTTTTTGACCCCATTCAATCATCCCCAGCACTTGAAATCTGGACAATACCCCCTCTTCCCCCCAAGCAATGGGAATGTCAAAAATGCAAATTGATAAAGCCAAAACTTTGCACATGCATTAAACTATTTGGTACATTCCTTTCCTGGCCACTGCCTAACTATGATCATGATATTCATCTGTAGTGTGCAACTTTTCAAAGATACAGGAAATACACAATTTGACGAGTTATTCTCTCTTATATTACACTTAGGTGTGGTCCTTAAAAATGATATTATTGACCGCTAGGAAAATTAGTCTCCCCAGTGAAGTATTGAGCAAGTTGGAATATTGTGATCAAGTTTGAAAGAATGCAATTTTATTTTTTGAGTGATCATTTCTCTGCTGTTGTCATCCTCATTACTAATTTTTGTGGGCTTTTAGTGAAGGTCAAAGTAAAATTGGCAAAACTAAAGGAAGAAGGAAAAGAGGGAATTGGAGTGAGCGAAAATGGAAATGCCGTTTATGTGTTTGCCACCTTATTCCTACTTTCCATTTGATCCCCCTCAAATGGCTGCTACCCTTGGGTTACTACCCTTAGGGTTCCCCTTCAAAAACCCCTATTTCTGGTAATTGAAAGTGGTTAGTGGAAAGTTATTGTGATTTAGAAGCTCTCCTGACTTATGACAGCTGTGTGGAAGTTGGTCCTGTGTGAGATCTTGGATAATACTTGACCTGATATGATAACCACTAAAACTTTGCTTTGTTCCACAGGGACATGTTAGAGTTGTGGAGAGGTTATGGTGTTGATGTGGTAACATGGACTGTCAATCATTTGAAGGCCAAGGTCTTTTTCATGGAATGTCTTGATTGCTCAGTCATAACAGACTGTGTAAAACGAAATTCAGTTTGGAATTAACTACAAAATGAAATATTTTGAAAAACGAAATTCTTGTGCATCAAATCAAGCAAATTTGTCTTTACCGATATGTTATTTCCTTTGCAAGGTTTGAGGAGGACACATGTTTAAATTCCTATGAAATTGTGGGAAAGCTTGCCAAAATATTTAAGCGTTGTCTTGCCCCATGTAAGGTAATCCAGATTCTGCAGTTTAGAAAATTTTTCGTCGTAAAATCTTGTATCCTCGAAATTTCTTCTCGTGGAATGAGGGGAGGGGGGCATCTGTACACAGGCTACATATGGAATCTGCAATCCTGCCAATGATTAGAATCCGGAATCCAGTACATCCGGAATCCACAACGTGGAATACAGACTCCAATAATGTTTTGTAATATTACCTTACGTGGAGTGACATGTTTCACCTCAGAGCTGGTCAGATTATTGACACAGTAAAAATAATTTAACTTGCTGTTAATCAGTCAGGTTCAGTGAGTTTTCTGAGATGAGTGACTGTTGCAAAGAGCCTTATGTGTGATGTTGCCCGGTTTTCCCTCAGTCTGAAGTTATTGATTCAGTTCTCCTTGGATCGACTTGCTCAGTTTGTGGAGGCATGGTGAAACAAAATTGGGTGACAGCGTTTGATCACAAGACTGATGTTTTGAACCTAAAGAAAGTAAAATTGGCACAGGCTTGACTGTTAATAAATTATTCTCCTGTAAGATTTATTGTACGTATATGCCTTTTAAAGGCTACGGGTTCGGAATATTTGTTATCGGAATATTTAAGTTAACTTATTTGTAATTTATGGCAACTCATTTTACTTACTGTTATACATGTATGTCTTTAAATGTTTTTGTGTAAGAAGGGTTCCTTAAATATTTTTGTGTAAAAACGCCCTTATTTTTCTTATATTTGCTCTGTATCTATTTGAAATATTAGATATTGAGTAATCTTAACATAAGCGATTTTGTAGTGTCTTAATGCACAGTAAATTAGTTTTTAATACTTTTTAGCTTGTGATTATATGTTCAATAACCTGTCCACAGTGCTTTTTTTTTCTTTTTTCTCTTTTTTTTGGGAGGAATTTTGTGAGCACGTGTGAAGCTCTATTTTCTCATATCCCCCCCCACCCACACACACACACACACACACGCACACCCGCTTTTAGGTGTACACCTATAATTATTACACTAACGTTTTCATTGAGAGAGGCAAAAAAAGATCCATGCAAAATAAAGTTTAGATATTTTTTGCAGTACGTTATAATCCTGAATTGTTGACACCAGCCCTTCACTTGAGGGAAGGTAAATCTGCCACCCGAGAGAGGTGCCATTTTCCCGCCTTTTCTCTAAATATAATTATTCAAAACTACAAATCCCGTTGCTTTTGGAACCGACTTTTGGGTGTGGAAAACAAGTCTGTTGTTCTAGAAAAAATAATTGAAAAAAAATTCCTTTCTTCTCATTATTGATCGCTTTTTAAATTTTATTTATCTTATTTTTTATCTCTTTTTACCCTCATAATTATGCAAAATTTTAAGGGAGTAAACAATGTGCATTATGGTCTATGTGAAAATGGAAATTTCATATCTTTACCCTCAACTTTTTCAGGTAGCTATGCCCCCTGTAATTGTTTAAAAGGAAGTTTATTCCTTTATGCGGCAAGTTTACCAAAGGCAGGTAATATAGGGTACGTTGTCCCCTGCGCGGTTCTGCACCCACCTTAAGTCCATTAACGCCATGAAAATGTAAAGAGGAACAAGTCAATTGGGTCAAAGCGGAAGCGTGGGTTCACTTGGTTGTTATATGTCCCGATTCGAATATCATTAATGCGAGGAAGGGTGAAAGGGCACTTCGCTAATATAATGGCTTGCTGGTTATGGGCTTCTGACAACGAGCAATCCGGTAGGCAATATAATGTTTGTGTAATAATTGAAAACTACTGGCGAAAATAACGAAAATAAAAGTTCCTCAGTGCTTTAAGGTATCCAGAGAAGGCGTATTTTTTATTTACAGAAGCTCTCAGTTTTCGGCCTCTTCAGCAAGGAAAGACACACTACCAACTCCCCTGCCATTTTATGAAAGACTCTAGTGACCGGTGCTCAACAAACTTGTTCGCTACCAAATAGCAAACGCCCTACTTCACACGAAACGAAAGTTGTGATCGACTTAAATTGATTAAGTTCGCCTGTTGAACTTAAATTAGACAAGCATCAGAGGAAAAAGTTGTTAAGCAAGTATTTTTTTAGCCTGCTTCCTAAGGGGCTAGGGTAGAGGAGAAAGATTCAGCTCTCTCCATCTTTCCCCTTTTCCCCCAGAAACGCCTGATACTCCAGCTAGTATTTTTTTTTTCGCAGGCTATGGAACCCTTCGCCTGGACCAGACCTCAGCTGAATTTTGCTACCCTATACAAGACTTAACTCCCGAAATCCATCTCTTCTCGCTACTTTCCACATATCGACTCTTTTTTGCTATTAAACTTAGTTGTAGGTAAATTCTAGTTTCTAAATTTTTTTTTTTTTTAAGAGTGTCAATTCCCGGTTTTCCGTGAGTCTAGACCTTCATCCAATTGATCAGTTTCCTGGAATATGATACCCTAGACCCAACCCTCTCATTTCTTTACCCTACCCCAGACTAAACCTGCTTGAAAACAATACCCTCAATAGCTAGCGACACGCACCTTTAGAATCCATATATGGCAATACCTCCCGGGGGTTTCGCGGCTCATAATGTGATTCGGCTGATCGTCTTTCACGCCTACTCGACAGTGCTGGATCCAGACCTTGAGATTTGAGATAAGCGGGAGGGGGGGCGGTCATCCAGACTTTTAGAGAGGGGGGGGCAGTCTCCAAAAAAATATTTTCGGCTCTTCAGGCCTCAGTTTGGTCTAAAAATAACGGGGAGGGGGAGGGGGTCCTCCCCTGGATCCGCCACTGCTCTAGCCCTGAACAAGAACGCCTCAGCCTTAGCCTATTCAGATACAATCATCTAAACTTACTTATAGGACCACACTCCCCCGGACGGTCTTACACCCACTTATGACACTCCTTTTAAAGCATTTACTGCATGTTTGAAGCAAATTCTGTTTGGCCATGAGACTACAAATTAAAATTTGGGGGAAATGATGTTGAGTTGGGAAGGAAATGTATGAGGGTAGAATAGGTTACACAGCTCCTGGTACACACATAAACCAGTTAGTCCACTAATGGGATCAGAGGCACCTTGTTGTGCTGGTGGACTATCTGGTAATTGTCTACTAATCATTCACTTCATATTTCAATTTGTAACAACCCCCAAATCCAATATTTTCCCCTTTTCTCCAAATTTTAAACATCTCTTTCCCCTTAATTTTTTCACATTAAAAACATTCGAAAAATCATCCAAAAAATTCACAAATAATTATTGAACTAAGGACTGTAACTTGATTGAGTAACTTTTTGATTGAATGAAATCTTGGCTAGATATTTAGGAGAATGGGAGGAAATCAACCAAAAATAATGCTTAATACCCCCTTAATTTAGCCTTCCTCGAGCATAACTGCACTTCCCTCCCTCCCCCCCCCACATACATCAAATTTGGTGGGCGTTAACCTGGCGTTGTCTTAGATGTTAGCTTTGACAGCAAATGGTTTCTTGGCAAAATAGCCCACATTTTGATAAAATTCTAACATGACTCCCAGTTTACAGGCAAAACTGCAAATTTTTCGCGATTTCATTGTCTCGTAATTCCCAGAAGAGACTTGGGCACAAAGAAAATCAACAATAACTGTTAGAATTATTGCGAGACAACTTGCACGGACATAATTAATCACTACGCAAAAGTTTTCACGTGTTATTTTAATAGACTAAGTAGTAGGTCACGAAATCACGCGAAAAATAATCTTTGTAATTAGGCAACGTGTCAACCCTTTCCATTGAATACAAGGTAAATGAAAAAAATTGACGTTTTCTATCATATTTCATGCACGAATAAAACAAATCGTGTCGCTTGAATATTGATTTCATGAATCAGGAATGTGCCGGAAATATCTATCTTTGGTTATCTTTAGTTTGGTGCCAATTTCCGGTGTCAGAGGTGACATCCGGTGTACACGCACATTGCTCTCGTGATTTTACTGGGCCTCGACTTCATGATGAGTCTTGGCGCTTGCTATAAATCCGATGGGAGTAATTTTACTGGGAAAACTCATTGCGACAGGATTTGACTTGTAGACGTTCCTTTATCAAACAGAGGTCACTTAAATTTCATTAAACACGGATCTTGAAAAGAATTGTATCAGGGCACTTGTAAAATATGACTGGAATAGGATACAAATCGCTTGCAGCGAGTACATCTGGTGTTCCGCTTATTAGGTGGGTCTGTAAAAATTTTCGAAACCGAGTGTTTATGTTGTCATTCCAGATGTTGTAGATCTTCGATAGATTTAAGCTTCCCTGTCTTACGCCGAATCGAATGTTCTCATAATTGTAATCGTTGTGTACTTCAACCATTTTGTTTTCAGGGCTATCTCCCGTGCGTAGATCTGCTTATTTATTTGCACTGTTGTTGCGTTTAATTTTCCAAATGACTGAAAAAGCTTAGTTATGTGCGTCAGAGAGCTTATGACAGCCGAATCTTTGTCATGCTTTTAGTTTATTATTTAACGGTGGTGACTTAAAGCCGAATTTATTTTTATCCGCGTTCCTGGTTCCCTGATTTTTAGCTTGATGGTCATTTGTTATGCTTGTACTGAAGGAGATCTTGATAAAGTTACCCTACAGTTAAGCTTATACCGTTTCTTTTTTTGTAGCCTAAGCTTATTCTTTAAGCATATTAATTAGCTTGAATATAAGAAGAAGCGTGAAGAAACTTATTAAGAAGTTAAATAGAGCCTACACCCAAAAGAGGGTGGATGTTCTGACAAGTTTCTGGAAATATTTTTTACCCAGTTTTATTTGCATATTGACCGCAAGATTGTTAGTAATGTAGTGACACTTATAAACAACTTGGGATGGGGAAATATGTTTAAAACTGAGATTCATGGAAACGTTCTTCAAACACTACGGCTGTTTAAAATCCACAGTGGATGTAACAGCAAACCTACTAAAAGGGGACTTAGTTACTTAACACTAATTAAAATGCATGGGTCTCCTTGTTCCCACATATGATCTGATGTAAGTTTCCTAGAACCACAATTTCCTAGGAATCACCACCCCTGCATCTGGGATTGTCTGCAAGCAGTGTTATTTGTTCATCACAGTGCAAACGTATGAGGATCACAAAGTTTTACTTTATGCTGCCAATAGTATAAAAAGTGCAAAACGACAACCCGTCACCCTGTAGCATCATTTTACCTATTTGACAGGTCTGTAGGGATTTGTATCTTCATGTGTTGTGAATTCATAAAGTTTCTAATTCTGTAGTTAGGACATGGATATTTAAATAACAACTGGTAAACGGCTCAGCGTGTACTATTGAATTATAGTTGCACAAGGGAGGTTGCTAAGCATGAAAGAAGTGTAAGAGTTGCACTTGGCTATGCAGACATTTTTTTTATCTAGTATTAGTGCACAGTGACACAAAAAACTGACATGCATTGGTGAGTACTTATAACAAGGATAAATATTAATACCTGTCCTTTATGACAGCATTGTGTTTACAAGGGGGTAGCAGGGATTGCGTGGATAGTGTCCATCCTACCAATGTGGGCCGTGTTCAAGTGGGTTTTGACACCATATTAGGGAGCTTAAATAACAATGACGGCGAATGCTATGAAAACGTCGGTTAAAAAGTGTATTTGTGCTGCTTCAAACTTAATTGTGTGTACTCAATCTCATTCAATTTGTTAAACGTTGGGGAATTTTTCTGGAGTTGAATTCTTAAGGCTGTATCAAAGTTTAGAAAAAAAGGTGATTGTTTTGTGTTCATGTCCCCCACAAAATGTGAAATTAGGCGGTTTCACGTAATAGACATAGTCGTGCAACGACAGCAAAATGTAGAAAAAATCTAAATGTAGAAAAAAGCGTGATGCACGTGCAAAGTTTTTGTTTTGCCAATTTAAAGGGACACCGTCAGCTACGGGACCACGCTGACCTGGACACTACTTTTGCCAGTTTGAAAATCTTTTACCTCAGCCTGAAATCAAATCTACACGTCAGATACATCTAGAAATCTGCTTCAATCCTGCCCAGTGTTTCATTCGATCCTTGATCCTTTACTGAATTTTACTCATCCTATTACATTATTTTATCATATTTGGTTAAAAACAGTGTTCACAGGAATATAAACAGAAGAGGTGAGAAACACGTAGGCGCCGGGCGGGAGAAATCACCTTCGTTTACCAAAGTAACAAGAGGAATGAATCAGTAACATTGGCGAGGAAATAATCATTATATATATTTGGAAAATAGATTGAAATGGTTAAATATATTTGCAAAATCAAGCTTTCTCGACCTTGAACTTTTGACAATGATTCAAACTTCGTGCAATTTCTCACCTCTACTGATGTTTGAATTCAGAAGTGTCCGTCGATGTTTGGCCTTCCCCTAAAAAAAAATCCATCGCTGAATTCTCAATGGTATATAAAAAAACATGAGTGCTCTGATATGGCTTAGGGTCTATAATCACGATTTTGGCTTGTAACTAGTTCAACTCTACAACGTTTGTTTAGAGTATACTGGATACACTTCTCACTTTCTGTTTCACATGCATTTTATGACATGCAAATCAGCTAAGAAATGGTATATAATGCGCATGTGCATCAGCTGTGTCCCTTTAAACCTATTGCTTTTTTGCCGTTCTTATTGCCGTCACAGCTGTAGTTGCTTAAGCTCCCTAATATATAGGTTGAGTGTCACCCTCCCTAACCTGCTCAACAGGCATTATTGGGAAGCTCAGGTGGGTATTTGGGTGCAAGTGCAAAGCGTAAGATGCAAGACAGGAAGAGAAAGAGAAAAAGAATTGCTGTAGACAGGTTATTGTTCTAATTCTTCAGCTTTATACACACCCTCTGCAATGGATGACCAATTAAGATGGGGTTTAAATTTGTGGCAAACATTCTTGCCACTGTGCGTTGCCCAATGTGTGTACATAATATAGAGTTCCCATCACTTGAAGTGAGGCATGCGTATACCTGCCAACTTTTTCTGAGATATATGCGTGAGATTTTTATCCTGGGAGTGCTGGGATTTTTGAAGACGACACTATCATTTCCGAAGATTCCCGAAGAAGTCCGAAGTCTTCCTAAGACGTCCGAAGTCTGCCGAAGTCTGCCAAAGGCGAGCTCGCTCCCAGTGCTTTTCACTTCAAAAATCACAGATCGCGAGGAAGGTATTGCCATTTATTCATTTTACACATGGTTTTCTTTCCTTACATGGGTCTGAGTTAACGTATTTTTGGAAATTGTGTCAAGCAGGACGGCAACAACTCACATTTTTCAATCAGGCGTGAGAAATTGGCCCGCAGGCGTGAGCCGGCGTGAGATCGAAGTTTTCAACCCGCAGGCGTGAGACTCACGCCTAAGGCGTGAGAGTTGGCAGGTATACATGCGCATCTAAAAAAACTTGCAATGTCTCATTTGATAAGGTGTTTGTGGCTTGACCAAATCAGCAATAGAAACTTTTGTTCACCTGCTGATTTTTTGGAAGAGAAAGAACATGACCTGGCATTTTTGGCATTATTTCACTCTTTTCCTTCCTCTTGCATGTCTCACACTTCAGGCTTATAACCTCAAAACCCAGCTGAGCATCCCCAATAACTTGTACTTGATGTGCAAGTATACCTTCTCTAAAATAACATAAGTTTGTTTTTTTTTTCTCCTGGTGAGTTCAGACTAACCTTCTAACAGTGCGATTGTATGAGTAAACATAAAAGAAGAAAAATGTAGTTAGCAATAATATTCACATATGTTTGAAAGATGCAGAAGTTCCTCTGTCAGTGAAAAATGTTTTAATGTCTGCAAACCATGTCATATTGATATCCATGCTATGTACGTTAATAATTTTTATCCAAGTTTTGTACAAAGTTAAGATGTTGTTTCCTTTTAATAATGACACACACGGTTTATTCCAGGAACTGACCGTGCAGGGCCCCCTTCTGAAATGTAGTGAGTCGTTAACATTTCTAGCCTGCGTGCAGACGATAACTAAACTCTGATTATTACTGTCTGCGAAGCAGCGCAGAGATCCTTGTTCTGGACCCCCAACGGCCTCAACGAATTACCAGAAGTGCGTTTCGAATTCCCCTTCAACCTGATTGGCGATCACGACAAACAAAACAAAGGCCTTTTTTAACTGGCCAATCGTGGCGCCTACTCAAATCTGGGTACACAGCTGGAAGTCCAGAACAAGGATTTCGACGCTGTTTCGCAGACGGAGTTAACCAGAGTTTAATTTCGTCTGCGTGCAGGCTATAACATTTCATGAACACTTTTGTGCCACTTAGTTGGAATTAATATATAATTTTTCTTTTGCCCTTTATTTTCATTGATTGTATGGTTGTTATGCTGATTTTCGAAGTTACTAAATTTGACTTTGTACATATTATTAGGATTTTTTGCGGCTGACTGTTAACTGGAATAGCAATTTTAGCTTTATATGTTTAGCTCATTGAAATTAAATGTACTGGTAGTTTATCTTCTTTTTGATCCTTTAGTTAACTGCATCCAGTAAATATGTATGTAATTTTCAATACAAGTAATTTTACTTTTGAAATTGTCAGTTGAGTAAGTGAACTTTTGATGACAGCTAGTTCTTAAACACTTTTTTTCTCATAAGTCTATGTAACCAACTATACTGTAATTTAAAATCTCTTTTTTTATAATATTATCTCCACCCCATGGACAGGGTTGAAGTTTTGCCACGCTGTAAGAGAAGCTGAGAACAAAATAAAATGGAGGGAGAGGGTTGCAACGTCTGTGGCACCCCAACGGTCATTTACTACGGGGATAGGTGCAGGTGCAGGTGCATCTCCACCCCACTACTTGCCACACCCCTAAACAATGGGATGCTTCACACATTTTTCAGTGCCATACTCTGGAGTAAACATTACTCATATTTCTTTACGTCTTTTTGCAGGCCATCAGTTTTCAGACAAATAGCAGATTTTGCGAATGTTTTCAAGGCTTTTCTTGGAACTAACTGGATTGGTTTACCATTTGCTTTTAAAGAAAGTGGAGTAGTGGTAAGTGAGATGCAGTGGATAGAGGTGTAGATTCAGTTTAACCTTGTATCAATTAGACTGACTGTTCATTTCAGTCACAAATATATGAAATGCAGTAGTTAATATACTAACCAATTTACCTATATGTATGGCTATTGCCTAGTAATGCTCAAGGGGAAACACCTTTCTGTTTGAAACAAATCTCTTCAAGTGATATCGCTTTGGCAAATTTCTTTAAATAATGATACCTAAAAAAGTCGAACATGAGATCTCAATTGCATGTCACAGTTCCAGATATTGGTTCCGTGGGTTAAGATGAACCGTAAGTGGCTCAACCTATCACAAGACAGTGAAATGACTGTCGTGCACCGGAAGTGACACATGCTGTATAATTTATAATATTGTTAAATTATTACTGTGATAACAAATTAATGTGTTTTATTTTTGTACATTTTGGTTTCAGCTGGGATTGATTGGAATTCTTGTAATTGCATTCATCACAGATCACTGCTGTCAGTTAATCATCAAGTGTAAAAAGGCTGCTGTCCAGCAAGTCTTGGACACAGTTCCTCAGTCCAAGGATGTGGAATCACAGGATTCAAACATTGCTGCTCTTAGAAACACTGTGGAAAAACGAATGCTTTTTGGAGAAATAGGAAGGATTGCACTTGGCAAATGGGGTGTTTTGCTTGTCAACGGAGCTCTTATAGCCACCCAGTATGGCTTCTGTGTTGGATATTTCATATTTCTGGGTCAAACCATCTCATCAATGTTTCCTACACCACCCAAAACTCATGCTGTAACAACAACAATGCTACCAATTCACAATGTTTCAAATATCAATTTGACTAATATTACATCACCCACAAATGGTTACGTTCAAAAGACCCTTTCTGCTGATCATGACCACACCCCACCGTTTGCTGTTCTTATTCTGCTACCATTGGTTCCACTGATATTGTTTTCATACATACGAGGGGTGCGAAGACTTGGTCCAGTCAGTTTTGCAGCCAATATTGCGCTCTTAATGGCATTTGTGTCTGTTGTTGGATACATGTTAAGTGGTACGTGCATGTAAGTTAATAACTCACATAAAACAAAGGAGCATAATTTATTGATTAAAATGGATGCAATATCCATAGGGAGTGTCTTAATTATGGGTTAAGACCTTTCAAAATGAAAGTAGAGCTATATATCTTTTCCCAAGAAGTAATAATGTGAAATATGGTTATTTTAGACAGTAAATTAGACCCTCGTTGATGAGTACAGTGATGACAATTCACAATTCCCCCCATTAACAACTTTCTCTTCTAAAAATCAGAAAATTATCGTGATTATTGTTTGTCTGGGATACTAGTAGGTCTGTTCTGATAACCAAAACTTTTTTTCACCATTAACTCACTTTATGACTTAATTTACACGGTGTAGAAATTCAAAAGTAAGAGACAATCTCCAGCAATCTCACTTATGATGAAGGTGTGTCTGTTGTAGTTGAATTTTATCCTTGGCTAATGCTTGGTTTAATTTTATTTTTTCTTGTTTTGGGGTTTGTAAAATAGTGTATGCATGGTCGTGTGTTTGAAACTGAAAGAAATGTTATAATTTAAACCTAGAGTAAAACTGAGTCACAACATATCCTACATGATAACACTAATCATCGACAAGTCCTTTTCCCCTGTAGTTTTGCCACAACTCATTTCTGCTTTGGTCTTTACATTGTATTTTATTCCTCATGTTTCTTTAAATTTTTTACACAGGCTTGAAATTTAAATTTAGTGAGTTGCGACTGGTGCATTGGGCTACCTTTCCAGTGTTTTTTGGCCAAGTGACTAGTGCTTATGAAGGAATAGGAACTGTAAGTACAATACCAGTCTCTTTAAATTTGTAATAAATTATTTATAGTTTATCAGGTATTGACACTGAAACGCCTGTTCAATTGAAATGACCTGGAACAAAATGGCATTATAACTTCATTAACCCATTTGGAGTGGCTTTATCTATTTAAGGGTAAACATCATTATTTCTTATAGTTCATTATTTTTTCTTATTGCACAGATAATTTCCATAGAAACAAGCATGGCAGAAAACAGGCACAGATTTCCCTTGTATCTTCATTTTGCAATTGGAGGCTTGTCTATGATTTTAGCGTTTTTTGGTTTGCTTGGATACGCTGTGTATGGTGAAGCAGTGGAACAGATTGTGACAGAAAGCTTTCCACAAGGAGTATTAATACTCATTGTGCGATGTTTGTTGTGTTTTGCAATTCTTTTGACATACCCACTCCAGATCTTTCCAGTAATTGAGATTGTTGAAGGCTGGTTGTTTAAGCCCGAACGAAATGTAAGCACAGAGGGCAGCGTGAATACAGATTCAAACTCAACTGTTAATAATGTTGCAATGTCACAAGGAGGGATGGTTGGTTCAGCAAGTGAGTGTTCTATGCTGCTGGCACCAGAAATACCTAAACAGAAGAGCAGGGTAAGTCAAATTATAATATTGTTTAAATTATTGTGACTTGTGGCTTGACGAAGATGATTATTATTTTGTAACTTGTCATAACTGTGGGATAAAACCCAAGTACTGAGTTCCAGATAGTCATCAAAACCACTGCCTCTTAGGATCCTGGTGGAGAATAATTCTTAAGTAGCAGTCTCCTTTCTCATTTTTAGTTTGATCAGATAAAAAACTTTCAGTTTGGAAAAGGCAGGTACAAAAGTCGGACCGGATCAACTCGGATCAACAATTAATTTTATTTTTAGTTTTGTTAATTTTAATGATACACTAGTGAGCAGCACACATACACGTCCAGTGAGCATTTTCAACTTGGAAGGAGGAGAAACCATGCTCGCCCGGGACAAAGAAAATTTTCATACCCAAGGCGAGAATTGAACTCACGACCCCTTCGAATACCACATGAAAATCGGACGCTCCAACCACTGAACCGGAGGGTCGCGAGTTCGATTCTGGCCGTGGGCATAGAAATTTCCTTTGTCCTGGGCGAGCATGGTTTCTCCTCCTTCCAAGTTGAAATTGTTCACTGGAAATGTACGTGTGCTGCTCACTAGTGTATCATTAAAATTAAGTTTCAGAAGTTCTGCAGAAAAAAAAACAAACAGGAACAAACAAACAAACACTCTTCGGTAACTATCTAAATGCCATCAGCAGACAAGGCTTTTGATGATTTTCTTATAAATAATTCAGTAGTCTAATAAATAAGAAAATATATACATTCTAGGCGACTGAAACTATCATTTCTTTACTGTCCAACCACAACCACGAGTTTATAACATGATCCGAGAGGGACTGGCACTAGTAAAACAAAATGGCGCCTGAAAGCCATGGAGAAAAAAAGGATGATCTGGCCTTTTTTTACCCTCCAAATGGGTTAAACTTTCAGTTTTGCTTATTTAATTTAATTTTTTTGATTGCTCCGAGTTGATCCGAGTCCAATTTTATTTTATTTTTATTTTTTTATTCGATCCAAGTTGGTCCGAGTCGATCCGAGTTGATCTGGTCCGACTTTTGTACCTGCCTGTTTGGAAATGGTAGGTATGTTCCAAAGCTCTTCCACCATGTGACATTAAAGTAGCTGCAGAGAAAGCTGTCACAAGGGAATGAAATGGTGGGGTTACATGTAGTTAGTGTATCAGATCTCAGTTGATGGGTAATCTCTTTTCAGAGCAAAACTCGTAGACATTATTCTGGCAGTCTCTAGTTGCCATATTGTTTTCCCTTAGTATAGAGATCGAAACAAGAACAACAACAACTTTATTGCACATCAAACAGATTACTTGGAATAAAAGTAGACTAAAAAGGAAAAAGGGAATACCGTAAAATTCCGAAAATAAGCCCCTCCGTGTATTACTGTATAAGTCCCCCAAACCCGTAATGCAAAAAACCCTTCGTTAAATCACCCCTTAAAATTCAAATATAAGCCCCCCTCAGGGGCTTTTACTTGGAAATTGCCCTCAAATACAAGGTCAAACAAAATAAAAAGGGTAAATTTCCTTCTAACTATAAGGCTAGCCTAATCGATTTTAAAATGCAAATTTCCCTCCATAGATAAGCCCCTCCAAAAATAAGCCCTGGGACGTTTTTTCGGAATTTTATAGTATTTATGCAACGGCAGTTAATTAGCTTAAACTAATCAAGGCAAGGGGAGGAGTGGAGAAGAAAATAAAACAAGGAAAACAATAAATTTATAAACTAATAATTAACTAATAATTTATTATTAAGGGACTGTTTACATTTCAGTTTAATCTTATCTTAGATTCTTGACTTCATTATTTTATAGAATGGTTTTGATTTTGATCAAATGAAAAGCAGCATTTACATACATGTAAATCTTGGAGTGAAAAATGTACTGTATTGACGTGAGCTCCCTTCATGCAGTGCTGTTTGTTAAATTCAAATAAAATTGAATGTTATTATGTTATGTGTCGTTAAAACCTATTAAGAAAGTTATCTTTTGACTTCTTTGCAGCTTCGGCAATGGAAAAAGAACCTACTTCGCACTTGTCTTGTGTTGTCTACTGCTGGCATTGCTATTGCTCTGAAAGATGACTTTGCATATGTCAGTGCTATTGTTGGTTCCATGGGAAGTTCAACTCTTGGTTTCATTCTACCTTGTGTATTTCACATGATACTCTGCAGAGACCTAATCACAACACGGACTAAAGTTAAGGACTGCTTATTTATTGCATTTGGTGTCATTGGTGGACTTGTTGGTATTGCAGTTACAATACAGCAAATTGTCGAGCAGTTTTCAAAGACATAAAAATAATAATATTATAAAATAGTGTATTTATTGTGTTTTGGATGTTCTTGTTCTTTTACAATACATGGAAACAAGGAAACCAAGAAGATCAGTGAGATCGTAGAAATACAAGCAGGTGGCTATCTGTGCATAAATGAGAAGGAAGATTTGATTTGTGCAGTTGCAGCTTTGATATTCCATTACACAGACTTCATGCCCTTGGGTGCAGAGTTGGTATTAAAATATATTGTACTTTTACGGGATTCTTAAAATCAATTTGCAGGAATCTTATCTGTGGAATTATTGGAGGAGAAATGAAAAAATTAGATGAAATGTATTAATTCTGGAAAAAAAAAACAGGGATAGCTCTTTCATGGAACAGGTCTTCACATTTTGTGGGGATGATGTTTATTAATAAATTGATACTTGGTTTTCAGTTGAATACAAAGTGCCTTAAATTTTCCATGATGCTGAGTATATTCTTATAGTCATTCATGAATAGTTAAAAAATCTACAATGCATTGTGATTTTGTCTATCAACTGATTATCATCTTTAATAACTGACAACAGGTTTCAAACCCTTGAGTTAAAAATAAAGATCTACACATTTACTGTCAAGTTGTGAAAGTATTACTCCCTGCATGCAAAGAAAGTGGAGTCCAATAACCCCTGGCTAGTGGATTGTTATCGGGCTAGTGAAGTGTTTTTTTAAGGAATTCAAATAGAACTTACACAAAAACTGTGAAATCAATTGGGGCTAATTGAAATGACATTTGAGACATGTCAAAGGGACAAATCACTTCCTGTGTGTACTGCTGAATTTCTGTGAAAAACCTTGACAGCAGAATTTTCTCACTGCAACAAGTCGCAAAAAATTATATCAGATTGAATTTGTGTGACCTGTTGTGGCAAAAAAACTTTCTGCTGTTCTGTTTGTCACAAAAATTATCCAGTACACAGGAAACGATTTGTCACCACAGCGCGTTGCTTCAACTTGTTGCCCATCACCATGACATGTTAAAAATATTGAAGCAATGTTTATTTGCTGTAATAACGGCTAGTTAAAACTACAACAAATGCTGCCTAGTGCATTCAGACCTTAGGGTATTAGAACTGCTTTATAGACTAAAACTGATAAGGCTTATGAAATAAGTTTTAAAATGACCCACATTACAGAAAAAAATAAGAAAATATAAATCTTTAATTCTGTCAAAAAAGCTATAAAAAGATAAAAAATTTTATTTATTACAAAGATGAAATACTTGGCAATACTATGCATTGAGAAAACTGCTAATCGGTAATCAGGTAAAAAGAATGTGTGATTTTAAATTGGATTAAGTTGAACTTGTGATGATTGACAACTGCTCAAATCCACAGGCTTCCCTTGCTTCCACACTAACAGTACTCTTCCTTCAAATCACTGATAGGGGAAAGTGAATTCCAGACTTCTTTCAAACAGTTAAGTTGCAGTTTATCCCCCGGGTTACTCCCCATAATGGCTTATATGGGGAGGCTCCACCTGAAAAGGGTACCTTTTTTAGGCTTCAAGTACACTTGTCTTCAGTCAAAAGTTGATTATTGCATAAAACAAAAAATTGCGTTATGTAAATCACCTTTAAGTTAAGTTCTCTGAGCTATGATTGTCTTGGACAACCAAAAAGCATTTAACAAACACTTTTCAGACTACTACATTCAAAGTTGAAGAAAATTCAAGGACTTTTCAAGAACTTGCACAGAAATGTAAGGACTTTTCAAGGAATTACCCTAAAAATTTCAAGGACTTTCCAAGACTGTGCAAATCCAGGGCTAACAGACACATAATAAACAATTATTTTCATGGCCGCGAAAGAGAAATAACTCCCTTGGTATTGATTTATTCAAATTCAAAAGATGGTGAACTTACAGCAGTTTTATACAAATTTGTATCTTTATAATTATAGCCTGATATTATTGCTTTTTATATTGTAGATTTCAATTTTTTTTTTGTAGTATATTGTAGTTTTTCATTTTTATATTGTAGTTTTTAACATTTGAAGAGCCACTAGGTGGATACACTGTTAATAAACCATTATTATTATAAAAGGGATGCAGTGTTTTAAAGTATGTGCTTGATAGTGGTACCTTAGGACAGAGCCTCCCCGTCTAAAACTGTGTTGAGTAATGCTCCCCCCCAGCAGGGCTGTCATTAAGAGGCGGGGGCCGGGGATTTTCCCCGGTTACTATGAACGTTTTCCCCGGCTACTTTCAAAGGAAAATAAAAGAAAAATAGAACCAAAAGAAATTCCTAGCTGTTTGATTCCCCGCCTACTTGTTGTATTTACCCGGAGACTTGAAATCTTAGTGACAACCCTGGCCCTAGGAATTTATTTCTAGAGTTCCTTAATCATGATGTCACAATTATATATAAAGTAACTAGTGATAATAGAATTAAAAAAAAAAAGACAAATTCTACATATCACATCTTGCACAAACATTCTGCATACATCAGGTTGCAGTTAGCTAAGTCCTATTGGGTTATTCCAGAAAAAATCCACACCCTAACAATGCAAGGCAAGCTGGGAAATCTCACAGGAGGCTAAAGCAGTTTTGTAACTCTGGGTGGAAGCGGTGGGGGGGGGATGAAAAAAAAAGCCTTCCATTGGGGGGATTTTTTTCTGGAATAACCCATTTTAGAACACTTTTGCAGTAAACTTAAGTTATAGAGCGTTTTCACTCACGTGAGGGATCAGCAGCTATGCAATTGGAACAACAGGAGACAGGGATGGTTTGGGACACCAACATGGCCGCCATTTCTTTGTTTTAGGACACCAATATGGCAGACGTGACCTCATGTGAAAAGGCTCCTTAAGTGATGTGTTATGATAACGTAAATGAGGTCTCATTTGATTGACTGCTTAAGGGAGGAGCCACAGGTTTTTTTGTGCGAGTCCATGGTTTGTCCATAAACAAGAAACATACAAAGCTTAGATACTAAGATTCTGCAATAACTGTATAATTATTACCGGGTATACGTCTTATGTGGCAAAGATGAAAAATATTATTTTGAAATAATACTGACTGGCTCTAACTCCCTAGCTAATTCCAACCTGGCTAGTGCCAACTAGCACTGACCAAATTTGGAAGTTGCAAGCAGTATACCATTGATTTGATGGTACATTTGATTGGAAATGAGGTTGCTCATAGGTACATTTGATTGGAACAATTAAGGCTGCATGTGCAATAGGCTATCAATTAACCTCATTTTCAGACATGGCTGCCTAGCTACAGCTGTTTATTCATGAGTGAACTAGAAAAATGGTGTTCATGGCTATATGAAGACAAAATAGCTGAATTCTTAAAACATTGCTCAATGGATAATATCTAATTTTTGACGAGTATCTGCACGAAAAATCATCTGTTTGTATCCTGAAACCGTGCCAAGAAAAAGGCCAAAATTTAAAAGAAAGTCCATGAGCAGGTAAGCTTGTTGGGAAATATTTTGAATGGCCTTTGCTTCGGTAAATGACAGTCTTCGAGATCAGCACAATTCTTCACATCATAAGAAAGCCTCATTCAATAAAATATTTATGTTCCTTTCACGAAAAAACTCTTAAGTGTTAGCAATCAACATCCCATGTTTGTTTTCACAGAGGGAATGATTTTGTGTTCTCAGATAAATCAAGGGCAACTTTGATCTTTCAGGCTTTCAGGCTTTCAGGGTTTCGGGCTTAGCCTTTCATAGTCTGATTGTAATAAGATAGTTTTACAATGATCCTCCTTGTCCTCAGAGTAACTTTGAAGGGACATGGACCACCTGAGAGCTGGGTTAGGAACTTGAACTCCCCGAAGATTCAAAGGAATTGTCACATTGCGTGCTCTCATTCTCGATTAATATACTGTTAGTTTCAGTGGTCCCTTGGTGCACAAAAATTCCCAAATTTATGATGCAGGTCTGTAGTTTATCATGCACTTCTTTAACCTGGCCTTCTTGTAAGTTCAAGTATTTTGTCAAGTCTTGACTTAGAGCCTGCAATGTTTCTAATTCACCTTTCACATGTTTCCAATCTTCTTGTTGCTTGTGAACTCTGTTGAAGATCTCCTGTCGTTTTGCCTTCTCCTCTAAAAGACATCCTTCAACAAAAAGACGCAGCTCATTCTCTTGAGTCAGCTGAGCTTGAAGCTGCTGAACTTGAGGTTTTGTCTCATGAAGCTGCCCTTCTGCTTGATAAAGCTGTGATTTTGTTTTCTTGGTCTCTTTGTTATAAGTAGAAGTGTGGCTGTTTTCTTTCCAACGAGAAAGTGCTGTTGATATTTTCCTTCTGGGGCCAAACAAAGTAATCCCAACTTCCTTTAGATCATTTTCCGTAAAATTGAGCAATGTATTAAAATCCACATCCTGTTTTTCAAATGTTGGGAGGTACTGTGTTAATTTTAGGTCTTCAAGAAATCTACTAATAGTTGGTACGGTATTGCCATGATTCTGTACATTTTTATCACCTTGACTGTTCATTTTTGGTAATTGCTCATGCAAACTAGCACTTCGAACTGTTTCACCAAACTTACTCAAGAAAGGCTCCTCTAAACTTCCCACAGGGCCTTCAGGTGACTTTGAGACAGAGAGATTGCATGGACTTCCTGTAACATGTGCATGAGGCTGCTGTCTTCCTGGCAAGGGAGGAATGTTCATCGGTCCAATACGATGGTTGTTTATTATCTCTTCAAAAGCCTTTGGGCCATCGCGGATCCCACTCATTGGAATGTTATTCTTTGCTTGGTGCCAATAACCACCTTCCTCATCAAGACCGTTACCATAAAGATCAGTGTCATCTGGTGAAAGACCAGGTTCACTTCGAAGCAAATGATTTCGCTGCTGGTGTTGCTGTAAATCGATTCTGTTAACAACTGCCATGTTTCCATGACGAAGAGCTAAAGACCGTGCATCCTCGCCAGTTTTTGTCCTAGCTCTCACCAGTTTCACATTAGATCTAAGAAGCACTTCAAATATACTTTCATGGCCTTCTTTAGCAGCAGCCAAAAGTGGAGTTAGGCCCATTTTATATTCTCTACATTAATGAACAAAAGAAAAGGACATAAAAGGCATTAAAATGAAATCAATGCAGTTTGAGGTGACAAGGAGTTAGTCTTACAAATGCTGTCCAGATTCATTCTATAAGATCACATTTTTGTTTCTGCCACTGGTTTCCCCATGAAATGACATCTCAGAAACAAGTGCAAAAATTCCATACTAATAAGTCATGTGTCACTACAAAGATCTGGGTAGTGCTTGAACTCAGGGGCGGATCCACACCGGTTTCCACTGTTTTACAAAAATTGGTCAGATTTTTCATAAACAAATATACTTTAAATAAAAAATATTTTCCATGTTGAAATCTGGCCAATATCCTGTCTGAATGACTCAGAAACCCAGGAAAGGGGACTTCAGGAAGTTTAAATCCAAAAAATTTCCTGATGGTGCATGCTCTCTGGTCCCCCTGGAGGCTAGGAAATTGGTCAGTACTTATCCTTGATCCACACTTGCTTCTGATTGGTCATGCAGCGAGGAAAACTGCTTCAGAAAATCAAAAGAAATAGCCAGATCTGGGTAGTAACACAGGTTGCCGGTCGTTTCAATACAAGGCATTTTGACACAAGTTGATTAAGTCAAGGTGTAAACAGTTTCACACCCTTGGCTTAAAGAATGAAGAATAGTCGCCCCAAATGTTTTCCTTTTTCATGCCCAAACTGCACTTGAAGTGATCAAAATTTTTGTGTTATTTCAGTGCTTGAGGTCGTAATGAAATGACTTGTGTTGAAATGGTCAGTTTCCATAACATGTCAATTGTATGGAATTTCTGCGCAAACCTGTAGTGGTGTCGTGAAATGTTGGCTGTTTTCTCAGGCTACCTTTAGACTTAGTGCTGTTTCTTTCAATTTTGACTTGTTTGTTGAAAATGTGTTTCTTCACGGACGGCCTTATTCTGGCGTGAATACAAATTAACAATCACTCATTGCAAGTTGATTCATATCGCTTGCCTCAAAGGAAATAAAAAAATGTGAATGTGTGGGCATTTGTTTTGAACTACAGATTGAAAATTGTGTCACAGGGCAAAAAAGAAAGAGCACAATGTCAAAGGATATCTGCTGGCATTGGTAAAAATTTTGAGTTTTCATATGTTGGAAATGATCCCCAACCATTGCGGAAATCTTAACATATGTGGTAACTAAAAAATACTCCTGGTTTTCTGATGTACAGTATCCTGACAATCTGGACTGGTCTGTGAATTTTCAGTTTTCATTAGTTGGCAAAATCTAGGATGGACAGGAAATGGTGACAATATTTTAATCCATCTTGGATTTGCCAACAATTAAAAACTAGCCAGGGTTATTATACCCAATGGGTAGGGGTTAATTCCAAAAAGGCATGATATGGGGATACCCTAGGAAACTGCTATTTCAGTACTTAGAAGAGCCTTTCAAAGTACCTTAACAAGACTTTGCTTATAGCTGAGCGATCTATTTAGGTTTTTCAGAGATTATTCAGGAGAGAAGTAAGTTAAAGTTGCTCAAGCATTTACCAAAACCCTTCCAAGTTAGGTACAGTGGAACCCCGCTCTATGGACACCCACTTAATACAAGAGACACCTGTGTAAGAGACTCGGGTCAATTTTTGCTAGGTATGTGCCGCTGGCCACTTGAAATCCCTACCCCATTATAAATTATAGTCTATTTTCTGGTAAATTATGAACCCCATCTTAGTAACTTATTTACTTTCATTTGCCCACTGGTCAGTCTGTGTATGCAGCTACCTTATAAAGCCTGTTAGTTCAGTCATTCTAAAATGAATTTGCACATTTTTTTTCAAATTTTTTAATGCAAAAATTTTCTTTATACAAAAATCTTGAAAATGTGTGTTCTCATTCTAGTTACTGTAACAAAAATGCAACCCCATAATAGTCAATCCAATCATGAAAATGGGTGATTCTAATAAATATCCATACCATACTATGGACGGCTTTTCAGAATTCTGAGGGCAAGGGAGGGACTTCGAACTGAAAATGTGAAGGCATGGGGAGACATTAAATTTTAAGATCGGAATTCCAAAGGCATGGGGGACTTTAGATACGGAATTTCCACAGGACACAGACAAGAGTGTATTCCTTGAAAACGCTTATTTTATCGACTTAATCAGTTCACAAATAAAGCATGAGTTGGCAACACTGGCAACACAGGATACAAGACAAGCTTGATCGATAACGAACTATGTTTTCATGTTCATTTGTAGGAAAAACCGACAAAACGTGGGTTGAACATCAAGTTCCAGAGGCCTTAATGCCACACAACATAATTTTACCTCTCATCAAAACAGCTTGAAGTTCATAAATTACTTTGTCCATTCAGTACAAAACATGGTCTTTTCACCGAGGATGCCATTTTAACCTTTGAAGCTTGTGGGATTGGGAGTGACTGCTGACCCCGAAGGCTCAAATTCGAGACGGCAGAAATGATGATCTTGCTCTCGATCATACTAACTTCCAAGTGTACAGACGTTCATCACACTTGATATTCTCATTTCAAGCTTTTGTACCAGTTTCGGGCAATGTAAAGTTAATATAGATTGCATCCGTTGAACAGTGGTAACAAAGAAACTTTTATTAATATTTGTTTTGTTCATATTTTCAGAATTTCTGGAGTTATAATGACCTGCAATGACTCCGGCTGTAACCAGCTCCACTGAACAGAAGTAGATTCATTTGAAATAATTGGGTGTAAAATCAGAGCCAAACTATATATTTGTGAACTCTGCTGGTTATTCCGAAGGGTTTGAAGAAAAAAATGGAAAATGCGAACGGAAGGGGAGGTTGACGATTTTGAAATTACAAGGGCATTGGGGGATAATGCATTTTGGAAATTCCAAAGATCAGGTTGGGGGGGAATAAAATATGGAAGCTGTCCGGGGTATGGTATGGATATTTTCTGGAATTGCCCAATGTGATCCCATCCATTGTAGCCCGCGTGGCAGAATGGGGATTTTGGGTGCGAGAGAAGCGCAAGGGGCACACGAGGAAGGAGGGACAGGAACACCAGCAAGAATGCTATTGCTTTTTACATTATAAACATCCACCAGATGAATCTTAAAATCCTGACTGGTCAGGCTTCAAAACATGTCAATCACAGCCTTAATAGCTTAATCCAATTGGTTAAAATCAACATCACGCTGTTTCAGTAACCTTATTGATCTTTCAATAATCATTAAACGTTTATGGCTAGTGAGGTGTGAAAAGATTTCTGTACGGGAATCCATCCTTAGAAGTAGAAACTGAAGGAATCAATTTCAACAGCTTGGTTTATTCACTAGAAGAAAGAAAGGAAAAATGATGCTGCCTGTGTGCTTGTTATCTGCTGTTTGACTAGCATTATCAATGACCAGATTATTGAAACTTCTTTCCCTGCTACCACCAAGGGATTCTTTTGTAGGCTCTGCTGGATCCAACTGGTCCCGATAGAAATTCAAAGAGTTAGCAAAGTGTTTTAATTTTTTGCAACTCTCTTCCTTCAATGGACAACCGGATTTGAACTTTTATATAGTACAAGTTTTCACATTAGTTTTCTTGTTTTAGGAAAACAAAAGAAAAACAGTGCAAGAAATGCGCCAAGACTATGCGCATGTTTGACGTATTTGACAACTAGACATTCACAGTTGTGGTATGTTTGCATGCCTAATTGGTAGGCGGGATGGCAAAAACAATAGCTTCTTTGCAGGTGTTCCGCTCATCCCTTTTCCCTTATGCCCAAATTCCCTTCCCCTTCCGTTTCGAACTCCTGCCACGCAGGCTACATCCATTGGCACATCTCCATTAGCCAATTACTAGGAAGTAACCTCCCCGGGTACACACCAAGGATGAAGTTATAGCCTTTGATAATTTACACTTTGTTGGGGTAGTTGAAATTAATTTCGTAACTGGATATTAAAGTATACAAAACGGTAATGGCTTTCACTACTTTTAGGGGAGGAAAAAACTGAATGCACCAGCAAAATGACGAATGAAAACCATTGTCGGAGTCGGAAGCAGAAGCAGAAGGATGAAAAAATCATAATGAATGTGCCCACGTTTTGTGACTGGTTTAGCTCTTCTGCTTCTGCTTGCGAATCCGACGACCCAGTTTTCACTTGATCGTAAACAACGGAATCGTAGGCGGAATCAGAAGAATCAGAACGCTGTTTTCACTAGATCGTAAAGTTCTACGCTTCTGATTACGACTCCCACCCCGTCGCTAGTGAAAAGCAGCCTTTAGTTGTACCTCAACTCTGTATTAGCACCAGCATCTAGTAACGTCTTCACGACTTCCAAATGCCCATGAAACGTGGCGTAAAGAATACTCGTCCACCCTCTGTTGTCCTGAGCATCGATCTTGGCGCCATTTTGTAGTAAAAAATACACAACAGGTTCATTGCCGCAGCTCGATGCCAACATCAAAGGGGTCGCACCATTTTTCTTTGTGCGAGAATTGACATTAACAGAGTTATCGAGCAAGAGATTTACTATATTAACATGTCCAACATAAGCAGCGTACATAAGAGGAGTCCAGCCACTAAAATTATGTTTATCGAGATCAGCGATCTCCACTCCTTCCGCTAGATGCTGCTGAACGCAACTATATTGGCCAATAGCACAAGCTGTGTAAAGGTCCATTTTGACATCTTCATCTTCATTCCATAACTTACTGCAGTCGTTTCCGTCTGCGAACGAAAAGCTAGATGATCGATTTTTCTGCTCATGATTGTTAAGCGGTAGTTCCATTTCTGTTTGGACAAGAACTGAAAAGAGCTTGAGTCTGTAAATTTTTCTGAGACTTCTCTGTCGTCCTCTGTCGGACGTTTGTCGTGACTCGTTCCAGGATTCAAGTTCTTCCTACTCGTCCTCCGAGATCCGAGTAGTTGGAAGAAAACCCTGGGAACAAGGGAAACCGATAGGGTTCAGACGGGAGGGACGTCCAAGCAAATGGGACCCATGAAATAGTTCACTGAAGTTCGAAAATAAGAAAAATTCTCAGAAATTTGCTTCCGTTTGCTCCCATAAATGTAGCCTGCATGAACAGGCGCTTTATGAGCCAAGCGAGGCGAACGCGGCATTTTGCGCGAGGCGCGAAACGAGTGCGAAGCGCGAGACGAGGGGAGGAGAAAAAATAAAGCGTGTGTTGATGGGTATGTGCCGCTGTTCTCTCAGAGCCCCAACCCCATTATAGTCTATTCTGTGGCCAGTTATAGACCCCATCTTAGTCACTTTTTGGCAAATATGTAAATTTCGCGATCCCAACTTGGTCACTTTCTATTTTTATGAATTGACCCATTTGTTAGATTGAACGGAAGAACAGATGAAGAACACTTTACTTTTCATCTGCAGTACAAACATTCTGGTACGTTTGCTAACCGTAAATATGAAGAACTCGTCGGGATTGGTCCGATTTTGCTTGAAAATCCCGAATCCCGATCAATATGCGATCGGGATAGGAAAAATCGATCACGATTTTGACATCTGTTCTTAAATTTTCAAATGAGTTCTTTATGATACCATGAATGACACCAAACATGACAGAGCCAATACTTAACTGAAATTGATATCCAGAAAACTTTCAAAAACCGCAAGAAATATAAAATAAACTCGGGTACTTCTACACGAAGTCCCGCAAATAAAAATAAGCATAAACATGACAATCGATTTAGAGAACATCTTAGTCAGAATTTGTCCTCTCAGAAAACTAGAAATGGCGTTTCAGCGCATCAAGATTACAAGATTTTTTTGGGAAGCATGCCCCAAACCCCCCTAATGGCTCGCCTCTTCAGCACTCATCTGATTCGTCGGTGATGAAAAACCACGACTTTATATACTTAAGAAGTTGGACAGTCTTTCTGTGTTAACATGATACTGTCAAAAAAAACCCTCGATTACATACATTACATATTATACTATGCGTTCGACTCCTCTAAACGAGGAAATACTATGTACCTAAAAAGACGGTAAATATCTAAATTAACAATTCGGAAGGGTCTAGCACTATATGGCACCTTTATTTTGCCTAACTTTTCTTTATTGCAGACAAATCTAGCATCATTGTGGGGCAAGAATTACTAGCAAACTGGAAAAAGTACGCTCTTAGATTCATTTACGAGGACAATTCTACATCCTAGTCATACTTTGTTTAAGTGGGTAGGCTTACACAGCACGTTAGAAAGGCGTGAATCCAGGCCTGATATGTTATTTTCGTAGACAGTTGTTCACAGGGAAGAGCGCCGGCGTGGTTTAATCGTTTTATTAATAATATCTCAACGAGTAATTAGAACTCCATTTTTGTTTCCAGGTAGGCGGAGGATACGCTTGAAATCACGATCTTCGCCTTATTCCTGACCGGGGCCTTTAAGTGGGGCAGTTACTTTGTGGTCAGCGTTTTCAGTTTCGCGTCGCTTCTTGCTGCTAGGAAATACGGTTTGCAAACTGCCTTTTGACGCGGTTACATAAGACACGTCTTAAACAGAAACGTTTGTCTTTACCATTTATACGAGCATGTGAGGAGTGTCTTAGCTGAGTCACGTCTTGTTTAAGACGCGAACAAGTTTTCTGAGATCTTGTTTACTGTGGGTAATGTCGACCGAGATATCGGTCGACATAGCGGTCGACATAGCGGTCGACAGTCGGTCGATAGTCGGTCGACAGTCGGTCGATAGTCGGTCGACAGTCAGTCGATAGTCGGTCGATAGTCGGTCGACAGTCGGTCGATAGTCGGTCGATAGTCGGTCGATAGTCGGTCGATAGTGAGATAGACTATCGGCGAGTATCGGTCGATATTTCGACGACGCACCTCGACTTACTATCGGTCATATGTTGGTGGTATATCGGTCAACTGTCGTTCGAATATCAGTCGTGTGTTAATTTATCAGGTGAGTCCAGTGGCTTTTTTTAAGCAAAGACGTCATTAATTACTGCTATCATGCGATGGGGGAACATGTGGCAATGCGAGGCGCGATTATTCTATGAAGCGAACCGAAGAGCACTGGGAACTAAGGACATGGTAACCATTTTTTTTTTTCCAGTTTGTATCATCACCGATCGTCTGATTTATAGCTGTTAAACAGAACCTGTCTCAGCCTAAGTTGAATCTGCTGCTCCTGTGGTCCCGCAGTCGAAGAATACTTAAAGAAGGACGAGTGGAACGACTGATCCCGCAGTCCCGAAGTGGACGAATCATGAATAGGAAAAGGCAGTTCATAACATGCTTTACAGTCAAACCAGGTCAAGCGTTCCCGTCGCTAACGAACTAATGAATTCATTCACGGAAAAATGATTTCGTTTGTTGATTCAATAATCCATTCATAAAATGAACAATCCAATATTCATAGTTAGCCTCGTTTCCATAATCGAATGTTGATTCGATTACTGTTTTTTTAAAAACTACACTTTCCACAAGTTGACCTCAGAATTTTGTTTTTTCCTCTTTTTTTTCTGAGAGTCGAGTGCGGGTGAGTTCTGAAGTTCAAACCCAAACAAACTGTTACATGTAAGCCAGTTTGCTGCCAGTAATCAGTGCAACAGACCTAGGCCTGACCTCTTAGAAAACACAACGGTCAAACTAAGGTCAGTGTATGTGCGGTGATTGGTGGATTTCGATCCTCGGCCTTTGTCAGTTTCTCATAGTTTCTTTGCGTTTGCGGTCTGTCTATTCTAGCTGTTATTTTGATTAAAGGCAATGAAAAACGCAATCGTAAACGGCAGGAAAAAGGAAGCAAATACCATTGAACACAACAGACAAGAATAAAGAACAGGTAGATTTTGTTCATAAACCAAATCAACATTTGATTATTGAATCGAGGTCCAATTTGACTGTTGGATTATTCATTTTATGAATGGATTATTGAATCAACAAACTAAATCATTTTTCCATTAATGAATTCATTAGTTTGTTAGCGACGGGAACGCTTGACCTGGTTTGACTGTAAGAGCGAGGAATACACATCTTTTATTATCGGGTTTTAAGGAAAAACAAGTTAAAAAAAATGAACTGTAAATACATGTTTTCATCAATGTAGTTCTGAGTCGGTTGAAAAATTCTCGGCATAGGAAAAATCAGCCAGATATAGGCCTTACACGGTGGGAATAAATCACATAACAAGAAGCTGAAGGCCTATCATTCTCACTTAGCGGACTTCTTCATGATTCAATTCTAGCCGGCTACGCGTAGCGAGACATCCCCACCCCTAAACAAAAAAAAACGAGGGGAGGAAACGTCTGCGAAAAGGTGGTGGGCATCGATACAGATAGGCTAAATCCCGTCCACATGAATTAAAAGAAAAGGCTAGATAAATGACTAATAGCTATTATTCCGGGATTTTGGCTAAGTACATTGAAGTTTGAAATTAAAAAAGCAGAAACATAATTTAAACAGTTAGGTCCAAGCTAGAAAATGCTTTCTAATTTCTTGTTTTCCAAGCCAAAAAATGTAGGAAATGCTAAGTGTCGACCGACCATCCACCGAGTGTCGACCAATCACTGACCGATACATCGGTCAAGTATCGACCAACTATCGACCAACTATCGGCGAAGTGTCGGCGAAGTGTCGGCGAACGAAAAGCTATATCGGCCGAGACACATGTGGAACGACTATCGGCCGTGTCTCGACCGAGTGTCGACCCACTATCGACCGACTATCGACCGCTATATCGACCGACTATCGACCGAGTGTCGACCGACTATCGACCGAGTGGTGACCGACTATCGACCGAGTGTCGACCGCTATATCTACCGATATCTCGGTCGACATTTGACCCACAGTAAACAAGATCCGTTTTCTTTGCCATTTATATTTTAATATAAATGCTTGTTGGCTTGTTGTATTAAAATACAACAAGTTCATAAGACGCGTCTTATCTTCTCCTCTATTTTCCCCCGATTTTTTAATAACTTACGATTCAGTTTTGTCGTGAAAATAGCAAGACAGACACTTGTATTGATTGAGTCATTCCAGAATACTCCAGAAGACTGTAAAACATGATTTTTAGTCCGTCTGTCTTTTTTTTAAAAAGGGAGTATCGTGCGTGTGGGACATATGGGGGCGGAGGAGTTCATGCCATTCACTTTGGCAAGAATTCACTTGCTTTCACTCGCATACAAGGTGAATGCCCCCCAGTCATCCCCCGAGGGTTTCAAATGACTGGTGCATTATATCATAGGTAATTTATAATCTTAGAAGTTAGTAATTTATTTTTAATTTTAATTATTGTCATATAATTTTCTACCTTAATTCCACTTGTGGGAACGGCTGCAAATTAGCCGTATGGCTAAGCATATTTACCTCATGAAATGTGTCCTATGTCCTGATAAATAACACATGTAAGTTCTAACTCAGTATTACTGGAATGGTCGAAAATCAATTGTCCTGGATTAACTGATTTCGGCACATTATTTAATGTCAAAGAGTTTCATGTCTGCCTATACATCGGATTATTTAACTGTTTGCTTCATCTTTTTTTTTTTTTCATTCTTCGTAAAGAACTTTTACCTGACCCGGAAGGTTACTAGAATCAATCCATTCCCGGCCATAATACTTTGATCCATAAAGTTTGAAGGGCACGCTTGGGAAGTAGACATTTTTGTATTCATCTCCTTTGTTTTGCCATTGATACCACAGTTTGTCCATAAATGAATGGTGAAGAAGCAGTTCTGGGGCATTTGCTGCTATTAGAGGATTCACCATTGTACCACCGATTGCATTGTGAGGCAACACGTGATAGTCTATACGGACAATTTCTTCAAATTGTTCGAACTCTTCCAGGGGCAGCGATAAAGTTTTATTCACGTGATCAATATCGTAGAGAAGGCTGTCTTTCGTAAAATTCCTTTTTAAACACCCTCCTCCGGACACGTCTAAGAGACGCCATTTATCTTTGCTGAAAACTCCGTCCTCCACACAGTTGTCATCGTTATCACTTCCATCTCCTCCTAAACCATGATCAGCAGGGTTCCAAAGGTCTTCGTCACCAGTTCCTCTCCACCAATGATGAGTGTTTTTGCTCCAATCCCAGTAGGGTAAAGTCACACGACAGTCGATTCTGCGCAGTACGTTTTCCATCTCAACCAAAAACCACCGGTGAAAGGGCAAAAAGACTTCAGGAACTCTTTCTTGAGCTCCGGCGGTGTTGTGGAGAGCTATCAATTTCTCATAATCTTTCTTAAACACAGGATGGACCGATGCCAGCTTATAAGTGTTAATATAACGTTTTCTGTCCTCGATGGTCATTTTGGTAAAATCCTTTCTTACGCGGTAACAGCTGGTAAGTTTACCTTTCTTACATTCACAACGCTCTTCACACGTGTTTAACATGAAACTTCCTTCCTTGCACTCCACTGGACTTGAATCGTTAGTGTCCTTTTCTGAATGGCCCGCCTCAAAAACGATCCAGGCATTACTAAGACAAACAATGAACCAATAATGACGAAGCCTCATTGGGTTGACTGCAACAAAAAATGGTTGAGAAATTTTAACGGTAATTGTCTAATAGTAATGTTTCGTTTTAAAAGCTGTTCTTTACAGAAGAATTTCCTCCTCTCTTTGGTAGGGGAAAGGGAAAGAGGCAAGCCACCGACAATCGTTCTTTTTCACCGTCTTCAGGAGTTTTTCAAGATGTTTTCGAAAATTTGGTCAAAACAGAATATCTACTTTCCTAGAAAAGGGAGGCTTCCTGAAAGTAAGGTGGTTCTCTCTGAATTGTTTAATTGTCCATTACTGTTTAATTCTCCATGTATGTCAGTGGTCTGAGCATATGTATCTTTGTGGCTTTGTATGTTCGGATGTCTGTTGCAAGGGCCGATAAGGTTGAAGGTACTATGAGTTGATGGGTAGTGTAGGAACCAGTGAGATTTTGGCATATCTAACATGACATTGCTTAAGGTCAAACAGGGACACTGTGAGACCGCCATCTTGATTCTGCACAATTTTTTCGTCTTTTATTAAGGCTAAAGGTGTTTAGAAGCACAATATTGAAATATCTTGATGATTCAAACTCTGAGTACAGTGATGCAGCTGTTTGAGGGTCAATATATATACTTTAGTGTGGGAGCTGCTTCAAGACTTTCTTACCTAATTCGACTATCGCGAACGGTACAACGTACGTATCTCATAATTTATGAGTTGTGTTTCACCTGCTTCTAGGTAGAGTTTAAAAGATCATATATTTTTCAAATTTCTTCCAATGAAACAACAATTAAAGTTTAGATATGGACTTTAATTCGGGAGCATGCAGCCTATAAATTGTGCGGGTTTTAGAAGTTTGAAAGGCAATAAGGCGAGTATTGTTAATCCTGTAAACAAGCCTTAATCTCTCGCTTACAAAGTTCAACAGACCTTTTTCGTACCGCCCCCCAACCCCCCAAAAAAAAAAACATGAATTTGGTGAACAACATGAAACATGGTTACTGCCTTCACGTGCAAATTGTATGCTTGAGTTATTTTTATAACCCTGTTTACTGGATTACTGTGTGATAACTCGAATTCCCTCACGTATGAATCACGAAAGGGGCAAAGTCCAACACTTTCACGTGCAAACTGTGTGACTGTATATCTCACACAGACTGGCTTTTCACAGTAATAATAGTAACTTGAACGTATGAAGACCTCTTTAGTTTTGTAACTAGTGCCTTAAGTTAAAGCTCTTTTCTTTTTAAGAATCAATATACCTTTTAGAATCAAGTCGTCAGAGTTAAAGACCGTTTCATTAAGTAGAATCGCATGTGACAACCTCGTGAATAATGATGATGCAACCATCTACAACAACGATGAAAATCGTGTCATTTCTTAGCTTCTCGGTATTCGACCAGCTTGATTATCTTAAGAATGTATGAAGAAACCTTGAAACCTTCGAGTCTTCCCTCTAAGCAACTTTTGGTTAGTTGATATTCATAGTATTTTAACAATTCGTTTATTTTGCAAGGAAAGACAAAGAAGAGTGAATCTATTGTATGAGCATCGACTCAGCTGTTGGCAGCGGTTCGCGTTTTCAATAATGGACAACAATACCCAATTTCGCACAAAAAATAGTCTTAATTTAGGATTAAAACAGTAGATTGTTAATAATGAAGCATTCAAAATGGCTCTTGCACGTTAAACGTGCCTATGTTTTTTTCCTGTGAATGTGTCCAGTGAATTTCATCTTTCCCTTTTCTGAAGTATATTTGAAATCATTTTTTTTTTCATTTTTGAACTGCGGTTGTAGATGAAAGTGAAGAATGATCATCGCAGTAAATTTTCCAATTTAAGCAATTGGAAAGAAGAAGCCTGAAAAAAATCAGGGCTTTAACGGGATTCGAACCCGTGACCTCCGCGTTACCGGTGCGTTGCTCTACTAACTGAGCTATGAAGCCACACAGTGGGAGCGAGGTCAATTTATTGTTGAAAGATCTTTTGACTCAGTTATACTACTACTTGAGAAATTTCTGCAATTTGATTGACTTAGAGCAGTGGCATTTAAGCTTAATTTGAAATAACTACATGTGAAAATTACAAACTTTTTGTGAGTAGTAGTGTAAACAAATAATAGCATGATTTGTGCGTGATATTAGGCATAAACACCACCCGTGATATTTCAAAATTGTCTCAAATTTCACTCGCCTAACGGCTCGTGAAATTACGTACAACAATCTCGAAATAACACTCGTGGTATTAATGCTTAATATCACTACAAATCATGCTATTAACTATACTAATCCCGATCCCTTAACTACCTTATTCTTACTAATTTACGCTCATTTACATTCGCTTGGTAAATAACGAGCACGTACTAGACTAGAGAGTGTATGAGAGTTGCTAAAACTCAACCGGATCTTAAGGTAAGCTTAAGACATCCTAGTGGAACCCGACTGATACAAAAGTCAACTCGAGCATTGAGGGCAAGATGGTGAAAGAGTGAAGATGATGTGAACTGCATTTAAAAGATGGGGAAAGGTAGACAACGTAACTGAGTTATTGATCTAAAGTTTGGACAGTTGGGCTTTCAAAGATCGGGCAGTCGTCTAAATAACAGAGATGATATAGATTTACCGAGAAAAGTCAAGAGAGAATTGCAGGGCCATGTCTGTCATTTACAGGCCAGGTACTTAGAGGAAAAGTAAGAAACGGGCAAGTTGAGTGCAAGGGAAAGCGACAATTGTAACAAAGGGATATAGACGATATAGAATGGTACCTCGAGAAACGTGGCTCTCGGAAAATTTTACCCAATTTCGAAATCTCGGATTTGAAGTGTTTGTGATGGGTCTTGAACTCGTGTTCGGGTGATTTTTGGGTCTTGGAGTTTTGTTTTTCTTTTTGGTCGAAGGGCCTCGGGGGATTTTCAGTTTTTTCTTTCCATTTGGTCTTCTGGAGTCGAATTTTTCAGAGTTCACGGGTACAGCTAATCGAACTGGACCAGTTGATTAAGACAGAAAAACAAGACAGTGGCGCACATTTTATCCTCGGAGACCCAGGGGCAGATCTTTACTTTTCCTCGCGCCATTTAATGAACAAAAGTGCCGTCTTGTGGTTTGAGTTCCTCTCCAAACGTTTCGGGCCTGGCCCTTCATCAGTGGAGTTACAAGTACGTTAGAAACGTTGCAAGGTTTCCATTAGTCTGTCCTCCCCACAAGCAGACTAGGTTTCCATACGCCATGAAAGAAAAAAATCAAACGCTCAAAAAAAAACTTTATAGTGCGCGCGCGATTCTGCGCGCGGCCTAGAAAAATGGAAGTCGGAGTTTACTATTAGGGTTCCGTTAGGGTTGCCATTTTACTCGCCAGCGGTTGTTAGTTATCTGTATACCTTTAGATAAGTTAAATGGTAAACTAAAAACACTGGAAATATCTTATAAATTGCAAATCAACATACCTTTAAAAAACAGCGGTGCTTCTTCTCGCGAAATGATGTGTTTTGATCGACTTGTCAGAGTTGCAAGTGTATTAATTTGTTTTGGTTCTCTGCTGTAAAAAAGTAATAAATGTCATGAACAAAGCATAAATGATTTTCTATAACCTAGCAACATCTTTTTTTTGAAATAATTTATACATGTGGAGTACATTAAGCTAACTTGGCTGAAAAAAAAAAAAAACGATGAAAAGTAGTTCCTCGAGGCTGCTAAATAGGAAAGAAAACTGGTGAAAGTAACGCGATCTGAAGGAAAAGCTGGCCCTGGTGTGGTCGACGCAGCGCCCACTTTGCTTTATGACGACAATCCAGGGGCCCGTTACTCGAAAGTCTCGATAACTTTTCGGTCCCGAAAAGCTGTTTTATGTTTGCCGTGTTTGCATTCAATAAAATTTTCAGTTAACAAAGCAAAATCGGCCGGTTTGTAAAAGGTTTTGGAAAAGGTTTCGAAGAGTTTTACGAAAAGCTTTTCAAAGATTTTTTCAAATGTTTTCTTTAAAATATCTATTCAGAGAAGCAAATACTACCCAGAATTTTCTAATTGAGGACGGCTAAATATTTGTAGGTTACCATTCCATCATGTACAATTTTCGAAGCTTATCTTACAAATAAAATTTCCTACGATTTTCTGAAGTTTGATTTTTGCATTTTACTTCCCAGGTTAGGCTATTTTTCGTAGAAAAAAGGAAACCTAAATTTTTCGGATTCAAAAATGTGATGGAGAGAGGAATTAGAAAATGTCTTACTCTCGTAATACGTTAAATTTCATCTAAAATTTTCGGGAAAATATTACTCAAGCCCGAAAAGACTCAAGTTCCCCTAGGATGACCGAACAGAGGCAAATTTTACAGCGCCGCTTAGAATGCTTTTCTAGAGTTATAAAAGTACTCTGGGTAGCCTAAAAAGTGTTTTCAATGTATTTAGGAGGAAACCGTCGTTGGGTGCCCTAAAAGAAAAACATCGCCACAATTGCCAACCATCCACAATAGGACCATACGGCCATTTTTCCCACTCCAAAGCCTTTCCGCCGGCACTCTTGCATGAATGACAGGCCCACGTCCAAAGATTTCTTCCACCAACTCTTGCAATGTGGCCCAGTCGGAGCACCAATTGTTTTGGTGCTTCGCAAGCTCACAAAACAAGAACGAGAACGCAAAACACAAATTAAAAAATAAGAAAATTCCGCAATCTTTCGTAGCAACAATACCAAACCGAACGTTTTATAGCCAAAAAAGTAGCAACCGCCAATTGGCAATAAAAAATGGGAAAGTCTCTCGCTGGTAATCGAACTTTAGATCTCACTTCAACGCGACGTAATGGATATTGATAATTTTTTCGGAATTGAAACTGGTAAACATTAAATTTTGTTGCTTGTGACTCGTTTCGCCCATTGCTTCTTGAAATGGTAACATGGACCGCGGTTTGGTGCTTTTTTGGTAAGAAAACTTTTTTTTTTCGTTTAAGAATAGGTTTTGACAGGTCAACGGTGTTTTTGTTCGGTTAATAAAACATTTTTTAGAAACCTTTTCTTTAAAATAAATTTTGTTAGTTTTTTTACTTCTCATTTATTTGCAAACTAGGAGGACCGTCAATGTAAAATTTCATGTTTAACAATTATTCCTCGAGCCCGAATGGGCTCTGAGTCAATAGCCCATGAGATCGAAGGCCGAAAACGGGCTATTGACTTAGGGCCATGAGGGCGAGAGGAATAATTGTTTTAGCAAAATCCAACTAGTTGGTCAGAAATATCGAGAATAAAAGACTTTTAGTTAGTTAAAGCTAGAATTTAATCCTTTTTTGCCGCCTAAAAGCCCGCGCTTTTCGCTGCTAGTGGGCTATAACATATAGCCTAGTAGTAGCTCCTCTAATCAGAATAGACCAATAGTTGGATTTTACTAATTATTATTATTCTTTTCAGAAAATGTTCGTATAATAAGGTTAGGTTGAATTTCTTTCTTGCAGTGAGCAGTTTTACCCCCCTCAGTGAGTAGCGGCGGTCTTCAACAACTTCACTGAATCACACCTACCTCTTCCCACGTATAGTTTAGGTAAATCTTTACAGACGTCCCACAGCAAGTTTCTGCAAGTGAACCCTCTGGTTTATAGCCATTTTCCCCTCAATGTGTAAAAATGAAGCTCCGCCTCTCGTTGCTGACCGTGAGTGATTGACACATTCGTTAATAGACCACGCCCCCTTTCTGCTCAGTCCCTCAACGCACGTCGCTGTATCGAGTTGCTATGATAATAAAAGAGTCAATGGCCCCAAATTACTATCATCAAAACAATAACTATTATTATTGCTTTCATAATTCACGCTTTGTCTATTGTACTGACAAAATTTTTGTTATAATTTAGCAAGCATAGCATGTTTTTTACCTTTTGTCTAAACTTAGCACTGCTAGCAAAATCTGGCATTTTTTTGTTTTTAACATGTTGTTAGGTTTTCTTACTATTGACGCTTTTTTTTGCGGAACATTTAAAAAAGATGAGTTGAGAAAAAAAAAACCATGACATATAATAACATAAAGAAACAAATCCTTAATTCTACGACAGTCGTTACACAACGCGAAATATCATTTCATCAAAGCAAAACATGACTAAACACTTGACAAACTCTACTTAGAATTAACAACACACTTACTGAAAAAAACAACACACCTACTACGTTATACACTAAGTATCACACTAAACACTAAACAGACGCTACCTGAAATTACCAAATATATATCTGCTTTATTAGTTAAAGAAGTTTTGGTGTAGCTAAAGTTCCTTTAACGACAAGAGATGTTATTATTTTCGTAACTATTGCGCTAGCACGAGTAGTCACTTTTGCCATCGAGTTAGTTTTCCGAAAGTGAGTAATTAAAGAGCAACAATAGAATATACTTCGCAGGCAATAAGCATACAAATATAACCATTTTTCGGAATATTTCGTCGCGACTATGATTATGATTTGTCGATAGTCCTCGATGGTAACGGAAATGCTAGGCTGCCTCGTGGTCTGCTTTGACAGCTTAGTGAGACAAGTTGCGCGTATTCAAGTTTGAAAAAATGTTGCCGTATAACTGAATGAAAACGCAATGAAATACGTCATATCTTCTTGAAGCGTACCTTCACTTCTCATCTTCAAAATGAGTCCAGAAACCACGATATTTGTATAACAGATTTCTCCGCTCCAACTCAGCTCCTGTGAAAACATTTACCTCGTCCCTGTAGGACGTTTTTCCAGGTCCGCCGGATGGGGACTCCTAGACAAAAACAGAATCCGCATGCGTGCGTTGCTTTTGAATTCAAGATGTTGTAAACGGCAGGAAATTATGGTTTTTTAAAAACCCTTGTGGATATTTGTTAGATCGACAACCTCGCTTCTTATCTCGGTTATCTCGTTGGCAATAATGGAGCTTTCAGTTCACGCATGTAACTTTAAAGTACACTTATGTTTACTGTAGTCTAAAAACAGTACGAGAACAGACTCAGACGTTTTTTTTTTTTGGCATGAGGAAAATGTATGGCCGTTTTGCCGGTCCAAAAAAAAAAAGCCGTAACAACGCGGTGACTGTATTACCGAGGTGGCTGTAAGGCGGGGTTTCACTGTAGTGGAAAGCGCTATTTACATCACATGACGTCACAGGTGAGCCTGTCAGATTTCTAGATCAGTGGAACGGGCGTGCGAAAGAAATATAGAAAAATTCGTAGAAAAATCACGTTTTGTTCAAATCGCAAAATTTTATCGCAGAAGTTGTTGTAGTAATGTGGTCAGTTCAGATAGGAAAATAATAATAATAATAATAATAATAATAATAATAATAATAATAATAATAATAAAAATAGGTTACAGGCACTGAGCCTGAGCTGCAGAAATTCTTGGGGAGTCGCGAGTGATGATCATGAGGACATAGAAGCAAGCCAAGTCATAACGCTGACTAATAAACAATTACAGCAGCTGTTACTTTTGCAACAAAAAAATGTTGCGTTTTATGAGTAATTAGCAGTGGGTTATGAAGAAAAAGGGCTCTTTCAGTTAAAGGGCAAATTTCTTTCACAGTCAGTATCGTTATATTGACTTATTCACAAAGAACTCTTCTACACAGGTTAAACGAACAGCATTAGATTGAGCAGTTTTTCATTGCATCGTAAAGAGAAAAAGATTGATAAAGATAAGATCCAACCTAAATTATTTTATGAACCGTTTTCCTCTCAAATCTCTTCCGAACCAACGGCTATGAAGAAAACATATTTAACAATTATTCGTCGAGCCCGAATGGGCTCTGAGTCAATAGCGCATGAGGCCGAAGGCCGAATGGGCTATTCGGACTCTGAGGCCATGCGGGCGAGAGGAATAATTGTTTTAGTAAAATCTATCTAGTTGGTCCAAAATATCGAGACAAAACAAATTTAATCTAGTTAAAGCTAGACTTTGATCCCTTTTGCCGCCCAAAATCGGTCGCTCTTTGTAACTAGTGGGCTATAACATATAGCCTAGTAGTAGCTCAACCAATCAGAACGTAGCATTGATAATAGACCACTAGCTGGATTTTACTAAGACGAAATGTCCAACATTACTACTGAGACCTTTCAATTAGACTGGGAAATAATTTATTCCTTTACTTTTCAAAATAACGCTGAACAAAGTTAAGATAATTTTAATACCAAATACCTCATAGAATCTGGGGCGAAACAGCTGTCTATGGCTACAATCCCGCTCTGTTTTTAGTTCTGTCGGTGTCGTGTTGATGTCTTGCAAAATTCATTTTCACGTGGTACGATCACCATTGCAGTATTCTGCTTGCAAAATTTAATATGTCTACCATTCTTAAGTTGCAGTCTTCCTAACTCGTGTACTCCATGTAGCTGACCTCTTTTTGTTTTGTGGTATGATTCTTGCTTCATTCCTCGCCTGAATTTCCTTGTCATTTACAGTAGTGTTTTTTTCGTTATGTTCTTATGTTATGTTTTTTTTTTTTTTTTTTTGCCCCAAAAACCTGGCAACGGGTTTAAAACAAAAATGCCAAATTTTGCTTGAATGCTAAATTTAGATAAACGCTTAAAAATATGCTCTGTTTGCTAAATTATGTCAAAAATTCTGTTAGCACAATCGACAAAAGCGTAAATAATTAAAACAATAATAATAGTAATTGTTTTGATGATAGCTGAATTATTGACGTATTATCATAGCAACTGGATACAGCGACGTGCGACTGAGCAGAAAGGGGCGTAGTCTATTAACAAATTTGTCAATCACTCATTGTCAGCAACGAGAGGCGGAGCTCCCTTTGCTCATACGCATACTCATGTATATATATGTGCAGGAAAAGTGGCTATAAACCAGAGGTTTCACTTGCAGAAACTTGCTGTTTGCGACGTCTGTAAAGATTTACCTAAACTGTATCTGGGAAGAGGTAGGTGAGCTTTAGTGAAGTTATTGAAGAAGCACTTGAATTAATTTGTCATATTCTTGACCACCGCTACTCATTGATAAAAGTGCTCAGTACTGGAAACAGCAAAATTGAAGTATTCCGTAAATGGCTTTGAGCTAAAGTGTTCACAGCATCAACTCAAAGAAAGCCAACAAAGGAATCAAATTTAAGCACAAACCAGTTGTGAGTCTTGAAGTTTTAAACACTTTTCGATCTGAACTGTGAGCGAAATACCACCCAGCCTTTCCTTTAGCAAAATTACCTGAATTTTCATGTAGACTCTTCCAGTGACCCTGTTGGAGTGAAATTCCTCGACTTGCTGGATACATTCAATCCTGGAGAACACATAAAGAGGCGACTCATCACAGTGGTCACACTCTTGACCTCGTGATCACTAGATCTGACGACCATGATCTTATTTCACATGTATCCGTGACTGATCCAGCAATCTCCGATCACTATGCTGTGCTCTGTATGATATCCATAACAAAACCATGTTATCCCCGAAGAGAAATTAATTGCAGGAAATTGAAGTCCATCGACATGGAGGGATTTGTTAAGGGCATTAGCAATTCATCTCTCACAGATGCTAAGTACGCTGAGAACGTTACTGATCTAACATCCATGTATGATGGGACCCTCTTGTCAATACTTGATCAGCATGCATCTCTAAACCCTTTAAACCCTAATACTAAAATTTAAATTCTCATTTGTTGTCTCTATACTCTTCCTATAGAAGTAGTAGGGAGAAGTTTCTAGAGTGTCAACTAAATTCATCTTGTGTGATCAATCCCTTAAGTTACTCTTGTGACCAAACTGTTTTGTGAAGCATAGACATTGCAAGGAGAAAATTGATGTTGATCACTGTTAGGGCTTAAAGAGTTAAAAAGCGTATTGTCACCCATGAAACAGCTGTGCATGGTACACAGAGAAGATTAAGGCTGAAAAAAAGAAAAGGAGAAGACCTGAACCCCAGTGGCGCAAGATCAGATCCACTATAAGCAGACAACTTTACGTAAACTAATGCTAACTGATCAATAACCTTATTTATGAGTCCAAGATGATCTTCTACTCCTCGGTCATAGAAGAAAACAAGTCAAATTAAGCAATCCTGTTTATTACTCTTGACAAAATGTTAAACCGCCTGGCACCTAAAAAGTTACATTCTGTTGACCTCGCAAATAAATTTGCGGACTTCTTTTTGTGCACCAGGTAGAACCTGTCAGAAACAGCCTTAACTCCCCAGGCTTAAACCCTAACGATGAGAAAATTGTCTGCCCAGCTGCAAATGAGCTAGCTATCAACTCTTTTAAGTAATACCTATGCTAAATCGTTCATATTAGATCCCATACCAGGTTAATATCATGAAAGGCTGTATTAACACCCTTCTCCCTACCATTACTAGGATAGTGAATTGGTTATTTAATGAGGCCTGCATTCCTGAAATCCTTAAACAGTTAACTGTCGAACCGAGAATCATGAAACCTATGCTTGATAATGAGCTGCTATCGAGCTATAGACCTATCTCTAACCTAAGATTCATCTCTAAGGCTATTGAGAAGGTTGCTGCTGATCGACTGAATTGAAATCTTATAAATAACGACCCTCATGAGCTCCTACAGTCAGCGTGCAAACCAGGCCATAGCACTGAGAATAGAAGTCAGGTTGTACGTGTTGAGAGTGAGTCCTCGACCTGTTCTTATCTTCCTCATTATGGGGTTCCCCAAGGATCCGTACTTGGTCCTCTCCTATATTAATTAACTATATACACTGCACCACTGAATGATGTCCTCAAACGTCATCATATGTCGTATCATTTTAATGCCGATGAGAGCCAGACATATATATGTCC